TATTAGTATAAGAAACTGTTATTACTTGAACTCAAAATGTGTCAGAGGATTCTACCAGTTGACACAGAATATATGTAGAATATGCTGTGGAATCTATGTCCAACTTTCTCGTTTATTATTTAATAAGAAATATAAGAATCCGGAAGAATCTTTATGTGGTCTTATAATAAAAAACGTATATATACATTTCAGAATATTATGGTCGATTCGGACTTGATTCCGCTGTGCAAAACAAGTTTGATACTATGTAAATGCTCTTTCCGAAGTATGAATCTTCGTGCATATGTATATTAAGCAGTTGATTGCTATCTTTTACTAAAAATTGTTGATCTTGCATTCTAACTTTTCAATTTCTAAATTAAAATTATGAATAATGAACAAAATTATTAATTACAAATGTTGATTATGAATGAAGCTTAATTTTTTCTTAAACAAAATTAAACATAAAAGAGATAAACATATTCAAAAAATGTTTTCTACACTTGCCATTTGTTTTTGCACAAAGGTCAGAATTATTGCACAAAGATAAATATGTAAAATATGTAAATTTTTCATCGAGTATTGCAAGTTTAATAGCAAGTTGCTAAGCTTGCAAATTTTATGGGCCATAAAAAATGCAAACGCGTGCACATCGCGTAACATTGCATTATCATTTCAATTTCACAAACAAGAACTATAGTATTTTAATTATGAGATTTTTACTCGTCATTCCTGCATACGTTTAAAACAACAAAAAAGGTTATCATAATCAATTTATAATTGCATCCTTATAATTTACAAAAAAACGATTAATAAGACTGATTAAAAATGTACATTTTAGAGATTATTTTTATCTAACAGATTAGAATATGAAAAGAAAATTGACAAATTTGAAAAAATTTTCATTCAAAAAGATCTGTTTTTTTTTTCTTAAAGTAAAAAATTAACAGACGTATTTTTTTCACAGGAAGTACGATGTATAATTAGGCAAAGCTTAATTACATTTTCACGGCTATAAAATGTGTTTAGAGTGAGGTCTCGTGATAGCTTGTTAATTGCAACTTTCTCTAATGCAATATCAGATTTACAATGTAGCCACAACATATAGAGCCAAAAAACAAAGAAAATGGTCAAAGTTTTTATATTAATTACTCCATCCTGTGTTAGTATCATGTTACAAAATACTAATCTTTTTGTTCTAAATGTCCTTATGGCAGTTTATTTTCTATTCCAAATACTTTTCTTTACTTCGTTACTTTCACAATTGCTGATAATGAAGATAATTGTTTCAAAAGAGTATATTACGACTTATGGAACATTTCTATCAAGACTGCAATTTTTTTTTTTTATTACTGACATATTTTGCACAAAGCATTATTAAAGTAAGCATTGAGTTTATTTTTTGTGAGACACCTTTTAATTTAGAAAGTCAACACGATTAAATAGCGTCATTGTCGAAAATAAGAGTTAAGTTTAGCACGTATACGATAATTATTACATTGTGGTAATGAGAATAGTTACTATTATACATTGTCAATAGTAGCGACACCTGTTTCACTGTTTCGTTATGCGTATGGAAGGGAGAAAGATGTAAATCCGGATGAAAGTTTGCTCCGGGCGGACTTAAGTTCTATTGATCTCATTTTGCTTATACATATTTTTTGTAGCTTTTGTAAATTCTCATTAACCACGAATGGTTGTAAGACATAACATACATACATCATTATTTTAAATACAAATTGTTACAAGAGACTTTGAGAAAATAAAATTCACCAAATATGCTGTATTTTATTCATCGTCTCCACGAAAATATTGATAGAAATCTTTTGCATGGTACAAGTATAAAAAGTTTCGTTTTCGATATGATGTATTGATAGTTATTCAAGTTGAGTTTTCTACGAAAGCGTACGATTAATGATCGTAAAAATAGAAATCCCTTCTTTCGAATAAATTATTCCCCTTGAAAATATATAAAGTAAGAAGCGCGAGGTTTCTTCAATCTCTAAAATTATTTATTTCAGAGCCACAAGAAGGAAAACAATTCTCTTTTAATCGTATACTAAAATTCGCAAAGTCAGTTAAAATTGTATCGAGTATATATATTTCCTTGACCGAGATATGTTTAAGCGAAGCAAAATGACGAAGCGCGAAGAAAAAAGCACAGACAGGACTATGAGCACGCGTGTAGCATCGACGAAAGTAACTGGCCGCGCTTTCTCCTTCTACAGTCAGATTCCTTTGACTCTTTTTCTTTTTTGTTCACTCTTTTTCGTTCTACGCCTCCAATTTTTGTCAAGGCAACGGTGTCAGCATGTTCTACAATTAAAAATAAGAAGAAAATGTTAGATGTTCGTCTCGTAAATCTCCCATTAAAAAATTATAAGAAAGACATCAAAACGGCATATAAATTTATTCAATTAACCAATATCTAACAATAACGAGCGTAGTTACAATGCTAATAATTTATAATAATTATATACTGCGGATATTTATGAAAATTTCTATGAAAACAAACAAACAGTACTCGGTTTTGAGTACAACTTTGCATATTATATATGTTCTGTATATTCTCGAACATTTAATTAGATAAACATTTGCAAAGAGGAAAGTAAATATGTGCAAAAAGAAAAGCAATATATTTAGTGTCCTCTATGTGAAATATGAAAAATATGAATTTGCATAAATATTCGCGATCCACTCATAATTATCACATGTATCTACGCTGCCAAAATGAAAAATTGATTATTAATCGACTAAAAAGTTGATACGAACATTAGGCACTTAATATTACTGTATATTGCACCCAAAAGTGTCCAATAATGGTGTACACCCAACAGAAGTATTCAGATCAGTCAATTTAATCAGTCAATACATTTCAACGAGATGACCTGAACCTGGTTCTTCCTTTCTTTCATATACTAATTTATCGAAAGAAGCACATGCTTTACGTCAGTCAATATATTAATTCATTTCCGATACAATTGGTTTAATTGTTCGTTATAGGAAATTGTATGATCAATCACTTTTATGCTAAGGATGATTCAACAGTTGTGAATCTAACGAATTATCTTAAAACATAATTAACATAGAATATTCGAAATTTGAACATCTGCAGGAATTAGCGAAAATAAAAATTTTTGCCTAACGTGTTTATTGAAATTTAACATTTGTGTTATGTAAAATGTTACATCGAAATTTATATTAAATTGTTTATCGCAGATGAAAAGACAAATTAATTTCGTATTTAAATATGTAATACATTGATCAAACAATTGTGTCATGTGTAAAATTTACAAAATCTGGTTAAGAAGTTCGCGATTTTGTTTGAATCGAGGGTAAATAAATTTACACTCGATTTCAAGCAGGTTCTAAGAACATTTTTAACACGACTAAAAACCATTGAATCCGAATATTTGAAAAGTGGTCTTTTCTGGTTAAAGGACCACTGACCTGTTTTAATCCATCGCCCCGAAGACAAGTTTTATGTTTTGTATCGCTTTCTCTTGGATCCATATTTACATCCTCGCATCTGTCTGCGCGACATCTCTTAAAATGCCGTAAAATAACTCCGTGCATTCTTCTGTAGACACTTCCGCCTCATAAAAATTCATTTATAATCGAATATTAATTTCAGCCTAACTTTGAATCAACAAATTGATTCAATTTCCAATCTTTTTCAAAAAAAAGGTGATTTTTTATCCAAACTTTACTCCATTCAATACCTAATCAATGTTTAATTCTATTAAGTTTTGCTCAATATAATTCTTTAATTGTTTCTCTGATCTTTCAATCTGACCTTCCTCTATCACCACAATCTTCAATTAGTATCTCTTCAGTTAGTTTCTAGATACCTACTATAGCACGAATTGATTAGTTTATTTAATCTAGAAAAATTTAATATTTATCGCAAAAATACTATTTGATATTCTTAATCACAGCGAAGTATAAATTAAAATTTTTAAAACATGTCAAACGCAAATAATAATTGTGAGTCATCTGTTAATTGAAATTCGTCGTTTTTAACAATTTTAACATCATTTCATTTTTAATTCCTGAAAACAAAAAACCATAAGTGTTTACTTAAAATTATTCCACGATATTCCTTAAAGTTTACATTTCCACATCACATATTTGCCCTACCTTTCTACATCATTCCTTTCCCTTTCTCTTGATTTGCGAACATTTCTACCTGATGACAAATCATTCAACTAAAAACGACAAAAAGAAAAATGGTGGCCAAACATTCTAACCTTCAACTTGAAATCGAGGTCACGGACCGAACAGTCGTGTAACCAGTGCTCTCGAATCCATCCGGTCCTGATTCGATCTGTCGACCATAGCGAGCATCGGCAATGTTCCATGGAAAGCAATATTTCGTGGCCAAAGTCCGACTTTTTTTAAAAATGTTGTGTAAATTTTGATCGATGAAGTCATTTCTTTTTATGCATTCATTCTTCTACTCATATAAGCTTTCTCGATTATTTTCAATCCACTTAGATATTTCTAACATTACAAAATACCTCAAATCTGAGCAAAATGTGAAACAATTGTTATTAGTATGGTTTCTCGGCTAAAAGTTTCATGTTAAACGTCTCTTCAAAACATTGTAGATCCTTTTCTGTTTGCCAAATCGACTGTAAGATTGAAAAATATAGAAATTTGACGACCGTAGCAGGATTCGCGCCTTAAAACTAGAGCTTTCGTACGATCATAAATTCATTCCGAAACGAAGATTCGGGTCTTGATTTGTGTTGAAAGAAAAAAAAAAGATAGACAAAAATGTCTTCAATTTTGGTAATGAAATTCCACTTCTCGTAGCATCGTGGATTCGAGGAACGCTAGCACTCCCTTCGACGATATCTCCCTCATCCGCTACCAATGGTAGAGAGGGGAAAGCAATCACGCGGGGTGGGATACGCGCCTTCATCGTTTTGACCGATTCTACTCGATCTATCCCCACGGATCCGATGTAACCTGTGAAGCAGCGGAGGGGTTCTGGCCTCGTTTAACGTTTCACGTACCGATGAAATCGTACCACCTCCGGGAACGTTAAGCTTGCCACCAGCAGAAACATCGGCACCAAACGGACGACACCAAAGTTATAAAGTGGACCGGCGAAGAGGCTACGAGGCGCTGCCACTTTGCCGATCGACTTCGTCGTACAACGATCCTCTGCTCGTGCGAACGAGCAGAAGCACTGATTTCCTTAGCGGCACCTTCCGCTGGTGTCAGCTGGTGTCCGACCAATAAATTTATCAAAACGTGTCATGTTACTTTGACAAAGCCGCGACTGCGCGTAGGAGAGTAGATCGTCAGAGTAATTAGACTATTGACTAGTGACTTATTTCGCCTCTCGGTATATTCGACGCTGGTCCATCCTTTGATCGTATTTAATCGTATCCGACGTATTTGGTGTGTGTCCGGGAAGACAAGGATCACGAGAGTATCGTCGTTAGCTTCTTGACAATCAGTGATTATACGAGGTAAGACAGTTTCTCTGAATCTTGCTGTGCATGGAATCTATTCAACCGCACTTTGAAAACTGAGCTTTACGTGCAAGTGTGAATGAACTGTAACCGGAGGTGAAATTCATGTGAAGAATATGTGATCTAAATGATTTTTTTTTTCTTTTTTTCTTTTTTTTTTCTTTTTTTTTTTTTAGAACGTTCGCGAGAGTTCTAGATTCTTTTTCTGAAGTTTTATATGAAACTTTTTTCTTTTTTTTTTTGAAGTACTTTCATATTTCGAGTACGTTCATAGATCTTTTCACAAAAGTGGAATCTCGGTGCAGGTATTCATGATCAAAATTCTATTTTGAGTATATTTCAAATAGGGGTGTATATTCATTTGTGAGAAATCTGTATAAATCAAAAACTGGAAGAACATTATTGTCGATTTGATAATATTGCTTGAAACGGTAAAAAAAATTCGAAGTCGGTATTAAAAATTTAAAAGAAATTACTAATAAAAATATAGCAATAGAAATATAATTTTAATGAATTGAAAGAAATAATTAAATAAAACAGCAAGTTAGTGACAAAAAGAAGTTCCAAAATTTGTACTAAAAGTAAAACGCCAAGTTAGAAATCTTTGAATAGTTACTCAGAAAACGATATATTATTATATTATTATTATTAATATTTATTATAATTATATCATAACAAGAAGAATTAAAATTTAATATAATTGCAAAATTTAGAGAAAATTACAATGTGCAAAAATATATTTAGAAAAGAGAAAAAGAAAATAGTGATAAACAAGACGCCCGTGTGAATTACATTTAGAAATTAGAATATTGTTCGACAACGAGTAACTTGTATGTATCACGCATCGATTGTGAGATATCCACGGCATGTTTCGTTGCTACAGCAAGGAAACTGGTTTGTACGTGATTTCACTCAGCTTCCAAAGATTACGAATTGATTTATCAAGGGAGACTTTCACCCGAGAGATCACTTGTCTATTTAGCCAGACGTTAAAAACTCAGTGGTATAGTGGCTGCATCGTGTTAGACTGACAATTGATATAAAAATCATGATTTATTTCCAGCAGAATCATGTAAAAACGCCGATTTGTTCCAGTAGTTTAATCATAAGAAAAAAAAACCTATTATGGCTGAAGAAATATTAACTTCCTTTTTCGATTAATTTAACGCCTGTTGGTTATTGGCTATATTATACTGAGAATAAGTAGAGCTCGAGAACAGTAGATGCTTTTGGCAAGAGAAGGTATAAATTTCGTGAAGTGATATTGAAATTTGATGATCGTAGTTCCAAGTGGCGGCGTCTTGCCGCAAATAATACAGCCGACAATAAAATGATTATGTGTGAAAAACTAACTCGGAAATGTGATATGAATTCTTTTTATATAAAACTTAGTTTTCGAAGAATTTGAATTCGAATGCTTCTCGGATACGCGAGCATTTAGATAAATTTCATTTGCACTATTTCTGATCGAAAGAGAGTGAAATAATTAAAATAAGTAAAGATGAATTGATTGAATTTAATTTTACGGATGTGAGTACACTTAAATAAATTTCTACTAACGTTACTTACAATTAATTAATTACGCGTCAATCAAAAAATATCGAACTACTTTTATTTTATTTTTATTATTATTTCAGTTTTATATTTGTCGTTTTCACAAATATGAAAGAAAATGATAAAATCTCACGTCATGGAAAAAAAAATTCAACATCAATATTCCTATAACAATAGTTCTGCCATACTTTACAATTAAGAAATAGTCGAGTAGTCAAATAAATGGATTAATTAAGAAACGTAGAAACAGATTTCACAGATTCAGATCAACGCTCCATCAAGGTGACTTAATTAAGACAACATGAAAGTTAAATTTGCCATACGAGGGGGAGCACGCGCGCACTTGCACTTGCTACAAGTTCACGGTGAAGTTAGACCGCAAATGAAAGTAGACATTCCTAGATCGCTGTCGAAACATCGAACCAGCTTGAAAGATCCAACGAAACGTGTTTTCGCGCAGACGATTGAAGTGATAGTTCAGTTTGTCCGTTTATAACGTGAAAGTTACATACGACGTTTAAGTGAATGACCGGTTAACGCGCGTGGAAGCTAATCATTGAGCGTAGGATAATGGCGCACGCTTTGAACGAAAAGGATTTTCTTCACTTCTCTTCGTTGGAATTATAATTATATTGTAATAGCAAGCGGACATTTCCTTCAATCAAAGACAATGCAATATGTGAGCGTTCGTTGATATGACGTGAGGGACATAAGGGACATTCTAGAGTCTAGATTAATTTATATACATATATATATATAATTATACTGTCACATACTGTTGTTGTTCATGTATACTGTATTCTGTATATTAAATAATTAAAGTCATTTATGAATTAGAAAATTGTTGTGTACAACGTCGTGAATGAGGAAAAAGGCACGTTATTAAAATCAGATATCATATATTTGTAATATTAAATTATTATTTAAATTATTATTAAAATCAATCTAAGTGTAATCCAATATTAGTAAAATTCTTAATATTATTGTCGCAACAGGATATATTTATAAGTTAAAATAAACATTAATTGTTTGCAAAAATATATCATGAATTTGAACGAAATGGAGAGGAGTGGGTAAACGAGCATTTGAAACACCTAAGCTTCTAATCGCTACATTATAGTATTATATATTCGTTTTACCTTTTATATAAAACTTCGAATCAAGAATTTTCTGCTCACACGCGCAATACAATTTTTATCTTAATTCTTCATTTCAGGCAATGGCAAACTTAATTAATTCCACGACAACTTTAATAAATGACGCCTACGATTATTACCTCTGGACGCTGTCCCTTGCCGGTAAATCGCCATGCTAAGATAATAAAATACAATCCTCTACTGATTTAAAGTAAATAATTTCTCAGTTTTATTGTAACTGAAACTGTAATGTAACGTGTGCTCGTTTCTACGCGTCTGGACAGATGAACGAACGAGAGGATGGCTCCTGGTCGATTCGCCGAAACCTACTTTGATGTATACAATGTTGTACTTATTTATTGTATGGGCCGGACCAAAGATTATGAGAAAACGAAAAGCCTTTAAGTTAACGTGGGCACTTGTTCCGTATAATCTCGCGATGGCCTGTCTTAACGCGTATATCGCGATACAGGTAAATTATTTTCACTATTAAAAAAAAAAATCAACTCATAGTCCCAATTCGGTGTGTTTTAATTTGTGATATTTCTCGTTTGTAGTTATTCGTAGCTTCCACTAGGTTACGTTATAGTTACGTGTGTCAGCCAATTAGGCACGTAACTCGTCCAGATGAATTGCAGGTACATACATTTTTTTAAATTAATTAAAAAAGTAAGATAAATGTTTGTTTAATGTTCGTTCTTCCTTTTTCTTTCGTTAGATCGCTCATGCAGTCTGGTGGTACTACTTTAGCAAACTTTTGGAATTCTGTGATACGTTTTTCTTTATCTTGCGGAAGAAAGATAATCAATTAAGCTTCCTTCATGTTTACCATCATTCCACTATGTTTTCGTTATGGTGGATTGGCATTAAATGGGTTCCAAGCGGATCCAGTAAGTATCTGCGTCAAACTCTCTCTAATGAATTACAAAAATATATTTGTTTCAGATCGATCTATTCTATAGAGACGATTTTATCTCATTGTAATAATCGAACAGAAAATTATTTTTAACTGAAAATAACATCGAAATTAAATATGAAATTGAAAAACTAAATTTAATTTCAAATTGGAGTATTTGATGTATCACGATAGATTACTTTATTGAATAAGCCACTCCAGTCGATAATTTCTTTTCATTTAAAATTAACATTTAAAATACAAGATTATTTATATTTCTCATTAATTCAACTATTCGTTCAAAATATTTTTTTTCTTCTTACTTTTAAATCGTTCAGTTGTTTAATATAATGTAAATATAATCGGTAAAATACGACAAAAATGTAAAATCTGCTGATACATCTAACACCTGCAATGTAGCATATTCCATGTTAATTACACACAAAGATATTGATTTTCTTGGTGATAGTTGCAATGTTATCATATTGTGTTTTTATATTATGACTGGTAAATAATTCATCGCATTGCAGTGAAACTCAAGTTTGAACTATATTATAGCAAGAAATAGATGAGTTTTTTCGAAGTTAAAGTTAATTCTGATCGCATTAATTGATGAATCAGAAATTTCATAGAAAGTTCATGCAATTATATGAAATTACATCTCTTGAATTATGTACAAAATATATCATAATATCTTCAGACATTTATAAATTATGAAATTGTCAGAGAAATTATTAAGAACTCGTTTTCACTAATATAAAAAATACTTATTGACATCATATGCGTATTAAATGTTGCAATTTAATATTCTTTTTGTCATTTCAACTCGATTCATTTTTAATTGAAAGTTCTTATCTTTCAGCTTTCCTACCAGCAATGGTGAACAGTTTTATCCACGTCCTTATGTATTCATACTACGGTTTATCCGCATTGGGACCCTCTGTAACTAAATATCTCTGGTGGAAGAAATATTTAACGATCCTTCAATTAATTCAATTTACCACTGCCTTGATCCTTGGTATCAATGGCATTCGATCGGGATGCGATTTCCCACTCTGGATGCAGTATGCTCTTGTCATTTACATGATCTCATTTATCGTTTTATTCGGAAATTTCTATATCAAAGCCTACATTGCCAAGGTAACTTTTTTTCAAAAGTATTCCTATACTGACTCTAACTTTAATATTAACTTTTTCTAAATATTACCTTGATGTGATTTTTCTTTAATGTTTTTCATTAACGTTAATAATATCAATTTTTTCAGGGTAAACAAGCATACGCGGAGAAACAATTGCAAAAAATGAAAGCGAGCAAGCAATTGAAGAAAGAAGTTACAGGCGGAGCTATATGTAATGGAAATCTTACGAACGGACATGCCAATGGATATTCGAATGGTGTATCTAAAAAGATTCAGTGAAAAATGCACTTCTAACTTAAGATATTAAACGTCATTCAAACTACAAGTATATTTAGTTACAAAATGGAAGTGAATGGAAACTTTCTTCGAGAAATGATTCGATCGATAATAATAATCTGACCAGAATTTTAAATCCTTGTAACTGCCTCGTTCATAAATGAGCGACACTTAATACATTGTACTTATACGTACATATATACATATATATGTGTATATATAAATATATATATATATATATATATATATATATATATATATATATATATATATATATCGTTGCAGAAATTGCGGATTTAATGAAAAAATCCGATGTTTCTCTAACGAATTAACGTAAATGCGACTATAAACTTACCGGCCTGCGATTTTTTTATTCTTGGATGAGCAGCACAAAGTTCAACAAACCGCTGATCTAAGATATTGTAAATACAAATTAGTCGAGTATATTAGCATTTTAGTCGTCAAGTAGGCGAATTATATGAGATCCAGCGTGATCGATTACGATAACGTTGTGTAAGCTTAAACTAAACGATCTTTTTGTGGCTGACGGTTCAAATCTGCCTTGTAAAAAAATAAAAGAAAATACAAGATAAGATCGTCGTGTCGAAAACTGCCTTTAGTTTTTTTTTTTACAATATTAGATTTAAGATTAGAATTCAAATATGACGGTCACATTAAAGTTTAACAACACTTGCACATTTGACGTCTAGGTAATACTGTATCGTGATATTTGAATATGTTCTTCAGTCTCTTTTTAAATAAATGGAAAATAAGATTCTAATATGATTATGAATTATCAACAAAGCTGTAAGAAATCTGAATTTAAATTACACATCCAACGTTATCTTTGTACATGATTTTTATTATTTAATGAAGTTTTTAATGAATATGATTTTTATGGTATAATAAAAAATATTTTTTTATTAATTATACTCTATTTGTTTATAACAAACTAGCAGTAATGTTTACCATTTCGTTTGCATTTAATATGAAACAAAAACTGATTCACTATGTCAATTGGTAAGATACTGATAAGTTAGATAAATATTTGTAAGAAACATTTTTCTACAATTAATATTTTACATACAGATATTAACACATGATTAATTACGTGCAAAGTTTTTATACGTTCCAAACCAAAATATCAAAACAACAAGACTTTTTATATACAAAGACTTTTTGGATAGTTGGATATTCCATTGCATAAATTAATAACTCAACTCGTCCGTCAAACTAAAGCATACATTATCGCAAAAATTATACGAACATTAAAAAACATTTTACATAATCATGACCATTTGTATTATGTATATCTATTTATTTAAACTACTTATAAAAATTATTAGCCAATAAAATACTGTTAGTACGTTTTATTACTGGTGCAATATGTAAAAAATATTGCAACTATTATAAAAACAGCATTGCTGCGCAATGCAAAATACCGACAAATATATTACGTTTATTTTCAGTAATATTTATTCACCATATCTTTCCAATCAACAAAAAAAAAAAAAAACACGAATCAACAAGTAACAAAATTAAATATAAAAAAATTATAAAAATGTATTATGTTGTATATTGTTACTATAATACTGGGATGTATGTATCAAAAATCAGGTTAAATACTTTATTATAAGAATATTTGTTTGTTGTATTAAATTTCACTGGATAATATAATACTGTAGTTCCGAAATAAATAGTACTGCTTCTTGTTTGATTAAAAATTCTAAAAATTGATCCCATTATTTGTATTAAATAGTAATGAATAACAGATCTTTGTATGATTATATGGTAACAAAATAAAAAAATTAATTATAGGTATTCACTCATTTTCTCTTAATTACTCAAAATCTCATAGAAAATTGCAGGAATTACTGTATTATATAAACAAACTTTATAAAAAAATGTATATTAATTTGCAAAAAATATAATTATAAAAATTTGCCTTTTTACAAAAAGATAATATAATTAAAAAGACAATATTGTTATAATTTTTAATTTCTTTATAAAATTATTGTATTATAAACTTTTAATCTTATATTAAAATTATTATATATTATTAAATTAAATAATTCGATAATAAAAAAAAATAGTACGTTATTTTACGAATGTTGGTATTGGTTAATTTGTTTATATCAAAACCTTATGCAAAATTTTGATATCACAAAATGAATAATTATTCTACTTCACGAACACTGTAATGTTAATTTTAATGCAGTATATAAATATATGATAAATAAATATAATTCAGTAAATACTAAATTGTAATATATACTTAATATAGTACTTAATAATATATACTTAATATAGTAAATACTAAATTGTGACTAGTATATCACTGAATATAAAAATTAATGTTGACTCGAAGAAACAACTAATCGCGACTTTTAAGAATTATAACAGCCAACCATATTGATGAAATTTTACCGATGTAAGGCTGTATCTGACATACCAGAGCAAATTCAACTGGATCATTAATATCATAAATCTTTGTTGCGCGTAGATGTTCACTCAAATCATCGATGCTGCATTCACGTTTATTTAAAATAAAACCATGGACGTGGTAAGACCTATATAGTTGTTTCAAATCTCTCTTATCTAATTGTACTTCTGAAGAAGGCTCTAACTTAGAAATAAAGTTTCGTAAAATAGTTATTGCATGACGATTAAAGATTGTCGTTAAACCAATTGTGCTACGCCAATGAGCTATTTTATCTTTTAAGATCTGCTCTAAATCAGTAGCAGTTTTTTTAATTTGTCTTAGTTCTTCCTCTGTAATATTTAAATCTAATACCTGAACAGTATGATCATTTTTGGTTGAAGTAGTAACATCAATAGATCGCCATTCCTTACTTAATTTTACGTTATACTTGAGATTAAGGGGCAAAACAGATTTCTGCAAATTTTCCCATATCTAAAAAATATGCAATTTATAATTAATGATAAAACAATATTATTTTAAATAAATGATATAATAATAATTATTATACTAACACCAGAATGATTAATTAGTCGGGATACTTTCATTAAAGGACAATGGCTATCATCTAATTTATAGTAATTTCCAACTTCTGTATCCCATAATGTATAGATTCCATTTTCGCTGATACTTAAAACAAATGATGTCCATTTACTTATCTGAGAAGAACCTATTATAGTAATATAAAAAGCATTAATAAACTTAATTTCATAAATGTTTATACAATAAAAAGCAGATGATTTATTTATTACATACCCAATAAAACATATGTTTCTAAATTGAAACCTTGTAATAATACAGCAAGTAGAGCTGCTCTTCCATAGTGATCCACTTTGCGTATATTCAATGCTTGACGTGGCGTGATTGGCCCATAATGATTAGGTAATGATTGTAAAAGCATCACTAATCTTGCAGCATCTTTTGGATTTTCTACACTGTTAATTTTATACGATGTAACAAGACATCGTTGAATTCCTTTTAATAATGTATTTGTAGCAGTACTTTCAACCAACTTAGGAGTACTTGGATGATCTATTTTAATCAGAACATAAATACGAGTACATGGCTGACCAGGACTAGCTTGTATGTATCCAAATAACAAACTTGGACTAAATAATGGAGATAATGTAATCCATCGTTCGAGTTCTTGATAATTTCTGTGATGTTCAAGAGGAATTCTAGCTTCACCTATCCACTGTTGACCCCACACAGGATGTTGATCAAACAAACGAAGCTTTATACAATGTTCTTCATTTTGTCTGGGTAATTCAAAGTACATTGTTTGTTGCCATATAGGTGCTGAACCTTCCGCTATAGATGTTGCATGTATTGTATTACCCCATTCAACTTCTACAAACGGTTGAATTAATGCAGACTCTTCTCTGATTGGTATTTCTATTCCTCGTAAAATAGTTGCAGACAAAATTGTCTTTCCTATTGTGTGGTGTCTGCGGATACCAGACGATGATTCTGATGGATATTTAACTTGGAATAAGTTCCTGAATGATATATTAAATAAAGAAAATGCAGGTTGCTCCATTATGGCTATATCTGGATATTTAGTTTCTTCTCTTTCACTTTTCTTAGCAGTGATAGCTTCTGAATCTTTGCCAAAAGTTAATGCTGCATCTTCCAATAAAAAGTATTTTACTTGTTTTTTATGAATATTTTTTGGCGGCCTAAGTAAAGACAAATTGTTTTGAGGATCATTTGGATCATTACTTAATTTATAAAGATGAGATGTATATGATTCCTCTTCATTTTCACCATATGTACTTAGAGTAACTGCACAAGTGACTGTTCCAGCATGTATTCTACCAAAACTGTCAGCTATTGCAAAATCTATTTCTATTTTATAATTTTCAATGTTCCTCTTTGGTAATGGCAATGGTAAGATACTAGACTGACCACTTTTGGTATGTACTTGTATAGAAAGATTATTGCATTCAAAATTCTTAATTAAAAGTTTATGTAATTTTCTATTGAAAGGACTACTTGTTTTACATATAACTTTCTTTTTAAATAACAAATGAACAGATGTGATTTCAATAGAATCTGATTGGCTCGTGTTAATTTTTACTTCACGAATTACAATTTCTAGCAATTTACCAGAGAATTTTCGTTTTGATTCATACTCTAAGACTTTCAAATTATTAAATTCAGGAAGCTTAATGTCGCTGTAAACAAATGGAAGATTAGAAGCATACAATCCATCTTCAACTAAAGTAGTTTCTTGACATTGTTTTCGCAGATTTTTGGTTTCTTTTACAAAAACATTAATTTCAGGAACTTTGTTTAGGATAGGATATGCATAACAAAGAGTTAAATCTTGCTGTTTTTCATCTTCCACATCATGCTTCACATATCTCTTGATAAAATCAATATCCTCACTGAACATATTAATGTTGCATTACGTATCTTAAAACATGATTTCTTAATAAATTATTAACTTATTATAATAAGTAATTATAAATTATAACTTATTAAACTAATCATAAGAGTATCAATATAATTAATGTATTTTTATTATTTAATTTATTTACATTCACTTAAACATAATTTAATGTTTATTTTGAAAACGTTGCCTAGCAACACGTAAACGATGAGAGCGGCATCTAGAAACACAAAAATATATTAGTACATCCAAGGAATAATTGGTTAACTTGGAATTGTCAATATCCAGTTTTTAACAGAAAATTAATTAACTTATAAATAGATATAGGTTATTAAGGGAAATTCATAATTTCATTCTTAATAATTTAATCATTAATATATACAGAATGTTGTACATGACCAACAATTAGTAGACTAAAATTAGTAGTAAGATTTTGGCTAATAATTTATTTTATTTATTTCAGCTGAGAATTGAGAATGTACCCTATATAAAAGATCATTAATGATAAACATGATTCTTCAATTGCAAAAAATAATTTTATTATTTTATTAGAATTAAAAAGACAGAGAGAAAGATAAAATAAAAGAAGTAAATTTTGAATAAATCATTTCATTGTTATTTGTGTTCCTTGCATGAAATATTTCACAACATCAAAGGAGAAACAAGACCGTAATGAGGACAGAACTAAGAGTAAGGTGAGATCGCAGAATCAAAAGTAGAGAACGGATACGGTCTGTACTCGTGGGCAGGAAGTATGTAAATCAACTACAATTCATCATATAATCAATCTACCGAAGTTTATGAGTCGCATTCCTTGCTCCAGTTTTGTACTATTTCTCTTATAATAAATTAATACACATTTCCTGCACTTAATGAGTTAAATATTTTAGTAATTTTATATCTCAAAAAATCACGATTGTCTTTACATATAATGTCGAATCAAATGTTTGAATATTCTTAAATTATTTTGTTTCCTTTGTGAAAGGGAATCGTTTTTTATTGTTCTTAATATTTCAGTATATTAATTTTGTTGTTATTTGTTATTTTCTGATAATAACAAACAAAACTGTTTTAATGTATTTTTGTTTGTTACTGTTTTAATGTATTTTTAAGAAGTTTCAATTGTGGTCATATTTATAGAACACCCGGTATACGACAGAGACAAGATCAATACCTAATACGGGTGTACATAATTCAAATATTATAAAATTCCATATATGAGTGAAAAAGATCTTGCCAAATGATAAAGTTTTATATTCTTTTTAATGCATGTAAAAAGTTCATGTAAACTTCAATATTATATTATACTGAAATACATGGGAATTAAAATATTGAAGTTTTAATTTTAATACTGAATACGTATATATAAATATTTTTTGTATTTACTAACTATGCAATTATAAATTTTGTACGAAAATAACAAAAAGATATAAATAAACGTACAGTTTAACAAAGATGGTTTATTTATTGTTAATTTATAATTTTATATCAATTATATATCAATATGTAAAATGAGTTACTTTCATAAGCAAATATAAAGTATAAAGAAATATTGTAAAATGATTAAAAAATTATCAAATGTACAAATTATTTATAAGAAATTATATTATTTAATATATCATTGATATATATGTACTGGAAATAATAACGATCTACACGATAATTAAAAGAAAAATAATTTTCTTTAAGCAAATACCTTTGACGTAATATCTTTAGATTTGCGATATTTCACATACAAAAATACATTTTGTTACAAGGGAGGTAAGTATTCCAGCGAATTACGTGAGTCACCAATCAGAATGCATAATCCAAATATGGAAGAAACCATCGCGCATCGCAACTAGAGTTTTGTACAAAAAAAAATCGTCCTCATTTTTCCGAACTTTGACCAGATGCTTCACCTGAAAATCAATTTTACCTATTGTTAATTTAATATAGCATAATAAGTAAAATATATTGTTATTAATATTGAAGAGAAAGATAATTATGTCGTTAATACAAGGGACTATATTTTCCGTATAAGGATTGTCTGTTCAGTACTTGTGGGTACTGCGGTCGAAAAAAGACCAATCATGAAAGGGAATGAGGCCATCGTCGACCAATCAGCGCTCAGGACGAAGTCGTCGACCGAGGGTATAAATGACCGTTCTACTGACCGGTGATGCATTCGTTTGACGATTATTGGGCGGAGTTGCCGTAGTTGTTAGCGAAAGCTCCATTACTTGCTTGAGCCAACTATTAACGTCATACGTCCGTTTCTACTTCCTTTTTTTAAAAGAGTTTTGGAAGACTTTACACTGCAAAATGGTAAGTTTTGATCTATTTTCAGTGGTTTAGGATATACGAAAGGAAAATAATGTTGCGTTGCTGGAGTGGGAACAGCCATTTTGTAACGGTTAAATGCCGGCCGGTTTCCGACTTCATTTTGAATTGATATATTTTTGGAATTTTTCCTTTTTGCATTTGAATTATTTTTGTTTATCGAAATGTTCTTATCATATATTTCTCTGTATTTTATATAACGAATAAGCAATGATTTGATTTTTTAAATATCTGAACAACCGAGTTCATTGAACTTTGTCCATTGGTTGTTAATTTTAATTTAACTTTAACTATAGATACGTCAACTTTTCATTTCTAAGAAGATAGCTATCATTAAGAATTTAATATAGAAATTATTAACTATAGAATATTTAGTTATTTTTATAACTAAATATTTGCAAGTTCTTTAATTAATATATGTATGATATATTTTACATTTTATTTCACAGCGTGAATGTATCTCAGTCCATGTTGGACAAGCTGGTGTCCAGATTGGAAATGCCTGCTGGGAATTGTATTGTCTGGAACATGGCATCCAGCCTGATGGTCAAATGCCATCTGATAAAACTATTGGTGGGGGCGATGACAGTTTCAACACCTTCTTTAGCGAAACTGGTGCAGGGAAACACGTACCTAGAGCAGTCTTCATTGACCTGGAACCCACAGTAGTTGGTTAATATCTTGTTACTCTGTTAAATTGCAATATGTAATTGTTTATGGAAAATTATAACCAAATTAATTTTTACATTGCAGATGAAGTACGCACTGGTACCTATCGACAGCTGTTTCATCCAGAACAACTAATCACTGGCAAGGAAGATGCTGCCAACAACTATGCCCGTGGTCACTATACAATTGGAAAAGAAATTGTAGACCTTGTATTGGACAGGATTCGTAAATTAGCTGACCAATGCACAGGTCTTCAAGGATTTCTTATTTTCCACTCCTTTGGAGGTGGCACTGGTTCTGGATTCACTTCTCTTTTGATGGAACGTCTTTCTGTGGACTATGGCAAAAAGTCAAAATTAGAATTTGCTATCTATCCTGCTCCACAAGTTTCCACTGCAGTTGTCGAGCCATATAATTCAATTCTAACCACGCACACCACTCTTGAACATTCCGATTGCGCATTTATGGTCGACAATGAAGCCATTTACGATATTTGTCGCCGGAACTTGGACATCGAAAGACCTACTTATACTAATTTAAATCGACTGATTGGTCAAATTGTGTCCTCCATTACAGCTTCTCTACGATTTGACGGTGCATTGAACGTTGACTTGACTGAATTCCAAACGAATTTAGTACCTTATCCAAGAATTCACTTCCCCTTGGTAACATACGCACCCGTCATTTCCGCAGAGAAGGCATATCACGAGCAGCTCTCTGTATCAGAGATTACAAACGCTTGTTTCGAGCCAGCTAATCAGATGGTAAAATGCGATCCTCGCCACGGAAAATACATGGCCTGCTGTATGTTATACAGAGGCGATGTGGTACCTAAAGATGTAAATGCTGCAATTGCTACCATCAAAACAAAACGTACTATTCAGTTTGTCGATTGGTGTCCAACTGGTTTCAAAGTTGGTATCAACTACCAGCCGCCGACTGTGGTACCTGGTGGTGATCTTGCCAAAGTACAGCGTGCTGTTTGCATGTTGTCGAATACTACTGCTATTGCAGAAGCCTGGGCCCGTCTTGATCATAAATTTGATCTTATGTACGCCAAACGTGCATTTGTTCATTGGTACGTCGGCGAAGGTATGGAAGAAGGTGAATTTTCTGAAGCACGTGAGGATCTTGCGGCTCTTGAGAAGGACTATGAAGAAGTTGGTATGGATTCCGCTGAAGGTGAAGGAGAAGGCGCTGAAGAATACTAAAAAGCTTTAATTAGCTCGTATATTACGACTGTTTTGATATCTTTTTTTTTTTTGCTAATAAAAAAACAGATTGTCATCAGCAATGATGTGTCTTTAATATTCAGAAATCCTAAACATTTTTTATGTTGAATAATCGTCTTATTTTATTGTTTTATTTATTTATATATTCGTAAATATTGTTTACAATGAGTATAACTTTATCTAATGCGATTAGATGTTTTATACAAAAACTTTTATAAAATTGTAAGAAAATCCTCTGTTTAAATATTTATATAATAATAAAGTGGTAAAAATATATATGTTTATTGTACATTTCTTCGGGAGGCACAAAATTACATATAAAAAGTGAAAAAAACTAAAAATTCGAGTATTGTGTGAAGAAAATTTTTATATCTTGTCTCTTAGACGTTTATACAAATTAATAATTTATAAAGCAATAATGGCTACCTTTTAAACATGTTCATATTTTATTTTAATTTTATATTACAATTTCTTCAAAATAATCTTCATCTGAATCATAATTAGGATAAAACCGGTAATCAATATACATATCATCATCTTCATCGTCGTCATCTTCAATCGGCATTCCATGATATAACATGTTATAACATTTAGAATCCATATCTTGAAAATGTTCGTAAGGCTTATCACGATTAAGAATGGTACTGCATAACCAGCAAAAATATGTATTGCATCGCCAACACACCATTTTGTTGCAACCATCGGATTTCTATAAAATAATTATATCATGTAAATAATTCCATACAAAGTGATCCCATTACATTAACTCAAAAGTAATGCCATCTTTATAATAACAAGACTGTCTTGTATTATGTATATTTTAAATTATTTGTTATTAAATTTAAATACCTCAATCGCAGTTTGACATTTAGGACATTTCTGACTGTTACTTTTAATCCAATTCTCAGACATAGCATTTTCTACCAGAGTTTGGAGTTGCTTCTTACCATAACGTTGCTCCATTTGCCGTTTGTTATCATCAGGAGCTTCTTGATACTCAGCTACCACTTTATGTATTTCAGCTATATAGTACAATTTCAAATATTAATTTTAATATTTTTAATATTAAACATCAGTGAATTTAATGAGTTTAAATAGTAATGTTTAAATAATCTATGGAAATATACCTGAATAAACTTTGCATGGTTCTATGCCGTGATACACCATTTTGCAATAAACGCAAAATGCATATTGACAGATTGGGCAATTTGCCATTTGTTCATTCGGTTCCCGACTAACTGGATATTGACAACTACGTCTTGGACAATATACTATATCTCCCATAGTGTCTAATGTGGCACTCAATAGTATAGAATCATATTTCACAAACAATTCTGAGCTTACTAAGTCCTTTATCTGAAAATATTAATAATGATTTTTGACACATTAAAAGGTAATAGATTTTGAAATGAACAAGAAAATCACCTGTGCAGGTGTTACTTCAGAGGTACATTTTTCTTCTGGACAATAAATATTTTGTACATTTCCATCTTTGATTCTTACTTCTAAGTAACTAGCCATGCAATCTTTACAAAATACATGACCACATGGTAAAAATTGTGTACAATGCTCTCCTAATTTGTCCACAAAACAAATTTTACAAGTATAAAAGTTCTTCTTAAATTCAGATTGATTACGTTTCTCACTGTAATCAATCAATGTTTGTATGGGGTTTTCCCCAATAGGACAATCTAATACGGCACGTTTATCACGACATTTCCTCACTAATTTTTCCTTATTTAAATATTTGACATTAGTCCCTTTTTTCATAGCGTTCCTTGTATCTTCTATGGTACATTCTTTGTCTATATTATCTATTTTACTTTTATGAATATTATGTACTATTTCCAAGGCTTCTTTATAGCGTGTGTAAGCACGACTCATATTAAGATGATCTTGTATATTTAAAAATTCCAGAGTTTCATCATGTAGGAAAGCCACCCATGTAAACAATATTTCTTGTCCTTTACTTTCTTTCCACAGCTTGTCTAATTTTTTACATAATTTAGTTAACATGGGAAGATCCAACCAAGATGAGTATAAAGTAAATTTCGGTGGCAACTCAGAAGGATAATTTTTTGGTAGAAATACATGAAGTTTTAATGGTGGTAAATGAGATATTTTAATCTTTTGCTCAGGCTCATCCACTTGCCTATAATTCTTATATGTTATATGGTAATTGATAGGAAGATTTATGAATATCATAAAAGTACATTGGTATTGATCATTCTCCTTGTGATATGAAAATTCTTCTGAATTGTAAATACTTTCCAATGCAACAATCTCATCCTTTTGCTTTTCACTATCCATCTGTATAAATTGGATGATCAGTAGTAGAAAAAATACAAGATTAAGTTTGTCTTAGCACTGAAAAAACACAAAATTTAACAAAAAATTTATATATATATATATACATAGTGTACATGCAAATTTTATCAACAGTTAATGATATGAATTTTTTTATATATAACATACTACTTTCATATTATTTTTTGTTGTATTTGACAGTTATAGGTTAAGTAATATTAAAAGCTATTTAAAACAGAAAAAAGATGTCATTTTTGATTTATTTTATTAAAATTAAAGAATATAATTAACAATTTATATCAAAATCGAAAAAGAAAAAGACAATGTAAACTAACTAGTTATATTCATAATAGTCACTTTCATATTGCAACATCGTATTACCTCAATCATTAATACGAAAAATACACTCTGATAATGATTATATATTCACTCAAACGAAATTTTCATCAAAAAACAAACAGCAAGATTAAAATGTAACTTTCGAACTAAGTTTTAACTTATTTTATGTCATTATCAAAGTTTGATGTAATACGTAAGAATTTTGGATCATGTGTAAAAGACAAAGGGACTATTTTTACTATAGAATATAGAAAAAATATTATGCAACAGAATAATAAAGGAAAGAGATATAAATATCTTTTAAATTTGTTTTCGTTGAAAGTTTCCTAAATCGAAGTTAAATTTTGTAACTGATTTCTTTTCCTACCGTAATGATGTTAAGCGTATGTGTGTTCACATTTGAAAACTATAAATGTGTACATCAAGATATCAATTATTAGTGCATTATTACAGAGGTGAACAAGATGTTATTCTATTTACACGAAGGAACAACACATAACTGATAATAATTGGTTACGTCAATTGTTCATTGAAACATATGATTCGCCGAACGACTTCGCACAATTTTCAAAATGTTGAATGTAATATACAATGACGACAATTGGAAATTTATTTTTCCAATTTTATTCAATTTCGTGATGTCAGTTACCGTGTATTTTTTAACTGTACGTTTGATACCGAGAATAAAAAATATGTTTGTCAAAGCTAACCTATATGGCATTGATATGAATAAGAAAAGTGGTGAAAAAGTGTAAGTGGGCCTGTTCAAGCCATATAATTTTTAGTTATCTCATCATTTCCTCTAATGGGCATTAATTTCGCTGCAGGTAATTTGCACGTATCAATTTTTTTTACAGGCCCGAAGCTTTAGGTGTTGTCACTGGATGTCTTTTTCTTATAACATTATTCTTGTTTATTCCTGTACCATTTACAAATTACATATTCAATGATACAAACTTTCCTCACAGTGAGGTAATAAATACTTTTCATAAATTATCATTTGCAACATTTATATTTTAAATGAAAAATGATATTAATTGAATGAATCACAATTTCTAATATACAAGAGGTATAATACATTAAATTTCAATTACAGTTTATGGAATTTTTGGCAGCTTTGCTCTCAATTTGTTGTATGTTACTTTTGGGATTTGCTGATGATGTTTTGGACCTTCGTTGGAGGCACAAATTATTATTGCCAACTATTGCTTCTTTACCACTTTTAATGGTGTATTATATTAATTTTAACTCTACACTAATTATTGTGCCAAAACCCTTAAGATCGTGGTTTGGTTTTTCGGTGGATCTTTGGATATTTTATTATTTATATATGGGAATGCTGGCAGTATTTTGCACAAATGCTATAAACATATTAGCTGGTATAAATGGTTTAGAAGTTGGACAAAGTTTAGTAATTTCGATAAGCATCCTGTTATTTAATATAATAGAGCTATCAGGAGATCTGTGGAAAGCACATCAATTCTCATTATATTTTATGCTTCCATATATAGCTACATCATTGGGCTTATTAAAATTTAATTGGTAAGTTGTATATGAAATAGAAAATAATAATGGATAAATTTGATTCTTTGGTACGAAAGGATATAGACAAATGAGAAAAAAATAATTATAACTGTTTTCTTTATATGTATATAAATCATTTAACATTCACAATTCATTCAACATATTATTTTGGTATATAAATTCAGTACAATATTATATAGTTTACATTGAGTATTGAGTATGAGTTAATATCACAGTCAGGTGTGACGAATATGTCAATAATAGTCTAATTTAGCATAGAAATTCTCTACTAGCCAGTCGTATTTCCATGTATTATTAAGTATTGTTTCAGGCGCAAAATAGAGGTCCCGAGATTTAGAGACTCTTAAGAGATTAGTTTTTCCATCTAACCACAATCCACTTCCTATTAGGTCCTCGATAAACGGTACGTCGATAGTTTTTTCTATTTGAATTTCTTTGGATTTAACTTTATCATGTAAACTAGTTATAATATTCGCGGGTGCTTGACATAGGTAACAATACCACCCTCCATAATGATTTAAATCTCCTATTACTAGGCCTAGGCTATCTCTTTCACTTAAATCTCCTTCCAGTTGTTCTAACATGATAGAATTTGATTGATAAGCTTCGCGCATTAATCCAACTGTACATGCACCAACTGTTATCGTTGTCTTAAGTGGATGTTGCCAGAAGAACCCATAAACAGACCATCTTAATCTAAACCCAATAGGTTGTGGCCATCCATTATATACTTTGAGGAACATTAATGCCCTGGAGTTTAATATTTGTTCTGGTTCAGTCGTTATATAAATGTCGTCGTCCCTTAAATTTCGTACTACAGTCTTCAGCTTATCCCAGATGTATTTAGATACTATTCTTGATGGTTTGTGCATTTTTGTCGCTATATTAATATATAAAATTTTCTTCTGTTTCTGTTGTAATAAACCTTTAAGTAGTTTATGATGAAAATTATCTTCTGCATTACTGAAATCACAGATTACAAAAAAATCTACTACATTGTATAGTTCTTCTACTATCACCTCTGCAATTGCCGAGTTATGTTCGTGTAGAAAAAATGTATGAATAATACGTCTAGCTATTTTACGATACTTCAGATTAATGTTTTGCTTCGATGCCATGATTGCTCTCCAAACAACTTCTGGTTGACCACAGTCTGAGCCATGCCACCCATGAATACAAATACATTTTTGAAGGTCTTCGCTACTTTTCATTTTTTGATCGTCCACTCCACGTTTCCAACAAACAGTATGATTGTATACTTCGAACAGAGTGAAAGTCTTAATCTCATTCAGTACTACCTCCTCATTGATTGTCTGGTAGATGGGAAACTTTTTACGAATTGTTTGTCGAATTTTTGGTTCCTAAAATTTAAAACATGCTTAGAATTTTTGTTAAAATTTGAAATAACAAATAAAATGGTTTGTATCTTACCTTCGGTTTTTCAAATTTTACAAATGTAACAGAGGTATGAGTTGTAGATACAGTTAATTCAGAAGGTGGAGTTGTAGCCACATAAATCATAACAATCAATACTTGAAGAACTAATAGTGTATATAATAAGGCCAGTTTCCCATCTAGGCGTGGCTGCATGGCACTGTTCTTTGCTTTATTTTTTTTTTTTTTTTAATTTCTCATTTCATACTTTTAAGAATTTTACTTTAATCATAACATTTTTATTGCTAAAGAGGCCCATCCATAATCAATGTATGTGTAAGTCTACGGAATGAAGTTTGAACTTGCTGATTACATTTTTTTTTTTTCATATTATAGCAAGCAATAATTATTACTCAAAAATCATGCCTAAGATATAAAATGAATAAAAAAATCTATATACTAGATTAAGAAATCCCTTTTACATGTGATATGTAGTTGTATTCGCAAATTTTGATTATCAATTGTAATATTATTGATATGTTCTGTACGTAATTCGTATATATGAAACTCACAATATAGCCTAACGTAAATGATGATGTGAATGCCTTCGCGTCGTGACGTTTAAATCGTGATATCACCGCTCTTCGACGTGCCATTTAATTTTAAATGGCCTCGATCGCTCGTTAACAACTTCTTCAATGAATGGAACAATGTTTCCTATCCAACCTTTCGTATTCTACTAATCGTACGATCGTTCGCAGCATAATGCCACATATTTTCACCTCTCCTTGGCGGATCAAATTTGTTATTGAAAGTTATGTCGTCGTTCCATTGAGGAGTCCTTCTGAACCTCCTGTCAAGAGAAGTGTAACTAGTTGAAAAACCACGCCCGAATGCTTCCTTCTACGCAACCTCTTTTACGTTACTTTCCTGGCAGGCGCGATTGCAACCCTATTCAAGGCGCACGCGTCTCCATGTATCAATTAGAAAAATTTATTGTTCGCGGAAATAATTAATTTTGTGTAGACAGAAATTTTAATTTAGTCTACGAGATACATAAGTTATTTAATTTCTTCGAGTTTTTTTGAAAATAAATATTTTGCTAAAATAATTTTGAAAATTTATAATTTTAGAATTTACATCATCTATAGACATATTATAGAATTTGTTTCATATTTAATTTTTCAGTTCTTTTTTTTTTAAAGAAAAATATGAATAATTATTTAAAATATCATGTATTTCTTCTAATTTAAATGTGTTCTAAATCAGCATTAAATAGTAAATTTTAAGTAAATAAAATTAGTAAAATTTTTTAAAGATATTACTGTTTTTTCAAGGTATCCAGCAGAGGTATTTGTGGGCGATACTTTTTGTTATTTATCTGGAATGACGTTTGCCGTTGTTGGTATCATCGGACATTTCAGTAAAACAATCTTATTATTTTTCATTCCACAAATAATTAATTTTCTTTATAGTGTACCGCAATTATTTCATTTTATACCATGTCCTAGACATAGACTGCCAAAGTAAGTCTGAAAATCGTCATTACTTTTTCGTATTATTTTGTATGAACAATTATACACACGCAATTTATTTACAGATACAATAAAAAAACTGATAAGTTACAGATTAGTACTACAGTATTTAATAAGAAAGATATTGGCTCTCTAGGTACGAAAAAATATATATGTATATGTTAATTTAATTTGAAATTAAATGAATTTTTTTGATAGGTAAATTCATAGCATGGATATTTAGAAAATTAAATATAATAGAATGGCAAGAAGATGACCACGGTATTGTTACTTGCAATAATTTTACACTAATTAATTTCGTGCTTATCAAGACTGGACCAATGAAAGAACCTACACTTACATTAATTTTGTTACTAATTCAGGTAACATATTAATATTTCACGTTCATTTTCATTAAATATTAAAAATGTTCTAATATGTTCTTCGATATTTACATATTCTAATGTGTTAAAAATTTTTAATGTTTCAGATTGCTAGCAGTTCATTGGCATTTCTCATAAGATATCCTCTTGCTTCAATCTTCTACGAAGTTTGAAAAAAAAATATGTTCAAAAACTGCAAAGTTTCATACTTTATATATTATTTTATAATGAAATGATTTGGAAAGTATTTCACCTGAAATTTATATCATGATTTACTAATATTATTATTAAAAATATTATTAGTAAAAAATATTTATAAAGTTGACCTTCATACGCATTTACCTACAGAAAACTAATAGTAAAATTTCTTTTTTCGAAGTGATTCAATTTTTATCTAAACATTTTTCGCTGCGGATGATAATGATAATGATGTAAATCAATTTGAAATGAGAAATTCTGGATAATTTCGCATAATAATCTTTTAATATAAATGTACTTTTATGCTTGCATTTATTTATATGGCGGTTATCTCGCAATTATGAAAATATTATTTTATTGTACTATTATCACGAAATAAAACATGTTCCTTTACTATTTGTAAAATTTAATAATCTTCGATTATAAATATCACAATCTATTGGGAGTTTTGGATTAAATGAAATGAAGTTCATAATATTTGGAAAATAATATAACACATAATAACATTGACAGTTTTATATATAAATTATACACAATTGATTAAAAATGTTTTATAAGCTTTATACACAAAATAATACAAAATACAATTTTTGACGATTAGTTGATAAACTATTATAAATTATTATTAAATTATGCATATTTTCGATTATTTTTTATCAGCAACATTCATATGTATATATATATACATTCTTTGCTATATTTGCAAAATTTTTTATATATATATAAAATTTTAAAATTGTATATATATATATATATATATATATATATATATATATATATATAATTTTTATGTTATATATATATAAAATATATTTTTCCAAATACAGCAAAGAATTTTTAGGATACTTAAGTAATTTAAACGTAGCTAATTGCGACAAATTTGTATAACGATGCAAATAGAGTACAACTTTTTTAATAAAAATTTTAGATCAACAATTATAGTGATAATAGGCGTTCTGTCTTTTATAAGATCTTAAATCTAATAAAAACAAACTAAATATTTCATAAATGCAACTTTTAAAAGTCTTGATTATAGAAACTATTGGCAAAAATATTACATACTTGAGATTTTGTTCATAAAAGTATGTTTGAACTTGTAAAAGTATTGTTTGAAAAAATATTGAATAAGGAACGAGTACACGTATGTGTAGTTGCAAAAGCAATCAATAATTCTATTATTGCGGAACTTCTATTAAAACTCTGTACAAAATTATGTTCATGTCGTACATATATATGAAACTTTATTCTTTAATTCTGGTAACCACGTGTATTTTTAATTTGAAATTTCGATTTTAATCAGTATAGTTCCATAAAAAATTATGAAAGTATATTATGAAAATTCGTTATTACATCCAAACCTAATCTTTCTTTTACTGTAAGTCGTATTTTTGCGGCATCTCTCAAACTGAATAGATGTGAAAGTTCCATAGACGTGCGACCTAATGCTAAAGCTTTATCAAATAGTTTTATCGCTTCTTCTACATTTCCTCTGTTAAGAAAATAATTATTGTTAGTATGGTATATAAAAAGTGTCTAGTCTTTACGTTTATTTTCTTAAGAGAATAGGTGTGTGTGTGTGTATATATATATATATATATATATATTCAAAAATCAATTTACCTTTGAACTTCAATCGTTCCTAAAGTTTCATACCCATATTCACATTTATCATCCATCTCCAATGCTTTATTAATATATTCAATAGCTTTTTCAACATTACCATGCCATTGCAGTTGCAATAAACCTCTATGTACATAAACTGTAGCGTTATTTGGATCTTTTTCAATTGCTTTAGCAAAGTAGATGTCTGCTCTCTGATATTCTTGTATTTCCGTTAACATCTATACCATAAAACACATGATACAATAAATTTATATGTTACTTAATGTTGATTTTGAAATATTCAAAATATTTGTTTATACCTGTGCATACAAAGTATAACATTCTGGACAATCTGGGAATTTTTCAAAAGCAGCTTCAAAATCTTTCATGGCTTTCTCCATTATTTCTTTACTTCTTATCATTGTACCATATCGATAATCTGCATAACATTTTTGTACATATGCTACTCCGAAGTTAGGATTGAATTCTACAGCTTTTGTGAAATCTTCTCTGGCTTTATCTATCTTATCCATAAGCAAATTTACCTATAATCGTATAATGTACTTTTATCAATATATTGCAATATAATCATATTTATAATTTTATATTTTGTTTAATTAATTATATTTAAAAGATTTTTTTGAAATATTTAATGGAAAATTATAAAAATTTGTACATGTCCTCTATGATGATAAACATCGCCACATTCAGGATCAAGCTCAGCAGCAGTTTCAAAATCAGAGAAACTCTTGTCTGGATTTTCTAATTGCATAAATAAGGTAGCTCTCTTTATTAAGGCATTCACTTTTATAGCTTTTGGAACACTGTCATTGTCTATAATAGTTCCAAAGTCTTGGATTGAAGCATCATGTTGTCCTAATAACAGATAAAATGTAGCCCGTAAGAGTAATACTTTCATTTTATGTGGCAGTGTATCTGGATCAGAACTATTGATTTCTTCAGTACAAATTGGTATTACATCATCGTACTTCTGTTCTTTTACACATTGTAAAGCTTTTGCAAAGCCCCTAAAATATAACATATAAACAAAATATATAACACATTAATTATATAAAATAATAATAATTTAAGGAAATAAAATTAAAAGTAGTTCATATACTTACGGTGATATATCACTATAATCAGTATCTTGAAGCATTGAAAAGACTGGATCTTTATGGAAAGTAATGATATATGTTTTGATGAAATATTTACTAGGCATAACTAATTTTTTATTTGCCAAATATTGTGTTGCATGTTGTCTACCTAAAAAAAAGTATCAAATTTATATTTATTAATATTTTAATTAAATTATTTTATATATTACATGCACAATTTACCTAATTGTTTTAGAACCCTATCTGCCATTAACATTGCATTTTGATTTGAAAAATTTTCCAAAATACAAGCAGCAGTGATATTTTCTAAAGCTGATTCTAATTCATTACAGTATTCCATCGCTCTTGCTCGACGTATTAGTGCTTTTACATACTTCGGATTTAATTCTAGGGCTTGTGTACAATCTGCTTTCACACTACTATATTTTTTCTATAATATATCATTATGATATATAATTTAAACTAATAATTTACCCTGTCAAATGTCATTACTGTAAAACATCTGTGAATAATTTATTACCAGTTGTTCATAGGCAGCTGCTCTGTTTTGATAAAAAGTAGCAAGAGCTGCTGTGTTCTCTTCTGGGCATGCTTCAATCGCACTATTGTAATGACTTATTGCTTCATCGTATTTTCCTATTTTAAATTGCTCATTCCCTTCATTTTTTAATCTCAGAGCTTTCTCCAATGGAGTCTATAATGACATATCCTTATTTGGTATACCGAAAATATGAAATGCAAATAATACTGATGTTCAGTTTTTACAAGTCTTCATTAGTGATTTCATGATAAAAAAAATTAACTGATAAAAAGTCAATATGAAAACAGTACATTACAAGCAAACTGTTACTAATAAACAGTCTGTTCATACAAATTTTCATTCTGCATAAACACTATATTTTCACACGTTGATAAAGAAGTTGGACTCAAGTAATAATCTATCTTCTAATTATTAAATATCAAGCATATTGAGCTTATGTTTTTACACATTTAAATGTATAAACACTCGAAATTTATTGAACAAAAAAAAAAAAAAAAATGAAAATGTAACGTTCAAAATGTTTCTAACCTCTGGCTCGCCAGTACTTTTCGGTGGACTATCGATATCGATTGATATTTGTTTATCGGCAGATGGGGCGCCATTTTTCTTTAAGTTATTCTTCGATTTGCCGCGGCTAGGCTTTGATGACGGTTTGGAATTCTTAAAATACATGTAACCAAGCCCCAAAGCAACCGGCGCTGCAACAGCCAAAGCGAGTTGCCATTTTGGTAATGGACTACCGGCCACGCTCGCGCCACTTGCTCCTGTCATTTCGTCGTCAATTTTTCGCTGTTCCTAAATGTCAACGGCTTCTTACGGCTTCACACTCCTCTTCTAATCTCACTGATGTGGAAACGAACAGCGAAAACTAACAGAAAATGTCGAGCGACCATGCGGGAAGCTCGCTATAGGCACTTGCAGACGAATCCTTGAAGAAACGAATCGTTTAGTACACATTTTCGCCGCTGTCTGAATTAGCGCTTAATCTTATCAACGGTTACAAGACTATAATACGATACTGTGATATATTAAGGTTGATATACAATGCTAAATTGTCGAAGTTCGATGGGTGACTTTTCCGAGGATAGATTTAAATATGAAATTATTTAAAAGAAAATAACCTTTGAAAAAAAAAAAAAAAAAAAAAGAGGATGGCGCAGTAGATTTAAAGCAATTAGTGACGACTAAAGATAGAATAAGGAGAAACTCAGTAAAATGAAAGATCGGTTGGAGGTATTCGAAAAGTTTACAATTCAATTCTCTAGATTAATTTTTTTCACAAATGAAAACATCTGTTTTAAAGGGGACTACAAACAGTAGTGCCACATTGTAGAAAAATGGTAAAACTAGACACTTCATATTCATATCACAGCGAGGTCACAAACGTGATACATATATGAATAGACCACAGACAAGGTATATGACCTCATCTATGTACGAAATCTCATTTGATGCATATTCCGTGTTTAGTCAATGATCATATGTATCGTGTTTCAAAAAAATATTTAAGATTTTGCTTTGTGTTGTAAATAAATTTATGTAATAAAAAATGCATTATATTGTTTAATTTACTACTATATAAATTTTGTTCTAGTATACACGAAATAGCATGATTTGATATTCGCGCGTTTAGTTGCGTATATATAAAAATTTTTATCTAAAAGATGGCAACGATTTGTCAACAGGAATTAAGTTTCGTCTACGTTATCTATAGACTGTCGAATTTTAAAGGAAACGTGAACCACGAGAAATGTAATGAAAGTTACGAAGTTCCACGAAAGATGGTAACTAATAGAAGAGTTTCATTGTCTTTCAAGAAATTATAACTTGTATCGAATTCACGATTTCGCACACTTCGATACAAGTGTGACGTTTACTAAAAATGGCACTACAAGAAGATGAAAACACCTGGTGAGTTAATTTTCAAATTTCAGTACATTTTCCAAAGAAAGAGTACTCTTTATTTCGGCAAACATGAATTTTAATCGTTCGTCTTATCGACGAGATATTCCAAAATATATTTTTACAATTTAATATCGATTGTTGTTTTATGATGTTATTTTTCTCTTTTTCGAATATTACAAAACAATATTAATAAATTAACAAATAAATCATACAAATTTTACGTTATCCGTTGTAAATTTTTTCGTAATCCTTCTGGGAAAAGTGCAATGAATATTTAAGCATTATGTTCTTTTTCAAGCTTGTTCATATATTTACAGATGTTTATTAATTACATTATGAAAGTATTCATATAAACAATTGTTATACATAATAATTGCAACATGTATTGATATGAAGCTTATACGAACAAATTATATTTATCATAATAAATGTATTAATGAACAATGATGATTTAGGATTTTAGAGCTGGAAGCAGCTCTTCTTGATACACAAACTCCATCGGCATCTGATATATATGCAATTTGTAAAGGACAAGCTGTACCTACAAATTTAAGACCTGATGTGTGGCAAGCTTGTTTAGATGTTATCGATCGGGGTAATCAGTTAAGTCAGTTCAATGAAGTTTTTGATTTACCAGAACAAAATATTATACGCGATGATTGCCAACAATTGGTTGGTAAGTTGAATATACATTGGATGATTTATATATAACTTTTTTTATTATGGAATATGTTTCTTTTGCAGAAAAACTAGGAAATGATGATGAAGATAAAGTTTCTGTTGTTTCCGATTTAGAATCTATTTTAACATTTTATTGTAAGAGTAAAGGGAAGCAATATAAAAGAGGAAATGGTTGGATAGAATTGTTAGGTCCTTTAATAGCTTTAAAACTCCCACGAAGTGCAACATATAATTTATTTGAAGAAATAATTGACTTTTATATTCCTAGGTATTTATTAGTATTTTATGATTAATTCTTTATACTTATTTATATTAATATTTTCCTTATCTTTTATATTTTCCCAGAGGTGAAACATATAGTTCTGTATTAAGACTATTACTACTCTATCACGAACCGGAACTATGTTCTTTCTTGGATACGAAACGAGTGTCTCCTGATCAATATACAAAAGGATGGGTAACTACTTTGTTTGCTGGTGTATGTTCGCTGCCAGCTGTTTGTACAATGTGGGATCTGTATTTCATGCAAGCTGATCCATTTTTTATGTTATTTCTTTCACTTATTATGGTGATAAATGCCAGGTGACAGAATTGCAAAAAATATTATTACTAAGTAAAGTTATTATGAAATTTATTGTATTACATCTTACAGGGAACAAATCTTAAGTATGAAAGATAATGATAAACAAAGTATAATAGACGCAATTGCTGCTATGCCATGTGCATTGGAAGCAGAAGATGTGACAGACTTTTGTTCATTGGCACAGTATTATGCAATGAAAACGCCATCATCCTTCAAACAAGATTTATATCCTATTATGTTTGGCGATGGTTTTGATGAAAAATGTATATCACATGTACTTTGTTTGCCTGTATCGGCCCAAGAATTAGTTGAAAATTCCATCGAGAGTCCGTCCATGGCTAATATCTCGGTTGAATCTGTTAAATTTTTTTTGGTAGACTGCAGACCTGCTGAACAGTATAATGCAGGACATTTACCAACTGCATTTCATTTAGATTGTGATTTGGTATGTTGTTTTTATCGTTTTCTTATTTATCAAAGTTTTTTTTTATAATTTATAAATGCCATTTTAGATGTTACAAGAACCTGCTGCTTTCGCAACAGCAGTACAAGGATTGTTGCAAGCACAGCGACAAGCATTAGCTGTTGGATCGCAAGCTGGTGGTGAACACCTCTGCTTTTTAGGGAGCGGTAGACAAGAGGAAGATCGTTATACGCATATGGTAATTGCATCTTTTCTACAGAAACATACCCAATATGTTAGTATGGTTACATCAGGATATCAAGGTAATTATTATATTTTATTCATTTAAAAAATTTGATGCAATATAATTATATTACGAGGGTGTTTCATTGCAGCTATACATGAATATTTTGGTGATGAAGTCGTTTCTAGTCTTGTTGATCATAATTCACAGCATTGTTTAGTATGCAGCGCTAATATTTCAGAGACAAATTCAAACGAAGCAAGTCCTGCCAAGGTTAAAAATAATAATTCCGATTTCTTCGGAAAAATAAAAAAAGTAAAGGTAAAATTATTCGATTATATCGTTAATCCGTCAGCAAGTATGCATAATAATATAGAAAACAGAAACGGCAAGGACTTGGATTTTGTTAAACGACAGAAAAAGACGGCCCCAGTATTTAGTATAGATGATGATCAAGAATTGGGTACGTTCTTATTTGAATTGAGATATTCCTCGAATTCATGATTTAAACGAATGTTTATATTAGAAAGTATTAATTGTATAAGTTCGCGGATGTATAGCGTGAAATTCGGAGTAGATTCTCTTTAATTGGGCTTCGTTTTAACCGGCTAATGTTTGTTATAAAAATAAATTGTGATTTTTCTATAATAATAATGGATTTTAACATAAAGTCATATACCTATTATTATATTTATTTATTATATGTCACAGATATGACAATGACAAATAATGAAAGTGAAGAACCTATTGAAGTTGTATCTATTCAACAATGGATGAAAGATCCGAAATTGTTACATTCCTTTAAATGTCAAGAAGTGAAAGTCAACGGAGATCTCTGTGATAGGTGAATAATTTAATCAAAATGTTAACATTATTTTATTTAACATTGTTAATTGTTCGTTATTGTTTTATATGAATTTTTTTTCAGTATACTTTTGGTCACTGATAGTCACCTAATAGTTCTTCGGGAAATACAAGAAAGAAAAGGTGCAGCACATGTAATTGTAAAACGTCCGTTAACGAGTATTGTTAAAATAACATCTAGAAAAAGACATTCAGATTTGATTACATTTAAATACGGCACAACGCAATATAATGATACGGTTATTTCAGATATGGATAAATTTCTTATTCCTAACGCGAGTGAGGCTACTAAATTAATCACGCAACAGATTTTAAAACAATTGAAAACATCAAATTGATGTTAGATATGCGATGATACGCATGTAATGAAATTTTATTCGTTTTTTGAACACAGGTTTTATTCGAATATCTGAATTGAAATTTTTTATTTGTTCGATTGGTTAGAGTTTCTTTTTCTAACCAAATGGTACTACAAATACAATATGTAATTAATATAATTAAAGAAAATAGTCTGTGAAAGATTTTAAGAATAATCTGAGTGTTTCATACATGAAACTAATATGATGTATCATCAACAAGATGGTCAACACAATTTATACTTGGATTCTAAGATTTTAGTGGTTTTTACTAAGTCATTACTTTTATTAATTATATATATTTACGCTTATTGTTTATCTTCACGCATTTTCTTAATATTTTCAGAAACATTTCACTTTCATAGAATAGCATTTTTCCTATTAGTGTTTTCGTAATAACATCATATCAATATTGATAATATCTGATTTAGTATTTACTTTGCATATGGCTAAACAGTGGCCTTACTATAAAAATGAATAAGAGAGATAATGGACTCTGCAAATCATTGATGTGATTGTCTATGATGGAGTGTAATGTGCCATGAACTAAGATGTCATTAATTCCTTTACATAAATATAATTCGTGACATGATATTAGTATTTATGAAAGCATTAAATAATTTATTTCTTTTTTTGACTAAAAACTTTGAATCACAAGTTAATATAGCATTTCATGCATATATTACTATATATAGTATCTGTATGTTATAATGAACTGATAATTGGTCCTAATGTAATACAATTTCAGAAACATTAACAGAATGGTTATAATATTTGCATTTTATAGTATATAGTAGTCCTGCACTAAATGTCTTTACAAAATATTTACAGAAGATACAAAACATATTGAAAATTAAAGTTATATCATTTTTACAGGCATACTTATTACACTGCCTGATTATATTTCGAAGAATTTTTGAAATTTACGATCTTTCGAAAATATATCTGTAATTCATACAAAAATCTTTCATAGCAAAATGTTTCTGTCTTTCTGGAACTTGTATTTATAATATTATTACTAAAATGCAATTTTTTCTTAATTTATTATTAAGATTATACTGGTAATAATATATAAAGAGGATTATTCTCACAATAATTTTTTGTGCATACTGTTGTGCTGCCTTTTTGTAATTCGGGACAATACTACTCGCAATATACATTAATTTTTTTTATATAAACTCTGAACACATGTTTCAGTATGATTCTAATTTCACCATTATAGAGTAAAAAAATTATTTGTGATGTATATTTTATTAGCGTTTATTTTATGTTCAAAAATTATAAAAACTTAATTTAATATATACTTAATATATCTATCAGATCTTGTAGATACTGTATCAGCATTATTAATATTTATATCAATAATATCTGTAACATATTTCATGGTACATAATAATGAATTCTATGTATGATAGAAACTTTTTGTATTTATGTGCTTCCACGACGAATGAACAATGTTAATAACGAAGTAGTTATTACATAAAGAATCATAGAACTTTAATAAAACTAAAAATAAAATATAATTTTAATTTTCATTCTATGTAAATAAATTTTGTGTAATGCATCAAGAATGAGTTAAAATGTTGTGTATTTTCAAAAGATTGTAAAAATAAAATATGTAGTTATACAAATATTATATAACAAATAATGTTTCTATTATATACCAAATATTCTTAATTTGTTTCGTTATCACTATTAAATTTTTTTTTAATTTATGAAACTTTAGAAAAGAATAAATAATATAATCCTCTCTTAAAATGTAAGGACAATGTTCATTTTAATTTTAATTTTTTTATATAATAAAATATATCAATTTTCTAAATTTTATTATAAAGATACGAAATTAATTAAGAAATTTAAATTTTTATAACTATCATTGGTTTCCACAATAATTTTTTTTAATATTAATATTCAATTAACAAATAAGGCAAAAATTTGAAAAAAATTAAATAATACTAAAGCATACTTTAGGAACGGAAATTTTTAATCAGAGAAGATACATTATCTTTTAACTTTAGGTAAATTATTTTTCAATGTGATATACATATGTGTGTACATTTGATATGACAAAATCGTATTGTACACGATTTATATTATTAGTTGATATCAGACACGCTGACAGAGAAGCAATTAACAGTATACATATACTTCACGAATGTTCTTAACGTAATAATATTTTATACTAAACTTTATGATGGGAACCATCAATTGGGGAGAATTATTCCCAGGAAGATGGAGTCTTGTCATTTTTATTTCATATATGGCCCTGTTTGTGAACCAAGGTACATGAGTGTGGTTATGTTTCTTTGTTTATTTTATTCTTTTCATATGATTTTCTTTGTTGCTGAATGTTTGTCAAACAGAAACAATACATAGTGATAAATGACTGATGATAATAATGCAAAAAATGTATATGTATAATTATTTATTAATGAAATGTGTAGTATTTTGTCAATTTCAAATATGATTTAAATATCCTATGGTATGTAACAATGATTATTGAACTTTTATAAGAATTTCTATTTGACATTTTATGAATCTTTATCATTGTTTTTTTGAAAATTTCTTTATTATTTTTTAAAGTTATATAATTTATTTTTATATTGTATAAACTAATTGCAAAATTATCATCTTAGGTATTATTGTAACTTGGTCTCAAAGAGATGGTCACTATGAATATAATATTGTTATGGTAGTATTGATGACAGAAGTATTAAAGTTATTTACGTCTGTAATATTGTATTGCAAAGAGTAAGTAAACAAATTAAATTCTGTTCTTTAAAATTTTTATATACTTATAATTTTTTGTTATTTCACTTTTAGTAATAACTTTTCAAGTTTGTATCAAGAAGTAACAGGAAATAAGAGAGGTAAATATATATTATTTCAGGAAATTTAATATATATATTGAAGTAATTAAGTTAATTATAGATAAAAATTTATATTTACCTCTTAACGAGTATTAAATATCTAACATGATTTGAGTTGCTACTCATTAATCAAAATTATCATGTTGAAGCATTATCTGAACAGAATATAAGATAAGGTATAAATTACTGATTTAAGTTTTATGATATGATTGTTAATTTAATTTCGTATTAAAATGTAATAATGAACAATTTAGTTATTTTATGAAGTAGATTAAAATTTAAGTACTTTTAAATTAATAAAATTAATATAATAATAAAATGGAATAAACTTTAGTTATTTTATTCTAGTGCTACTGCTGTATATGATACCATCATTTTTGTATTGTTTATACAATAATCTGGCATTTATCAACTTGGCTGTATTTGATCCAACAACCTACTATGTGTTGTTGCAATTTCGTGTTGTCATGACTGGAATTATTTTCCAAGTACATATCAGAAACTTTTTTTTGTTATGACTAAAGTGGAGAAAAGCTTTTTTTTAAAACATAGTTTCTTTTAGGTTGTTTTTAATAAAAAATTGTCATTGAAACAATGGTTTTCACTAGTATTATTGACAATTGGATGTATGATAAAACATATAGACTTGGACTTTAGTGTCAATGTGTTTAATGCCAAAATTAATTTGAATAGTAATATAATTTTAGTGTTTGTACAGGTATGTATAGTACTATTAAAAAATTATTTTAACCTAGAGAATTTTAAAATGATAAGTTATAATCCCTAAATTTTTTTCAGACAATTTGCTCTTGCTTAGCTGGAGTTTACAATGAATATTTACTTAAAGAGCAAGGGGCAAACATTAATATTTTTGTACAAAATGTATTTATGTATATTGATAGTATCTTTTGTAATCTTATAGTTTTTATACTGTTTTTTATGTCGGATAATAACGCTTCTAACATGTTGAACAATGTCGATCTTATAATACTTATGCAACCAAAAGTTATACTAATAATGCTGAACAATACAGCAATTGGAATTATTACAAGTTTTTTCTTGAAAAACTTGAATTCGATTTTAAAAACTTTCGCTAGTGCATTAGAACTGATATTTACGGCAGTTCTATGTTGGTTAATATTTAGTATTTCAATTCATTTAAATACTGTACTTTCGATCACTATGGTGAGCTATGCAGTTATATTGTACTCGCAAAATCCAGTACAAAATACCCGAACCAAAGAGCGAGCAAAGGCTGATACTATAGTTTAATAGAAGTCAATTAAAAACTTTCGTCAACTACATTCTGTACATGAATTTTACCTGATGTAAATCTGTCACTTATATGTTCGTTACGTTATGCTTTATTATATAGTTATATAGTTTTATATGTATAAACTTAGAAAGCTTTTATATAATAGACATTAAAGTATAACAATTTTGTTACAGAATTCCGAATTACATGTATTTCCTTGTTTTGTTTTTAAATATTTATATCTTATATATTTATATATTTATAGATTGCTATTTTCAAATTTATGAAATATTGCAATATTTAACGTTTTGTATGTAATTATGTGATTCAAATAAGAAGTCAAATCTTAATTACAGAATTTAAAATAAATACGTAATATTATAAATGCGTATGTATAATATTATTAGCTATTTACAGCCTGTTTATAGAAAAGGCTAATTGATTAAATTATTTTTGAAATTTTATACTCTTTAAAAAAAAACAAACCAATAATTTCTTTTTTACATTACATATTTTATGCGTATATATATTAACAATAATAAAATAATTTATTTAGAGTCGTTTATAATTTGCAAGAAAAGCATTTGAGTAATAAAATTTATTAAATAATATCTTTACTTGTGTTTTGTATAATTTTGAGTCTAAGAAATTCTTCGATTTATCGAAATTCTATTTGGCGGGAAATTTATATTCATCGAACATAATGTTTCTATACTGTGGTTTTCAAATTATACATTATGTTTAAGACGATCGAAAGAACGCAATAGGATTAATATCGACTAATGTAAATTACTTTTCTTGAAATTAGCTATTTTAGCAATTCCAGTCATGATTACGATATACATATCTAGACCATTTTTCGAGAAGTGGGGAGAGGTTGGTCGATATTACCTGCAAACCACCTTACTTTCGGAATAGAGTAACGGTAGTCACATGTCAGCTGCCGTCACGTGAACCCTGTATTGGATTGTTTCAGTTATCGTGTTATTTATCATGAAATGTGTATTCAAAACAAAACGAGAAATATATGATGTACTAAATTATATTGTTATAGTTAAAAAAAGCGTGAAAAATGTTACTGCAGTTTAAAAAATGCTTGTCTTACATACGAAGAGAGAGATAAAAGGTAAATTGTTCAGTGCATATTCAAATATATATTTTTTACAATATCGTCACTTGTGACATAATAATGATAAGTATTGTTTATATGTATGAAATATAGATTTTGCATAAAAAAAGTACTTAGTATAATTTAAAGAATTGTATAATTATATCTAATTACGGTAGTTTACATACACAGGTACGTAGATTAAATTGAAAAAGTTTTTTGATATTATTTATAGATTGAAGATAAATGTTAAATAATATTTTAAAATTATTTGTTATAATAAAATGTCAAGTAAATTAAAATTATATTTTTATATGTGATGCTGTTTGTATCTTATATAAATCACAGCTTCGCTCCTTTGCGTACTAACGTATTATGATTTTGGTCACGTGATAATTTAATGACACGTGATTGGTGCAATTGAAAAATCGCGCCAAATCAATAATTAAGGATTGTGTCTTCTTTTCACAAGTATTTCAACGACATAAATTATTTTATATTAATCAATTAATAAGAAGTACATACTTGATATACAAAATTGATCTGGTATTAAAAATCAGTGATATTAAACAAATGTAAATTAAATGGAATATAACAAGGTATTTATTTTGATATATAAGATCTATTTAATCAACAAATATGTAGGTTAAGTAATAGTTTGTAAATAGATTAAGTAATTCATTCAAACTATGATTCCAACATTTTTTACCTTTTTGTATTTCTGTATTCTTTAAATTATTGACTGGTTATTTTTAAAAAATTAGTTGAATTAGTTGAATTGATGCTTCAATGTCAATAGTACTAATCTAAAATCTAAACACGAATGAAACTGTAATAATTTTTGCATCAAATGTATGTACAAATTGTAGAATTGTCCTATGGTATTTTTTTATCTCAGAATATATTATACTTAACATGTATACTCAAGATGATTTAACAGATGAATTAAATCATTATTGAAAAAATGGAAAATCTTTGAAGTTCTCGGTGACGAGCTAACTTATCTTGCAATAACCATTTTACAATGACGAGTTGATTTATCGTGCTTGGTTAAGAGATTAATAATGCTTCTGTTAAAATTTTCAAATCGAAAATACGCTAATAATTATAATCTGATAGTCAACAAAATGCATACGAGAGGAAGTAGTATAATAAATTTATAATTATAAATATAATATATTATAATATTTATAATTTATAAATTTATAGAGAAAAAAAATGATTAAATGTGCTGGAAAAGATTACCTACGTACTCTTTATTACAGCGAGTGGAGAGCCCTTTGCTTCTTTCGCGACTCCCTGAGACGCACGCATATTTTCTTTGGATTATGCAATCGCTTTCGTGTGTACTACTTTTATGCGGCGTTCGTGTCGTGAGATCCAATGATAAACTTCGCGACTTCGTCTCTCTATTCTTCCTTAAAAAATATTTACTACGAGGGGAACTGGAATAACGTGTCTCATTCGTATAATGAAACAAAAATGATATGGTTAATTTTTAACTGCCAATTAGAAACATCATGTTTCCGTAGTTTATAAAAATCGTGGAATTATTTGAAATACAAGGGATGATATTTATGAGCTCGTATATCTCCATGATCTTTGTATCTTTATATCTCGTTTTTTCCGTTTTGTAAACGAAATTATTATGTTAAATTACAAGAATATTAACATATTACAAGAATGTTATTATTAATAATAAAGTTTCGATATTTTTATCAAATCTTCTTAACAATGAATATATTATATAATTATGAATGTATTGTTTATAGTCAATTTTTTATTTCTTAATTAATATGGTAATTGATAATTGATTTGAAAGACTTGATTATAATGACATTCCAGATTAATTCAATTTCATTTCACTATGTATTATAGATATTTCTCAAAGTCTTGGAAAGGAAAATTTAATATATTTCGTAATGAATTGTTGATTGATGTTGTTTTCTTATTAGAGAGGGAACAAGTGTTTTAATGCACGTAAAGGAACCTCAATTAATAATGAAATAGATTTCGTGACTACAGTGATTGGAACTGAAAATGGAATGTGTTAGCGGTTAGCCAGTTGAAGCTTTAATAATGTCAATCATACATTCATATAGAAGTACATACAGCTGCCGGAAGTGGAGGAAATATCGTTTGGTAGCTATATTATTTATTCTAAGCTGCCTTTACAATTAAAATATTAATTCGTATTAAGCGGATATTCGTAGTAGCGGTAAATCTAGAAAAATAATTGAAAATGATAGATAAACAAATATCGTAGTACAATTTAGTTTTTCAAAATTCTTATAAATTTGAAAGTAAAAAAAATATAGTAGCCTATATTAAACGCGAACTATTTCTGCTTAATCTTATACAGAATACGATTGAATCACACATACAAACAATACTGAGATGTTCCCTTACGAAAAAAATAAGAAAAAATTTGTAGAACAAAATTTCTTAAGATCTATTTTAAATTTCTTGAAAATCTATTAGATGCATATTAATGGATATATTAGTCGTAACTATATGATTTGCTGTACTATAAGAAAAAATTCAAGAAAGACATATTTAAAGAAAGAGTAGTAGATAGATTATTTTATTCCTTGTTCGTCTAACTCATCGTTTTACAATTGTTGAGTATTGTTCATAAATAGGTTAGGCGAACTACTCACAGCAAATTGTACTTTATAATCATATGCATGCAATGAATTTTAAAACTCGATATTCTCGTAAACTAACAATAAATCTTAAATTTTGTTTTATATTTTTTTCTTATTTTTTTCATGAAGAATTACCTCATATCTTTACTGCTACATATTATTCTGTCGAATTCTGTATACGTTAGTATACAATTTCGTACTACGTACTTTTAAATAATTTAGAGTTCTTGCAGGCCATAAGTACATACATACTAAAAAGATTTCTGTTAGTTATTGTCAATGATGTAAGTGCATATACCTCGGGAAAGGAAGGTATAGTTTTCAGCAGTAAGCTTGCTACAGTTGTGTAGTTGACATGTAGAATTTCACTGCTTCTATTGTCATAATACAAATTATATAACTTTCGTTTATAACACAATTTTATTGAATAATAACAATTTTCCTTGTTTATCAATTTCTAGTCAAATAAATTTCATTTCTGTAATCATGTAATATCATTAATTTATAATGTAATTATGTTGAATGTTAAAATGATCTTTATCTATGATTTTTATTCAGTATAATTCCAGTTTTATAATTATTATAATATAATATCATTTAATTATAGTAACGAATTAATAAATCATTATATGTATAAAAATAGAATTAGAATTATGTTAAACAAAAATGATAAGCAAGGAAAGTTATAATATTCAATGAAATTACATTACAACCCCCCGAATTATATATTTTACATTAGAATTAATCATTAACAAACTAATAATATTACTATGTACATATACATATATTATTCCATTTATTATTATCATTTCTATTTAATTTAAGAATATAATTTGAAAATTCCTTAAGAATTAGCTCGATGAATTTTATATATCGTAATATTTCACCTATAAATCACTGGTTATATCGAACGTCACAGCTATACCAGTGTTAGAGCGTTGCTTGGCTCGCAGTAAATATGTAACGAATCTGTCAATCAGGCCTGTCGCTCGCGTGACTCGATGAACGATCCGGAATCAGAAAAACGATCCTCGTGGAAAACGATGAAGGACCCATGGTTTCCATTAGACGAGACGTAACGGTGGTATGTCCAAGTGCCTGGATTTTACCCTATCTATGACTGGATCGACGAATTCGGGGCCTCTGCAGCCCCAGAAGGATTCCTTACCACTTCCGGCACGATCCTCTCCTTTCGATTTTTATTCGACATCCGAGAGTTCAGCTCGTCGAGGTCACCGTCAGCGGCTCTCTCGAAAGATGACATTGACCTCACCAAACGGTCAACCAATACAACTTACTCCTCTCTGGGAACACGTGGTTAGTATAATTGTACTGTCTGATTAATGGCCCCTATATTTTGTGGGTCGCTGATGAACCACAAGGACTGAACAAGGTGAAATAGAATTAACAAGTGGATAAAGATATTTTTTACAGAAAGAAAAGACTCACGTCTTTGGACTTAAAAAGATAAAAAAGGATTAATATTTGACATCATTTTTCCTTCATATATCCTTCACATAGAAATGTATCGTTTTCACACGTCTGGAATATTTTACGTATTTGCAATAATTAAACTACTAATAAATTGATGATCAGATTTGTAAGTTATAGAATTCTCTTTTGTAATTAGAAACATCTAGATTATCTTAGAAGAAATTATATTAACAATTGTATGACAAGAATTACGTGATGATTAATATATTTCATATATTCTTATATTTTCGTACAGGTACGTACTCGAAAATTTCCAAGCGAGGTGGATACTCATTCGACATTCCTGGAGATATCCGAAAGACTACGTGATCCAGAATGGGAGGTGCGTCAACACGCTCTTCGTGTGCTTATAGACGTGTTACCAACTTTGAATGCTGACATCGTGGACAAGGTCATGCAACCAGTGGTACCAGAGCTGGTCAATAATTTGGGCCACCCTGCGCCTGCCGTTCGCAAGGGTGCCTTGGATGCCTTCCGAGTTTTTCTCATTCATAGTCACGATAGAGACAACACTATTAAAAACGTACGAGCCTGTCCTTTACTTTGCAATTTTGATATTTATTTCTATTTACCCTGAAATTTTCCACTGTTCTTTTACATTGTTTTAATGTCAAATAATTCATGTGCAATGATACGCTACATCCATTCATTGGTATTCGAAAATAATTCGCAAACAAATTATAAATTGTCTTTATTAGGGGTGTGCGAAAACCCAAAAATATCGGGAACTCGGCTACCGTTTCTCGAACTACGTACTCTACAATACTGTATAGCAGTCTACAAAATATGTAAATACACAGTTCAATTTCCTCCGCCAGTGAAGTTATTGGAAACACGGATTCTAAAAATCGTGCGACCTGATGTATACAAACGTGTGACTCCGTGCTTAGTACTTGAGCATTATGTACGCTGTTGATCAGTATCGCTGGGAAATTCGGGCAGTTCAGACGTATATATCAAAATCTGTGTGAATTTAATAAAGATTAAAAATTTAAAAAAAAATATCGAGTGATAGTGAGAGTAAAGTTGTGGTAATAGGAAGTAGTGCAGAAGATATCGTATAAAGGAAGAAGATAAGGAGAAGCTCTGTTTGGGAACATTTTCAAGAAAAAGATGATACAAAGGCGGAATGCGCACATTGTCAGCATGAATTTAAAACGAAGTATGCAAATACTAGTGGTTTATTACGCCATTTGAAGCATATGCATATGTACTAGAAAAGAAACTGAAATCGATATAAAATTTGTCGCATGTACAAAAGTGATACGCGAAAGATTGTTAAACCAAAAGATATAACAGAAGGAATTGTTCGAATGATGGTTCTAGATCTGCGACTTTTCGATATGGTTGAAGGCTTTAACGAATTATTTAAGCTTGTTCCTTTCCCAAATCCCGATAAATTCAAGAATCTCGAAATTTTCGGGTACCCGTCCTGGTCTCGAAAAAATTTCGTGTTCCCGATATTTCGGGTTCTCGCACACCTCTAGTCTTTATTGACTTATGGATTATCTTTTAATAAGTAATGAGCAACAAACAGCTAGATAGTTATTCCTAATAGAGTTGTTCATATTCTACTCATTTCTTTTTGCTCATGAACCAACATAAACTCATAATAAATAATAAAGTAAAAAATAAATTAATTCTACTTGTGTGTCTTTGAATGAACTCCAACATGAACTCTGTATATCACTAATAAATTCAATCCTATGCTCTCTTCTCTTCTTTTAGCAATCACCTTCTTCAACCTTAGCTTTCAAAATTTGCAACAAACAAGCTAGTCAAGTCCATAATGCGCAAGCAATCTCCCCACTATCTTTATATTATCATGGATCGATGTCTAAACGCAGTTGCATCGACCATTCTCTTACAGATTCTTCAGGATGGTTTGAACCGTTCGGAGGTACGGGACTCCTTCCAGACCAACGTGACGACCGGTGTGATCTTGAGCGTGCCTTCATTGCTGTTTCCATCGTTCAACAGCCCATTGCCTGATCCTCAACTGATCAAGGATACGACGATAGCTCTGGCTTCACGTTTAGCTCAGGTACCACATCAGGAAGCTGTATTAAAATCGTTGATGAAGATCCGAGACGCAGTTGGCGTAGCAGAGTTTGAAAGTTATTTGGAAGACTACGATAACAAGCTGAAAAGAAATATCGAGATTCTGTCTAAGATCTACAATATAAAATCCGCCAAGAAGAGCCCGAGAAAGAGTGCAGATGTTAAGAACGTGGAGAAAGTGGAGAACAAAGACCTGGAAGGTAAATGGGAGAGTGATAGCGACACTTCAGGCATCGCAGAAGAGGAGGACGAAGTTAATAATACTACCATGCCAGCTGCCAGAGTCGTATTAGAAACGGAGATCAAGTTCAACGAAGAAACAGCCATCACTATGACTATTCTTGAGGAGAAAGATGACAGCGAGCAAGAGGAGAATGGAGAAGGAAATGGAACTGATGTGAAGAACAGAGAAGCTGAAGGAAAGGAAGATGCTGATAAAAGAAAGACACCTAGAAGAGTTCATTTTGGAGGTGAGATAGTTAAACTAAGAACACCAGATAGCGATGACACAGAGTCTGTGGAAGCTACTCCTAAGACTAGGATTCCACTTCCGGTCTCTCCTGCTACCAAAATGCCCACTCGACCTAGACCTTCTTCTCAGCCCTGTAGTCCTCGTAGAGAATTTGGAAAGCCTAAGAGAACATCGAGGTCTGTTTCTAGTAGCCCCAAGAGGGAAATATACACGCATAACGCGGAACTGAGCCCAAAGAAAAGTATTCTTACTAGGACTAACAGTCCATTGCCTAGCGGTAAAGATCTTGAGCAACTGAAAAAGAAGAAAAGCGTGACTAGACAGGAGGACAAAGATGGTAAACATAATATGGAGAGTGGAGATGTCAAGAACGTGAAAGTTATCGAAATAAGCGGAAAACTAGAAAAAGTTAAGAAAGAAGAAGTGAAATTGGTCCAGAATGGTCAAAGTATCGATTCTGAAAATTCCGAAAGTAAAAGTTCATTCAAAAATGAGAAACAACAGGACGTTTCCTTAACAATTTCTAAAGAGCCTGCAACTTCTAAAAGTGTTTCAACAATGGAATCGGACAATTTTGGAACTCAAAATAAGAAAGCTGGAGTAGATGTTAATAGAAAAAGTAATTCGGAAAATAAAATAACGGAAAGTGTTCAAACGAAGAACACAGAAGAGAAGAGTGAACCTTTGGGAAATAGCCACGAAGCTGATTCTTTCTTTGGTTCTTTAGTGGAAGTTAATGAAACGGAACAAAATCATGTGAGAGTAAATCAAGATGGAATTAAAGTGAACGAGAATGAAACTGTGCAGAAAGATTCTGCAAAGTTAAGGGGTAATGTAACGAGTAATTTGCAGAACAATAATAGTGATTGTGAGTCGTTGAAAAATGTCGGCTGTGAACGAACGTCGAGGAGTGATCGCGATAAAGGAGGCGCGAGTGTGATTGAGAAAAGTGGTAATACTATTTATAGGGCTGACGAGATAGAATCTACAGCAGGGGAGCCGAGCTGGGAGGAACTTGGACTGGTTGACCAGGAAGTGTTAGAAGATCTGCATAACAAAGTAAGTTTTTCAATACAGAATTTTATTACCTTAAATTATATTTATTAACTTAATTTTATAATACAACGACAAAAAGTTATCGTGTAATTTTGTTAATAGGTATATAATTGATAGATTGTATAATTTAAACAGTTCTATAATTATATGTCGTAATTAGAGGATTTAGTAGGAATTCATACTTACTAAAGCGATGATTACACTTTTATTGCCAAATACTTGCTAGTACATACAAATCTAATAATTTTAATTATTTCCATCACGAATTCTCGTGCCCAGATACTTGACTATAAGCAAACTAATTATTTTCATCACGAATCAAGTGTATATGTACTAGACATATACATACACAAAATTTTAAATTCTTTTGGTTGACCTTGACATTCTTTGTTAATTCTCTATCTTCTTTTTTCCAATTCTCCTCTTATGCAATGCATGCAAACATGTGCAGATTTCTAGTTTCGAATTGTTAGTGAAAGAATACTTATACTTATGAATTTATATTATGTAATCTTGATATTATTTGAAGATCACACGCGAAAGATATGAATTCATTTTCGTTGATTTTCTAGTTTTTCAATATTATAAAATAGGGACCAAGCTCAACCAATAATGAATTTTAAAGCATGGTTCCCATTTTTTAATGACCAAAATTTAATATAGATAATATTATCCATTATATCTTTTGACGAATTTGACAGTTTTAATGGTTAACTATAATTATATAATATAACTATGCAATAAAATAATAAAATTTCTATAATCTATCATATAAGAGAGATAATTTTTATCCATCAATGATATTATAATCTTTCCTGATTATGATGTTTAATAATACTATTATGTGTAATGATAACGATGTGTAATGATACTGTGATCTTTGCTAATTATCAGTATCTTTCAAGAGCTTAGAAGAATCGATGCTCAAGAGAAAAGATACTCGTGACATAAGTATCGCACTTACTTCGATAGAATTGAAGTTAATTAGTGTTCCTTGTTAATCGAGTATGTTCTGAATATTTTATCGATCGATGCACAGTTGCACGCGAAAGTCACTCGATAATTGAGAAAAAAGGAAGGGCGATGAAGAAATGGTACGAAGAAACGAAGAGTCGATACACGCATAGGCGATTTTAATTGATGGCGTTTAAATCACGTTACACCACGCGACGAACTTTTGCCATGGAAATCGATTGACCTACTTCGTTGTAATGTATCAGAACGATCTGTCCCTAAAGTCGATGGTTCCCCATTTCGACGAATTAATGAACAAGGAACGAGAAACTCGCTGTTGTAGCGAAAATTCTATGAAATGATGCTTATCTTATCGTGTGCCCTATTAATTAAGAATCACATGTTTATTAGCCGGAAGCAGCTCTAAATCAAGATTATTTCAGAATTGATCAGAATCACAAACTATAATAATTTTAAAATTAATAAATTTTTCTTTATTTTAAAATTTATTTTAGAACTGCATACAGTACTAATTATTTTAATTACTTTTGAATTTGAGAAATATAAAGGGACAGTTCTGTAAATTTTTTAATATTAATTGTTTTTAGATTATTTTTTGTTTCACCTAGAAATTTTTCTTTGAATCAGAGTTAGTCACGAAAAATGTTGGTCAGGTGTTTACTAAAGTGTTTGTTGGTATTGGAGGTAGAAGAAACTTTCGAAGAAAAATGTTACATCGTCTAACACGGCAAATACAGGGTAGGATAAATAAATTTTTCGATTGATATTATTTGCAAGTTTGAAGATCAATGAATATTCGATTGAATGTAGTTTTAAAATCATATCGTATGGCTTATTTCCAGACAAATTTTGCATAGTGTGACCTTAAAATGTTCTTAACAAATTTGTACTTGATCAACATAAAGAAAACATTAATATAATATATAGATTTTTTTTTTTATCAATAAGTAGATTTTTTATTACTGCAGTTTATAAAATATTTTTAATTAATAGCAAATATGATGAATTAAAAATGGAAATCATTGCTGAAAGATATCATTTTTACGAAAAAATTTATCAGGACACTTTAAGAAGCTGTTGCATATTGATAATAGTCATCTGGTGAATAATCGAAAAGCTCGAAGTCCAGCTGGAATTTTTCGTACAATTTTTGTATCAGATCTTTGTTCAATTGGCCAAAGTATATCTTTGATGCATTCTCGTAACCACTATTATGACGCCATCTCGGTTTAATCGTATCTTGAAGATGTAGTTTATGTATCGTATAAATCTGATCCAGCCGTAATGTTTCTATCTATAATATAAAATACGTTCAAATATTTTCATTCAACTCTTGCACGTAATAAACGTTAATTTTACCTTTGCAATGATGTCATAATCAACGAGGCATGGTGTGCAGTACAAGTAGTAGGGTATCCAATGATCGTCCCCGTAATTGGCCAAATCAGTATGAATTAAATATTGGACGAATTCACGGAAAGTTGGCTCGATTCCCGCTGGTAGTGGTACATCCTTTCGTCTGATCACCAAATACTCCTCAGGAGGTGTGAAATTCGTCTCTTGAAAAACGAGAGTGAAAAGCCACTCGCTATTAACCCAATGCTCGAGCAACGAATACGTACATCGCGGTCGATAACTTGCCGTGACTCACCACGGTACTTTTCAACAATCTTGCTGCCGTATTTCCGATAAAAGTGAAGTGTCCCGTGTTCCCTTCCAGCCACGGAGTTTTCCAGTTTATCGCGATACGCGCTCAGCAATCTTTCAAATGGATGCCTTACCACCAACAGTTTCTTCGTCGTTCGTAATGCCTGCATAAGTTTCGCGGGTTTAGTCTCGTCTACAAGGGGAGTGCTGATCATGGGTTAAGCCACAAGGATTTTTAGTCGATGCAAAGACAAAGATAAAGTTTCTGGAATTAACCCTGTTGTGGCCTTCTGTGATTTTTCGATCATCAGTGGACGTAAATTTTCATTTTTTTCCTGCATTAAGAAAAATGCTGAAAGTTTGAGCAAAGTGTGAAAAAAATTACCAATCGTTATTGATATTGATTCCCGAGTAGAACTTTTTGTTAAAAATTCTTTCTTCGCTAAAATGAGAATAAGATTGTCTTTCAACCTTTTGACGAAAACAATATTTGGCGATTAACCTTTTCGAATATAATCTTTTAAGATGAAATTGAAATGAGATTATATAAATTTCAATATATGTATGTATTAATATCAGTAGCGAATTTTTTCGATAGCTTCTTCAAGTTTCTGAAATTTTTTCACGATGGATAAAATCAAAATGTAACGAGGTAGTCGAACCGAAAAGTGGGCAGTAAAAAGATTTTTATCAAAAAAAAAGGAAGCTTGTATAAAATGTATACGATGGTAACCACCTAATATTTTCATTTACATATTCATGATATTACCACATTCGTTCTATCATGCTGGACAACCATATTTTTCATAAAATAGTTCTTTCTCTTCCGCTTATTCGAATTTTAGAAATCTTCTAATGTGTGATTAAGACTTGTATTAATTATATGTATTCTAACAATAAATACATTAATTGCTACGTTATAACTGACCAGTTAACGAAGGCTTCAACGAAGAGGAAATGCTATTTCTTTTTTTCTTTGGTTCACTTTTGCATACAGAATTTTTCCAATTATACTATAAAAATTGTAACGTTATTTTATATAATTAGGAATTTAACGAAATTTATTGACACATATTAAGTACGTTATTATTAAAATTGCTTTAATAAGGTTTGATGACAAATGATTGGTATACCTCGGCCGCCTCTGGAAACTCGAGTTCCGGTATTGCTCTTCTGGCGATGGTCGATATCTGCTCTTTTCCACTGTTTAACTCTTCCTCCCGCACATTCATTAAGAGACATAAATTGTAAATCCACGTTGTACTGCCGGCTTTGTAAATTGGACAGTATGATAGATCGCGTGATCTGCGTGGCAAATAATGTAGATAACACCGCTAATTGAATCAGTTATTGTTAGAATAATCACAACAATCGATTCCATTTAAATCCTATTCTCCTCTATGCATAAAACATTCTTCTCTTCATTATTCATATAAATTGATTGAGTGGTTATATTTTTAAATTATATGGAACATATTGCATATGTGCTGCTTATAATACTTAATAATGCTCGATAATATTCTAAAATTAAGCATTATTAAGTATAATATTATAAATAAGTAAAAGAAATGGCCAATCTATAAATATTGTTAAATATAATATCGTAGGTGAATAAAAAGTAATTAAAAAATATTTTTGAGCATTTAATAATATTAATACACAACGAAGATAATATCATTTATATACACAAGCAAAGAAACATCAGTTCGTACTATATTTTTTTATGATTAAAATGAATAAATGCTGTAAATGCTATAATTGATTGCCTGCTACAACGTACATATTACCTGACAATGTAAAAAACACTATACTGAGGTGTCGGCGGATGTTTAAATGCAGAAGGTTTGCTAGGATCTTTGTATACACCTAAATTATATTTTTGACACGTGTTTCTTACAGTCAATAATCGCTTCGAATTTTCCATTTCTGTTTTAATCTAAAATTTAAAAATTCTGAAACGAACACGTTTTACAGAAGTAGAAATATAGTATATCTTTTTATTTCTTTGTCAAATTCTTCAAGAGTTCTCCCTGTTAATTTATTTTTCAACGAACATTTATTGAATTTTTTTATTGAATTTTTTTTCAGATAAAATTTAATAATTGTTAAATTGATTTACGTACCATTAAATTCTCCAGATCGTTGAACTTTGGTATTTTGTTGTTTTCATTTTCCACGAGTAACGATTTCACAATACAAAAAATCGAACCACAAGCAATGACATACTTCAAAATTTGAACAATGATTCTTTTGTAGTTTCTAAGCATGATGTGAACTAAACTTGTTTAAAAAATTATTATTGTTCTTGAATGATGAATTCATACATGACAAAGAAATGATTAAATATTAAATTTTCGAAGAATTCTTATTCTTATTGTTCTGATACATTTTTAGATTGAATAAATAATTATAACCATATATCTTTACGAAGATTATCCAATATATCCATAGCTCTTTTACGAAGATTATAAAAAATTATTTTTAAAAATTACTTTAAAAATTTTGTTGCGAAAATTATATAAAAAGTGCGTGCGAATTCATATGTGAAAAGAATATTTAAGAGAAGATTGGAATAAATATACGTTCTTCTTTCTTGCAAGAGACTGACTGACCGGTTTCGTGTTGCGTTCTGACAGTGATGGATCAAAGACATTCTAAACCCGCGCCAAGAATTTTTATACTAAAATTTTTAATTTCGATTTATATCGCTTAAGCTAATTAAACGTGTCTTTTTATTTAACATTTTATTCAAGTATATAATATGATATTGTTTTAATAATAACATGATTTTAATGGAGTATTAAAGTTGCAAATAAATTTATAAATAAATTGCAGATTAGATATACATCTGTAAGTGAAGAAAAATTTATGATAGCATTGATAAGTTATTTGTTTGTTTTGTAATTATCTGTTGTTATCGGCAGTAAGTAAATCCGTTCCTGATGTTAAGTCGAAAGCATCTCAGCACGAAACGGACACGACTGTTGCATACTAATTTGATTTAGGCATTCTGACGGTCAGTTTATAAGTAGGTAAAAATTTTATTCTTGTAACGGATATTGATAGTATTAAAAATATGTAAAATTGTCACAACTAGAGGTTAATTCGTTAAAGCCCACGCCTTCAACCATATCGGAAGATCGCAGATCTAGAACCATCATTCGAACAATTCCTTCTGTTATATTTTTTGGTTTAACAATCTTTCGCGTATCACTTTGTACACGCGACAAAATTTTATATCGATTCAGTTTCTTTTCTAGCACATATACTTATGTTTGGATGCATATGCTTCAAATGGCGTAATAAACCAGTAGTATTTGCATACTTCGTTTTAAATTCATGGTGACAATGCGTGCATTCCGCCTTTGTATCATCTTTTTTCTTGAAAATGTTCCCAAACAGAGCTCCTCTTTATCTTCTTCCTTTACACGATATCTTCTGCACTACTTCCTGCTACCACAACTTCACTCTCACTATCACTCGACATTTTTTTTAAAGATTTTTAATCTTTATTAAATTCACACAAATTTTGAAATATACGTCTGAACTGCCCGAATTTCTCAGCGATACTGCTCAACAGCGTACATAATGCTCAAGTACAAAGGCACGCAGTCACACGTTTGTATACATCAGGTCGCACGATTCTTAGAATCCGTGTTTCCAATAACTTCACTGGCAGAGGAAATTGAACTGTGTATTTACATATTTTGTAAGACTGCTATACAGTATTGTAGAGTACGTAGTTCGAGACAAACCGTAGCTGGGTTCCCGATATTTTCGTGTTCTCGCACACCCCTAGTCACAACATTTTATTAGAATGGATTTAATTATAAAAAGTGAATTAAAAGAAACTAAAAGTGAGGAATCTTTTCTTTTATACTCTCCATTTTACTATTTAAAAATTAATATTTAATATATTATTGTATATTATTATATAATATTTTATATTATTGTATATTATTATATATTATTATATTATATAATATTTAATATATTATTTAAAATTTTTAAGACTCTATTAAAGATTCCCACTAGTATATAAAAAATTTGTATTAATCTCTTCAATTGTGGATTAGTGTTTCTTAAATTTTATTCAAAAATTTCTACTTAACAGATTTTATAAGAGAATTTAGAAATTTTAATTTTTCACAAAACGAGATACACTTTGGTACATTAACAATTTTTATTACGTGTTTTTGTTTTAATTACGTTTAAAGATTTGGCTTGAAAAGTTATGTATAAATCGTGTAAACTGGGGAAGCATAAATTTTATAATTCTATTCACAATACACTGTTATAAGTTGTAACACGTCTTAATAATTTTGCAATTGTTAGTGATATAAGACCAAGAATGAGAAACCAGCGTTAGTCTACGTTATTATCGACATCGTGGAAAAATGTTACGCTCCTCACGACCATGAAAGTATCTCTCCTTCATTCAACTAATTGTAAGTTCAAGGTCTCTCTATGCCTTTCCACCAATGTCGCCGTATCTACATACCGTATAATAAGAAATATAAAAGCAAATGGAATCATATAATATCGATTTCATATACCATGTAATTCTCAGTGTGAAAGAGACCATGTTCCTTTTCGCACACGAATTAATTATTTATCTAACATTTAACATTTTTCGTTCGGCTGGAGACCAAGCGAGTCATTATATGATTCTTTTTAACGAAGTTACAACAGTCTAAGATATCGATAATTCTTCGTTTCACGTTATTAATTCAATTATGCTCTTCGCAAAGCAAGTTTCATAGATACAATATACACACGCATTGTTTTAATGGTTCTTTATTGCCTTTCCTTCGTAGAATTTCTTGACCACCCCTTGTATCCATAAATAATGGCATATTACATGATTAGCTGGATTAATCGCACTTCCATCAGGCACATATTTCCTTCTGGACAACGTTCCCTCCTTCGTGGCAGTGAAACAGTATGGATGAATTATGCATGCTGTTTCGTTTTCCACTGGTTGGACGCCATTGAAATAGTCCTCAGGCGTCTGGAGGACGCTGATATGAATATTCTACAGATGAAAAACGGCAGAGATTTCCTCGGGCGCAATATTACACGCCGCCATGGGAAACAAAACTCCCAAGTAACAAGAAAATAATTAGGAACGTCGTCGCGTGCGATAGCTTCGTTTCTGTGTATATGCAAATTTATTCGTCATTTTGAAGTTCTTCAACGGTTTGGATTTTTCGTGATGAAATCCTTAAATTTATTGCACTTTAAATACGATATTGGTGTTATGTTTCTGTAAATTTGAGAACGACGGTTTAAAGAAACTCTCTATGTTTAAAGAACAATGGCGATTGTAGCACCAATAAATTTCAAATGTTAAATTCAAAAAATTCATTTATTAATTATAAAATTTATTTTAACTTTAAATTTAATATAAGTATTTGCATCATTTATTTGAGAACCTAACGAAGATTAAGATATTAAAAATCAAATGTATTGTGATGATGTTCTAATTATAATATTTTAACATTAACTCCATTTTTCTTTATATTTAAGAAATGAATTTACACATTTATCATCGATTTGTATATCGTCTTTTCAAAGAGTTCTTCAAATTCTATCAATTTAGTTTTATTATAGGAAGGTCTCGTGTCTGATCTTCTAAGTCTTTCAAAATTTCAAAGTTTGAACGACCATGTGATATGTAGTTTTATATCGTTCGTGGGTTCAATGAAATTGTGAAAAATTGATAATATTGATTATTTTCGTGTAAATAGAACTGAATCGTAGATTAAATGCAGATGTTACCAATGCATTGCATTCAGGCTTGCTGCAACGATCGATAATGTTCACTCGACGACTGCTGATTCTTGACCAGGAACATTACGTATAAATGATATTTTCCATACGAACGTTCTGTCAACACAAAAATTCGTTTGTCATCGATGATATCGTAGAGAAAAAAAAAAAAAAAATGATTCTCGAACGAAAGAGTAAGTCAATTATGTCATAAATAACAGGCCACTTTGCATATTTATCACATTTTTCATATTATACTCAAATTAAATCTTTTATCTCGTTACAAGATCGAGTGTAATGTATAATGCAAAGCTCCTTTCAGTATTGTAAATTAAGAAAGATAAAAAATTAATTTCCAATTAGCACATAGACAAACAAACAGTATTTAAAACATAGAAATAATCTATTTATATTTAATTTTATATATAAAAGTTTTCAATTTTTAATTAAAACACAGTGTTACATTTGTCTAATTTTGCTTAAAATTAATAAATTTTTATTCTATATAGATATATTCTACATATATAAATTTTTGCTTATTTATAAGATAAGATATTTATATTAAAATTTTATTCTTTCATTGTTCTTGTATTCTCCACTCGTCGTTGAAGTGAAGTTTTTCAATATATTGAAAAAAATCGAAGATTTAATTAAATATAAGGAAATATTTAAGAAATATGAACGATAATTAAATGAAGTTATATAAAATGAAAAAAAAAAAAAACGATTACAGGAGGATTGGCGCGCTCGTGTCAGAGGTTTGGAAAGAGTAGCGTCCGCTTTGCGAACGTCCTCTGCTCTGATCGCGATAGAGCCGCGATTAGGATCTCTTTTGCATGCAGTACTGGGCTGTGAAAGGAGCTGTCGTGTAGCTGCTGCGGGTTTGGCCGTGGCAAAGGTAACTCGCAAATATGCTTGCTTGAATCAGTTTTAACTGATTTACTCATTCCAATATATACATATTGTTTTTCTATTTAACGTATATTGTAAATAATGTATTTAATCCCACTTCTTCTTCGAGTATAATATTCTTTTTCTTGTATTACGTACTATCTTATTGTTATAGTATATTGTTACAAACTAATTGCTAATTAAAATCACCATTTCATTAATTATTGCATCAACATTTTATTAATTTTATTCGGGACATTAATTTAGCACTTTCTGGCGGGATATTTCGGGCAAAAATTTTAGCAAGCATGTCTGTATAAAAAACATTAGTTATATAGAAACTATTAATTCTATAGTACAATAATAGCGATGCCTTTATTACTTTAATAGACATTTTTTGTTTATTATCATTTGGTTTATACGATTATAGCATGCATCCTTGCACGTGGAATATCATTTTATAAATGTGATATATATTTTTTTAAAGAAAAACAGAGGCTGCGTGCCTGAATAGTTTAACTACAGTAAGGGAGTCCATAAGTGGACTGACATACGTCTGACTTAGTATGTCGACTACTACTTACGAGTTCTAATGGGAAACGATTCATAAATATCAGTTCTTCATTCGTTTTTTATTAAAATATTTAGAATCTTCTTTTTTCTTTTTTTTTTTTGTAATTTACAGACTATTATTCTAATTACTATTATTGTTATTTTTTATTTATAGAATATCTTAAAAATTCTACTGTCAAGATTATGAAAGTAACGTTCTAAAAAAGTAAATAACAACAAAATTACGGTATTTAAAAACCTTGATCATGTATTTGAATGCAACTCGTGATTAGGTATTTTTTAAAGTCTAAAGGTCTTTAAATATCACTTCGGTCACGAGAAAGTATTCCATAGATTGCTTGCTACCTGCTGGTCACGTGAATATTGAATAACATATTAAAATTTGATTAAATAAGAAATATCATCATTGCTCTTGTCTTTTAAAAATAGAAATTAACACTGATGGAAAGTAAAAGCAAGAAATTGAATTCTTGGGTAACATTTATATTAAAATTTACAAAGATCTAATATTGGAGAAGCGTAGAACAAAATTTAAATTAACTGCAAAGTTCACATTTATTATTGTTAAAGTATTAAGATAATGAACTAAAAGAGATCAGTTCTCTTTAATCAATTTGAAATTACTATTCAGAACAATCGGTACAAAATTTTTCTTAAATTAAATGATAAACTTCTACTCGAATAACTCGATTTCCAAGCGTTTTTCATCATATGGTGTAACAAAATTCCACGTCAGGGTTTAAACACTTCAATAATGCGCCAGTAAATTTCCATACGTTATGGACACATGTCACGAAATAGAAGCATTATATCGAGATTTACTTTTTTTCGATTTATCATGCTTCTTCTCCAATTTTTTATAGCAAGAAGGTTTTTTTAATCATTTGTATCAGGTAGTCGTAGCTGGAGTAAGTGAAGAGGCTCTGAAAAAACGTTTGCCGCAATTGGCATGGGGTTTAGCGAGACACGGTGGTCCAAGCGCAGCTCAATTAGCCAGGATCACGATGCTTAGACTCAGGCCTTCTCTTCTTCTAGAACAACTTCTACAGCCGCAGTGTTTGAATGCGAGGAACGCAAAGGTGAGATTCCTTTGTGAGAACATTTTGTGATGTCTTAATTTTTATTTAATTAAAATTTTTCGTTGAGTGTTTATTAAATTTCTACCTTTACTCAACGCATGTTTATCGAATTCTTATAATTTTTATTAAGCTTTTAAATATTGAGCTTAAATTTCTTTTTAATTTACGTTTTAATTCTTCTTTCTGCGGGAAAAGGAATTTTGTTGTTGGTTTCTTTCTTTTTTTATTAAATTTAACTAACTAAGTAATGATACAACATCTCTATACAAATTTAGTTAATGTCAATCAAATTTAATTGAATGTTCAACATCTTTTTCTTTATTCACTACAGACTAGGGAAAATACCTTACAGTTGTTAATTTTCTCGCTGGTGACATTTCCAAGTACGGAATTCAAAGTGGACGCAGTGGCTAACAAGGTAGCTAAGATGGTTAGAGATCGTCGACGCAGGGTACGACAGGCAGCGCTTGATACATTGGCTGTGTTGGCTCAGATCTATGAATCCGAGGTATTTTATTCTCTTTGTAAAGGTATCTTTATATTTATAGATTAATTTACAATTTTATAGGCTATATATCAAATTTAATTTTAAAATTGAATGCTTGCCAACTTCCTCATCAAATAATTTATCTCTACTAGAATTATTAAAAATTTGAAGGAATGATTGCAATAAGGAGGTGACTTCGCTTTAAGTAAAGTAAGTTTAGTAAACCAACCAAAGAACAATTAAAAACGAAGTCCTGTTTCAAACATATTATAAATTTATAGTGATTTTGATTGATGGTGATGCAAATCATCATCATACTTATTTGAAGTGGAAGATTATATTTTTTTAAATGAAATAGAATATGTAGCAAAAAATGTATAAAAAGCGAAGCTGTCTCTTTTTTGATGCAAATCCTTCAATTATTGTTATTTAATAGTTTCTCCTATATATTTATTAAAAAATAATATTGATATTAATATACTAAAGGAATGTTAATCATACATTCAGGAAGTATTAGCAGCAGGAAAACGAGCATCAGAAGGTCATCATGATGGGGAGGCAATGATGTCCGCTATTAGAGCTCGTCTGGCACGGAAATCTCTGCCTTTAGTTTCTGCGGATGGTCTTGTCATGTATGGTTTGCAGATTTCACCCACCGTACAAATAGCTGCAGGTAAAATTTATTAAAAAAATATTACATTTTTACGACTGTTATTACTATTTAAAAAATGTTATCGCAAAAATGAAATTTAGATATTCTTTTCAAGTATTGAAAATGGGATTGAATTTCTTTTAATGTTAATAAAATGAATCATGTGCACAAATTGATTACATTCGTGTAGGTCCTGATGTCGACTGGATTGTGGCCGGAAGTGGTTCAATCTCACCATCCATCGGACGTACTAAAAGCCAAGTTATAGCAACGAGGTCGGAAAAGGAAAAACTTGTAAGGTAATTTCCTAAATGGTACGAGTACAAAGCCAATATTCATTATTCTCTATTTATCTTTTTTATCATTGACATATGACAATTAATTTTTAATAATAATTTCAAAATTTATTTTGTGCCTGATAAATAGTTATAATTGTATTATTTTTTTTAGAAACGAAAATTATCGTGAAAACCTATGGAGCGACAGACAAAATTTCGTTGCACTTGGAGTCGGTATGCGTTCCAAATTGGAACAACCTGTTGTGTGGCAAATAGTTCCAACGCAAAATCAGGTAAAACTTCAATATAAGTTCCAACATCGGCGACGATAAAATACCATAAATAATTATTAGAATTTTATAATTATCTCAATTCGTGTTAATTCATAAAAATAAAATAAAATAAAATATGTAGATCCCCCTCAGCGAAAAGGAATGAAAGGTTTATTCCCAATTCTCTGTATCTTGTCTTGTTCTTTCATATCTAAATGCAATCTAAATATACGTACATGACAAAACTGTGATTGTTGACAATTTCAACAAAGTTATTAATGAAACATAAACCAGAGACTTGAAAAAGTGACTTTAAGCTCGTTGTTGGTATTCGTTTGCGTGCCATGAAGTCAACTCCGCTTGTGAAATGTAATCATGTTAAATCAGGGCATGATTTTGCCCTGGAATTGCATTTGTAGAAATTTAAATCATGGTGTCATAATCAACTGAACTATTTCATCATATTATACTTTTCATCCATATATTAAATATTCTATTAATAAACAAATATGCGTGTAGATCATGACTTGTAATATCTATGTTAACGACTAATCATTTCATGCTGTCTGTAAACAAATTCAAGAGATTATGTTGAGAATACACATTCGTCGCGTTTTTTTATTCATTTATCGAGTAAGTAGGTATGAGAAAATTCATTCGCAGTATTAGACTATTATTTTTAATTTCGCGTGGAAGTCGCGTTTACAGATCGATGAGAAATAGTTCTAGTAATAATTAATTGATATTATTATGTCCTATTTGAATTTTACTCATTTATTAGAAATATTTCAGGTTAGTATTTAAAGTTACCGTTAATTAGAAGTATTTTGAGTTTTATAATAACAATTATAATGTGTATTTATAATAATTTATTAAACATCATAATTTTTTATAATTGTACATAAATATGTATTTCTTTTTAGGATATGCAATGTGAAAATGAACTGAATTTGCAAGCAAATCGAAACATAAATACAAGTATCCGTAATTGTACGAATTATAATACCAATTTTTTTCATATTAATTATTACATATGTATTAGTATGTGCTAAATTAATACTTTTAATATTTTTTAGGTGATACTTTTAATGTAGACGTAAAATCTCGAAATCAATCAAAAATTTCTACTACTAGAGAACCTGGGAATTATCGTAATATCATTGAAAATAATTTTGAGAGAAAGGTAAGAGAAACTTTATAAAATAGATTGATACATGATGGTAATAATAATTATACTGACTACTTGCATTAATTGAACATGTATACGTTTCAGGAAAACAATAATAAAACAACAGAATCTAGAATTCCTGTACTTTATACTCGAGAATATATACCAAAGTCTAGCGGCCTCCTAATGGATAAATCGTCTAATTTAGAATTAATAAATATTAATTTAAAGAGAAGATTAAGGGACACAACAGAAAATTCTAACGACCGAAGTTCTCAAGAAGAAAACGTTAGGTACTGTACTTTAACTATTGTGATCTATTAATTTATTAAAAAAAAAAAAAATAGAAAATGTATGAAAATTTGAATTAACACTGATTTAATTAAAAAAACATAAAGATATTTCATGATTAAATAGATAAATCTATAGTTACAACAGCTATAACATCTATAAAATAATTAGTAGATAATTGTAGATAATTGAAATTTCAAAATAATCAATGACACTGTTTAAGTGGATTAAATTTTAAACAAAGAAACAGAATTAATTACAAATGTTAATAGGAGCTGTGGGACTATGTATCATCAAAGAAGAAGAAACCAACAAGAAAATAGTACAAGTATGCATTATGACAGTTATCGGCCAATGAAAAACATAAATAATGCAAATGTAGATAGTAACGTAAGTACTTTTGCTAAAGGCTAGTATTAATAATAAAAATTTAGAATTACATATACAATAATTAAGAATGTGATGAATATTACAGAATTCAAATGAACGTACAAGTCAAAAATTTTCGGATGGTAATTCCAGAGTTTATCAAAAGTTTATGGAAAGAGGTCGATATTCAAGGAAATCTGATGTCAAGTCTAAATATCCTCGTTCAAGTTCCATTGAAAGTCATCAATCATCATCAAGAAATATTCATCAAACATTTGTTATGCATAATATGTAAATATAATTAATTTTATAAAATAAATAAAAAATATATGTAATTTATATCAAGTAAAAATTTAAATGTTCTTTCTTTTTTTCAAATTTTCAGGTATAATACCTCACATCGAGAAGGGCGAGTTGTGGATGAAAATTCTTTTCGACCATTACAAGCAGCTCCCACATTAACATATGGATATAATAAAGTTGGAGAAAATAATGATAAAAATATATCACGGGTACTATATTATCTTTAATGTACTAAATATCTAATATACAAAACAATAGTGAACTACAAGTATTATTAAATGTTATGCTTTATTGCATTACAGATGAGAATTCATCGCAAAACGAAAGACGTGGCTGCTCAAAAAATTGCCGATGTCGAAGTAATGTCATCGGATGCTCAAACTAGTGAATATCTTCCTGCGATACGCACTGACACTCCTTATAGAAGAAGATTACGTTCTCTATCTCCATCCCAATTATATCGTCGTCAACAATTTGTTAGAACAGCCTCCAACGAAGTCCATGCATTGTCCATGTTCGATATGTAAGTAATATTTTCATTATTCTTTTCTTTTATAAATTTTTTTATATCTTGCGTTTTATATCTCAAATTAATATTTATTGTAAAATACAAGTAATGGTGTAAAGAATTTCTGAAAGTTCCAATGCTGAGATTTTGAGGTTTAGCAAATAGCAATGACTTGTTGCGAATAGGTCCAATTAATCGCTAGTGGATAAATTATAGTTACGAGTAATTGCAGGTAATTATGGAAAACTATAGATATTCACAGATCACTAGATAACCGCACGTAATCGTAATTAACTATAAATAACTGCAATTGATCATAATTAACTGTAATCCAGTTATAGATAAACAATCATAAATAACTACAGATAACTGCAAATAATTATATGTACGTATGTACATAAATAATTGGAAGAAATGAATATGTTTAGACAACCTCAATTATCAGATTTTTTTATAAATAATAACAATTCATTTTGCATTTTAAATCTAAATTATCTGAACATTCATCTATTTTGAGAAATATTTCTTTTTAATAGAAACTTCTATGTTCCAAAATGAATGTACAATAAAACTATTAGAATTATAGATAAAACTATTAGAATTACAAGATCTAACATTCTTTTAATTACTTTTATATTTCTGTATTATGTTTTTGATAACATGCTTCAATGTATTATTAAAAATATTGAAACTGCACTTATTTTAACATTTATCATCTACTCTATGATAATTATGACTGAAACACTGCAGCTCGTACTGCAGTATTTCCAGCTTGCAATTAATAACGCAATAATTTTTATGGTGGTGTTATCAGTAGTCCCGTATTGCTGTCGTTTTTTCTATTTTTCTTCGCTATTGTCCCGACAGGAAATTACTGTTTCCTTGTACACATGCACGACAAATTATTCACTATAATAGTGCTAGGCGTATCGTGTGCAAAGTTTTATAACTTTTCAGCTATACTTCTGGGAAGGCGACAAATGTAAAGCTTCCGTAGTTTTACTAACATAATTTCATTGTATGTGAACTATACATGTAGTAGCAGCGAGGAAATTTCTTGATAATGTTTCTAAAAACGCGACAAGTGATTTTTTAAGAGCAATCATTATACAGTTGAATTGGTGGTATCGGTACAATTTCACTTTGTCTACTTGATCGATTTTGTGACACAGTGTTGAATTGAATGAACGTGACTCACAACTTTATCCTTTGAATCGTTCTTAAATTGCTTTTATTCCTATGACGTTGATTCAGGCTTTTTAGGTCAATTAAATGATTATAGCATTTCAGAGTATAATAAGTTCGGAGTATTTATTGTCTGACTGCAGATATTATATTTATTTCATATATCATACATATATAAAATTAGGAGAAAAGTTTATTACAGAGAGTACTATTATTTATGTTTGGAATATTTTTGCATCTTCCACAGTGCGTAGTATGATAAAATAAAATTAATGTATTAAAAAATAGTATTTTATAATTTATTTTATTTCATAAAATAGTAAAACCTGTTTCAGTTATTTTAACAGTAATTTAAAAAAAAATAGATTTACTTAAATTGATTTTAAAAAAAGAATAATCATGTAGTAGAAAACATGAGTAATGATGCGACCGTGGACACGTTCTTGATCTCGTTTTCGTTTACTCGATTTACCAACATCGCGTGAGAGGAAAATTGAGATTATATTTCTGTTTGAATAATCACGCCATCAAGTGCTCTCTGAATAACAATTTGAACTCGTTAAAAAAAATTCCCTGTGAACATTGTGTTGCAATTCAAGACTTGAATGACCAAGAAGTTGAAAATATGTGTACACGTAAGGACAACTACACATATTGTCAGATGAAATAAATTAATATATATCGTGTATAAATAACATAGAATTCAAGAACATTCGTCATTTTAAATTACAAAAAAAATGTCGCATTTTGACATTATGCAAATATTATCACAGATAATCTCAGTATTGTTATTAATTTGTAATTTAGTAACGAGAACATAATTATCGATACGAACTGTAATTTAAACTGATATAATTTCGTAAAAAAGGATTATATAATAATCCATTTGATTAAAGCGTAAATCCTCTATTTTGATAGTTGTGAGTTTTAAAGAACGATTTTGCATCATGTATCGAAAATTGAATATACAAATTCAGACGGGTGTAAAAATATTAAAAAAATTTTTTCATGACTAAATTCACCATGATCTTGAAAATTTAAAAATTTTCTCTTTGTAACCACCTCTTAATACTCGCTGTACGATTTTTTTTACAATTTTATTGAATTTGCAACATTAGGATTTCTTCCTAATATTCAACGTTCAATAAAATAGTGAAAAAAAAAAAAATCGCACAGCAAGTTTTAAGAAGTCGTTGTATAGAGGAGACTTGAATCTTCGGAATGATGGGTGGATCTACTAAAGGAATTCACGTGTTTGAATTTCTACAATTTTTCAAAAAAAAGTATCCTCACTTTTCTACTCGCTTGTACGATGTAACGTTACCTCTGAGAAAACTGAACTCTCCGACTATCAAAGTGGAAGCTTTAAAACAAGACCATGCGGATCATTCCGTGACTTTTTTTTACGAAATTACATCAGTCTAAATTATCGACGATTTTTCGTCGTCTTTGATACAGTTACGCTCTTCGCTGTATAACGCGACACCTGTTCATTTTTACCTTTGACGCCTATATCCTCGTACAGGTTTCCACCCTAATGTCCAGAAGGGGACTTTTACGGTCAGTGTATAACCATTCGATATGGTATCGCGGGGTTACAAGTGAAACGGGGAGATCGGGGCGGAGGGAAGTGGCAGCGGTCAGTGCTGAGACAGCCGACGTTTACGTGAGCACAGTCGTGCGTGTGGCGTTATTTGTCGCATCGTCGGTACTTGCTTTTAGCCCCCTTCTCTCGTTTTCTTTCATTTCTAAAAAAAAAAAAAAAAAGAAAAAGAGAAAAATTAATCAATCGTTTCGGTTCGATTTAACTTTGGTGAAATTTGTTGAAGTGACTTCAAGCATGATTCGAAGATTGCCTACGAGCGTGCTTGAGTGTAGTGCGATTTTAGTTTAAACGTCCATTAATTGCTGCGAAACTGCGATGATCGACCGGTGCGTGCGCCGATTATGGCGGCCATAGATCGTCTATTTAGTTTTCTTTGAAATTCTGTTTTTTTTTTTTTTTTAATTTTATAGGGAATTTGCAGTATTGAATGATAGGGATAACGTAATGTAAATAAAAGAACAAAGGTTTTGAAATAAGATGCACAATAGATATAAAATATTATCAGCCTGAGTTATTTAGGAGTCACACAGATTAGTTTCAAAATTGAAATCGAATGAAATAATGTTTCGTAGCATTATTTTTAAAATTAATCATGAATTTATTGCTATCTATATTAAGAGTTTCTTTTTCTGAAAAATGAATTCATGAGAGTGAGACATCTGACTTTTAAAAATGTTAATCATGTATCTAGACAATGGTTCATAAAAAAGAAATTGTGAAATTATGAAATTATGAAATATATATATATTTTAACTTATAAGTAACGTGTAAATATATACAATTAGTAGAAAAGTAAAATTTATTAATATTAAATTTATTCTTCTATAATCATCTATATTTATTTGATTTAGTATTATATTTATTTTAAAATCATGGTTAATATTGTCTAATTTTTTTCACTTTCATATATTTCTTTTAAATTATTAACAAGTTCAAAATTTTTTACTGTACAATTATATTTGTATATCTTGTCAGATACAGAACATTTCATAACAGGTTGTTAATCGATCATTCGTTAACCTTAGAATGATAAACACGAAATGTAGCAGAAGCTCTAGAATAATAGCTTGAAATTTGAATTGCATATTGTCTAGACACATGAAATTTACTGCTTCAAATTTTCTTCTAACGTCCTTAATTGGAAAATAGAAATAACTACAAATAGAATTTACATAATTTTTATTTAAGAGTAATACACTGTACTGCCACAATTTTCGAAAGACAGTTGATAATTATTTCTAAATTTTTTCTTTCAAATGTACAGCCAAACGAGAATTATTCATACATTGTATTATATAGATTCGATGTGACTCATAATTTATTTACAATACTATTTTCATGATAGATCAATAATATAATAGTCAATATTTCTGAATTACGTTCAAAACGATTTCTTCAAAACGATAATATCTTTCCAAGGTTACGTGTTGTATTTTTTTTTTTTAATCGATAGAAAAAACAAATAAATAAAATACCATAATTACTACGTTACATGCCATTGCAGCAATATCTTGTATCAAATAGCGAGAATCAAACGTGATACTAAACTTCGTGTTCCAAAAATTAAACGTGGCATCTGATTTTCCAAAATTAGGGAAAACATAAAAGACAATTTAACTTTAGTTACTGGACATCAGTAAACCAAAGACATTAAATAATCCCACGTTCGATTAATTGCGCCTAACTTGAAAAAAGTACGAGCGAATCGTGAAGAAGCGAAGAATGAAACGAGTCGATAGTGCAAAAATAACTTTGACAAACCGCATAAACATCGCCAGTGGCATGACAAGGACTTTTGATCGTGATCGATGAACCATTATCGATCGAAATGATCTTCAAGTACTGTGCTTGGACAGAAGAGGCCAACAACACGATTACGGTGTTGAAAGGCACCGAGGCGAATTCGATCGAGAAGGATGAAAATTTCAACGAGGAATCTACTAATTCAAGAAGAAAGGAGTATAAGATCGCAAACACTATTCTTCGTTATTGCCCGTGCGCGTTTAGATGCAGACAACCGGTGGATATCGGAAGAGAGGAGGAGGATTCTATTTCGACAATTGTCACCACTGTTAACACCACTCCTGTAATCCCTTTGAGGTTGAATTCGAGTAATGACACGATGTATGTTTTCAAACGAAATTCATACGCTGAATGATAGAATGATAGTGCAAGTAATTTTCTCAGATAGAGCAAGTTTCTCGTCAAATAGCAAAATTGACGTAACGATGTTGATATTATATTTTTGAAAATAAATAAATATACAATTAGTATAGTAATAGAATGATTATATCAGCCATTACGTCAGTTAATATTTGCATAATGTAAAAATTAATGCATTGAAATGAAGAAACATATTTTTCATATTAATTGAAATTTGAAACAAGACTGGAAGTTTTAAATTTGTATTGATCAATGAGGCTTATCTTGTGCAGTTATTTTGAAAAATACAACTCTGTCCTAACTTTGTATTAATCATGCACTAATCATAGAGTGTGCCTCTTCGATATACATCAAAATGATGTTTTATGGGCGAAAGATTATCACACTGAATATCTACAGAAAGATCTATAATGTACAGCGTGTAAATTGCAATGGCATGCCGTTCGATAAATACTAATTTCCGTGTGTGTCTTCTTGAGAACGCGAAAGAAAATTATTCACTTCCTTTGTCAACATTTTTGTTTCAGAGACAAAGCGGTGAACGAAGAAGGATATAATGAAAAAAATAAGCATCATTTTCTACCAGACGATCACTTCGGAGTAAAGACAGTAGATCCAGACGAAGCACAATTTGAAGGTTTGTAGAACATAATAATTTATAAAATTTATAAAACATAGTAATCTTCTCTAAATAATTCAGAATACTTCTTAATTAAATCTCTAAATAATTCAGAATACTTCTTAATTAAATCTCTAAATAATTCAGAATACTTCTTAATTAAATAATTAAATAATTTCCTTGCTGATTCTTTAATATATTCATATAATATAGTTTAATATAAATAATGAATGAACATAAAAATGTTATAATAATTATAAAAATAATGTTGTAATAATAATGCACGACGCAGTCCAATAATAATATTCTTTTTATATATATTTTTCAACGATAAAAACGTTTGGATTGTTATACGAATCAATTCTGAAAGTGAAATGAATTCTTAAGTTAAAATCATAAAATTATTAGTTAGAAAATAGAGGATTCATTACTAAATATAATGAACAGGCTATTCGCCAAGAAATTAAGGCTATCACTTGTTTAAATCATCTATGGGCACCAGACACATAAATTAGAGCTTAAATAATAGATTACAAAGATCTCTGAAACGTTCGTGCGAACTTCTAATCGCTAAAAGCGATACGAAATAACCTGTGGGACCTGCTGGAACGATCGAAAGTCCGCGAACTGGAGCGTGAGGTTCTTAACCTCGGGCGAATGTGTAAAGCTTAAACCAGGATGTAATCAATATTTTGCTCGTAACGTTTATACTGGCGAAACGAATAATCTTTTACTAAAAAAAAAAAAAAAAAAGAAAAAGAAAAGAAAAAGAATAGAGAACATCTCCTTAAGTGAATACGAAAAGAGAAATCAATGTTTCCCTCGCATAAAATTGAAGAGAAAGAAACATATAAAGGAAGAAGAGTAAAACTAAGCTCGTCTATCGTTTCAAACTTTTCAGTGCCATTGAGAAACATCGTTATCATGAAATGATATTTCCTTTCCTTTTATTTTACTTTATAACATTTTATTTTATAATATTTTCTTTCTTTCTTTCTTTCTTGTATTTTATATATATATTTTTTTATTATATTTAAGATATTAATATAAATATGTGTACAGAATGGTTTGAACGAAACATTTGTAATTTAAATCGAAATTCACTTACAATATATCGTCATTGTGTATGGAAATATCCAGCAAATGTCGCATGATTAATAAATTTCAGTCTTTTTTGCTCTATTCTGACGCACAAAATCTTCTTATATTGTTTCTTTTTTCTTTTAATTTATATATATATTATGGTTTCCGTCGTATAGATATAAATATTAGTCATATCGATTTTAATAATAGATTTGATAAATGAGCCTGATTTAAGAATTTGTGAGTTAGTTCTCAAGTATAATTCTATGTTACATACAAGTATATTTAAAAATTTCTTTATTTTATTTCATTGTTTATGATATTATAAATTTATAGTATCCGTCAGCTCGAATATAAATATTGAATTATGCTAACATTTGTATTTTGAGATATATTATTGTTATCGATTATTGAACAATTTGATCTGTTTTTTAGTGGACGAATTTTCATCGTCAGACGCTTTAGAAAATAACTATCACCAAGATGTCGAACAGGACGTACAAGATTCTCAAGATGATAGTGATTCCAGATCATCTACTCCTGATAGACAAAATGCAGACACTGCATTTGATATCATCACCGGACAATCAGGTTCTCCTGGTCGAGACACCGTCGATTTCATTGTAAATACTCGTTCTAGCAATATTTCATAATGAACGTTGTCTTTTTTGAACGTTACGAAGTTGAAAAATATTTATTTATTAATTAATACATTATATACATATATATTATTATTAATAATAATTTAAGTAATGTACATATTAATTTAGGATGAAACACGTAGATTTTAATATCTCTAATAGTTTTTGAAGATAAATTTTGTTTTTAAAATAATATAAAATAATTTATTACAGAAGAGACCTGTATATCACAATAATTTTTGCAGGTTGAGGGGTTCAAGATCGTTTCAAAATCACTTCCACTTTTTTAAGTGAAACAATATATCTTAAACTATTAATTTTTCGACATAAATAGGTCAATACTTTTTTATAAACGACAAAAGTCTGTATCGATTGGTATATAAAAGAATATAGGATTTTATTTAAGAAAGTGTGGGTCTTAAAATCTTCGAAATTCTTTCAGTTACAAAAAAATTATTACTACTATATTATAACTCTCTCTAGACTTAATAGTTTTTATCTTCAGAAACAAAGAGATATTTACGTAGTTCACTCTGTATACTAAATAATTTATATATTTTTAATTAATAATTGAATTTAATTTATATATAATTAATAATTTCATTGATATCATTCTTAACATTGAGGAAATATGTATCTATACATATCTTCTATCTCAATAATTTCAGAAAACTTGAACAATAACAGTAAAATAAAAGTCAAAAAGTCAAGAAAAAGAAGTTATGTAGTATATACTATAACATTTCAGATTTCATTGGACCAAAAAGTTGAGACTGGAACAGAAGCGACAATGACATCGATCGACGACGATGGATCCAAGGACTGGAGCAGCGAAGAAGAATTAAAATTAAGAAATCAAAGTCGTGCGATATCCAGGAACTCGGAACACGCTGAATACCTGGAAGAAAATCAAAACGAGAGCGAATTTAGCACTTCAGATGAAAATGGAAGGACGGATGAAATGTTAAACACGCAGGAAAGATCTATCGTATCAATTTTAACAACTGAACGAGCGTTGACGAGCGAAAGCTTGCAGCAAAAAGCCGATGATATTCTACATACGGATTATCAAGATGAAGAACTTCCGAGAATGTGCACGAGTCCGAAAATGTTTAGTCGATCGCCGAGTAGAAATTCTGTCGATTTTGAGGCATCGAAATCTCCAAGACATAATTCTCGAGGCAGTCCACATAAATTGGTTGGTTAATAAATATAAAATGATTATTTCATACTATGGATATACATTACTCATATTTATGCAATTGTAGGGAATTTAAATATAAAATACACAAAATAATATTATGTCGGTTGTTAATATTGTAATATGTTATAACTATTAATACCATTAACTATTAATATATCATAATAATTATATTACATAATAATTATAAATTATATTACGAAAATATATATAGAGTACTCAGTGCAAAAGTTAAAATATTCCTTATATTCTGTAACAGAGTTTTGAATTGGAAGACAAAGATTTGGCAGATTCAAGCGAAGACAAAGCTGATTCCTTCACAGTGCAGTGTGACTCTATCCAGTCAGGAGAACCAACTCAATCACGCAGAGGCTCGAAATCAGAAGAATCACCAGCCATCATCATTGCCTCCAGACCGCATTCATCCAGTTCTAATTATGTGGAAAATCATCTCGACAATGCCATTCAAATGGAAGAAAATGATAATATTCTCAGGGTAAGCTATTATAGTACAAATAAATATTCAGATAAAATTTCTTATATTTTATTTAAGGTTTTCTACATTTTTATTGTTAACTAAAATACTTTTTTTCAGTTTGTTAGCGAGACCAACGGGAATAATAATTTTGAAGATGGACAAAGTAAAGATAGTTCCAGCGAAACGAATACTGAACCAGCAATTATAAAAATCGAGGTGATAGAATATTTTAAAAATATTTTTTTACTTATTTTTTTCTTCTTTCTTTAAATTCTGGAAATATTTATTACAAAGCATTTCTCTAAATATGTCTGTATTCAGAGTCAACCTGTGGAGCCAGTCGCTACAACCAAACGAAAAACCTCCAGGGTTCCTCGTATTGCAACAAGAGCTCGAAGCAAAGGAAATCCGGAGAAAGCGGAAAAGATAAAACCAATAGTACAACAGTGTTTTGCTCACCTTGAGAATAAAGATTGGTAAGTATCATTAACATAACTAAATCATTTTTTGTAGTATTTAAAATTATCGATATAATTGATATTATTATTGTGATAATGAATGGATTGCAAATTCATGTTGCATAAAGACATTGTAATTAAAAAAAAAACTTCAATGGAAAATAGTTTTATATCCAATTACATATTATAAAAAATATTATACCTTAAATATTCATGCGCATTCTGTGCAATTTTATATAAATCCACAAAAATCCGCAGTCTAAAAATGACTATCGTTAATATTCCTTTGCAATATTCAGTCTTTAATCTTATAATAGAACGATTAGGAAAATTTAAATAGATACAATCTACTGCTAGAAATACTTTTTATTCTACTTTCAGGGAAATTACTATGAAAGGGTTAAAAACGTTATCCCAGATCGCAAAGCAACAACCGGAGTATCTGGATGTATGCGCTGCTGCGACGATAAACCGGCTTTTAGGTCGTCAAATAAAAAGTCTTCGGTCACAAGTGGCACGAACGGCATGCTTGACCGCCGGTGATATTTTTAGTTCACAGATTCGTGGCATAGATCAGGTAAATTTTCATAACATCATGCATATTATCAGTTATTGCAGTTTAGTTGTAGATAATATTAATTTTTTTTACATTCATCAATACTTTCACTTTTCCAACGAGAATCTTTGTTTTTAATAGGATTTCGATGACATAGTCGGATCATTACTTCACAGAACAGCAGATACTAATCGATTTCTTCGAGCAGACAGTAATGCAGCCTTGGATAAAATGATAGAACATCTTCCGCCTCATAAAACGATCACTGTCATCGTACTGCGTGGTGCGAGGTGAATTATTCATCAATTTATAGTTTATTTTCATTTACATCGTTGATCGTTAGATTGTGAAGGTTTATACTTTTATAAATATTAATAAAGAAAAGATTCTTTTAAACAAAATAAAGAGAGATATCTCTTTAGGTATTAATAAAGAAAAATGAAAAACATGGAAATTTAAATACAGTCGAACTTCGTTTATGTGGAACTTCAGATATACGAATTTATATTGATTAACTTCTGTCTATTATCTTTTACTATCCGAACAAATAATAGAATGTGGAAAAACTAGTGAGCCTTTACCATTCAAACTCTTCGATTATCCAACTTGTATTTATCATAAGTACATAAATAATGGTGTTTATTTAATCATCGTCGTTTATTCAGTCACCAGAACGCCATAGTAAGAGCAGCTACAGCAAGATTATTGGCTTCTATAGTCGATCGAATAGGACCACAACATACTTTAATTTTACCAAAAGATGTGAAGGACAAGCTACTTTCTACAGGCGCGAGATTATTAATCGATGGAAATCTGGATACCAGGTAATTTCTCATAATTCTCGTAGCTATTTATCTGTAATATAACATTGTTTTTACAAATTACTCTTACAGAAACCATGCAAAGAAAATGTTCCGACATCTTGCACGCTGCGAAGGATTTCGAAAGGCTTTAACGGACGCTGTGCCTGAAACAACCTTAAGACACATCGACAAGACTTTGAAAACTCTCTAGTTAATCGATTGATCGTGTGATCTTGCACGTCGCTTCGCCATCTGGATCTAATCCATCCAACGAAACTGCTTCTTGCAAAAAGTGAAGAAACTGAAGCTATTAGCTAATAAGAGTTTCAGTGGTGTATTCAATACGAACTTTGTGCACGGGGGAAAAATTATAGGATCTCACGTAGATTGTGAGAGAAACGATTTCGCTATGCTGATATATATTTTCCTCCATGCACGAACGCGTATTTTCTTCCCTGACATTTAATCGCACGAGTTCAGCTATGAAAGAGAAGTGGAAGCATGATTGCTCTAGTCGACTGATTTCAACGTTTCAAAACATTTTGATACTCTAACGATGTACGTCCATACATTTCTTTTTTATACCATTGTATAAGCAACGTATTTAGAAACCAGAGAGAGAAACTTATTTGCATAATGTGGATTTTTAGGGTTTTATTTTTCTGAATCGTTGTCATTTTATCCTATCGTGTATGATCTTTTTTTTATGAAATTTAGAAGAATCTCCAAGACTTCGGTTTTTAACAAAATATTTTATTGTATCGGAAGAACTGTTAAGTGAATCGTCAACTGGATAAATTTCAAATATGTAAGATTCACATTATGTAAATAATCTATGCTCAATTATAAAATATTATTCCGAAAAGAAAGGGGTCATACTAACTTTAGGATGTGTAAAATAATTTTTACTTTTTAACGTAAACAATGAAGAAATTTAACGTTACATAATATATTATTTATCAAGTGATATTTCTCTTTGTAATCAGTAATTTGTTCTAATCAGCTGAGGATTATTTTCTTGTACTTAAAACCCTTGTACTTGAAACGTTGTGCCTTAAGAAACTAAAATCTTTTGTTATAACTGCAGAAGATTTATACAAAGTTATGTTAATGAAATTTAGACTCAAATTAATGTAATATAATAATGATTTACTAAAATCGTAACGCTCAATCTATTTAATTATATACAAATTATAATTTATAATAATCATTATTGTAAAAGTATTTATCGAAAGTTTCAAAGATTAAAATTTCTAATTATTATAATGACTATTATAAATTTTAATAATATGAAACTAATTAGATGAATTATACAAAATGGAAGAAAGAATTTATTTGAAATATTCAAATATTCACACATGGTTCTTTATTCGACTTTGTCTTTATATTTAATCGTTAATAAAATAAAATGTGATATGCGTGAAGTAACATCGTACATTAAGTTTTACGAAACACTAACAATAAGTTATAAATGACAAAATTAATAGATGGAAAAGGTAATAATTTATAGAAGGTTAGCAGTTTCTTTACTTCACCAACTCTTCTACAAGAAGTTGGAGGAAGAAAATTATGACTACATTCACTGAAGAAAGGAATACATTGTTGATGGCAATGATTCCATTTCAAAAAGACCAAATATTATTTATATCAAATAATTGGAATATATTAATTTACATTACAATATAAGATATTATATTACATTAAAGATTATAATAAAATATCATTTTGAAATATCAATAAAAATTTATACTACTCGTTTTGAAAATGTTAACACTACAATTCTTTTTAATTTATAATCTTTTATGTATATATCTTCTTTCTTTGTTTTTTTTCTTTTTTTTTGCGAAACAACTGAAGCATTGAATGAAAGTAATATTTTCACTTGATAATTTCACTTGATATTCAAAACTTATAAAAATATTTTTTACTAGAATGGAAGACTGGATGGAGTGGCAAAATTCAGTGAAAAATATCAAAATAATTGTACATTCCATCGAAAATATCGTGAGTTTCATGGCAGAAGAAACAAATTATTTTTAAATAACCAAAAATCTCTGTTATTAATCAATTAAATATTTTATTAAAAATTTATAAATATTAACAATCTGTTATAAATAATTTAATATTTGGAAATTCAGGTGAGAAAGGACGACATATACATGTCGATCACGGCAGAACATAATGGTGTTGTTTTGGGAGACAGTGATTCAATATTAATCAAAGCAAATTATGAAGAAGACATAGTTCATGTTATCGATATTACTGTTAATTTGCCAATTAATGTAAAAGATAAACAGATACTTAATTCAGTCGTATCAGTGCCTGTATTAAGTGAGTAAAAAATTAATTTATATCGCTCATTTCATTATTTATTGCATAATAAACACTAATAATAATTATGTATTTACATAGTAAAAGCTTTCCAAATCATAGAAAACGAACAGGAAGGACAGACTCTATCGGATGAAGCTAAGAAAAAATCGATATTTAGTACAAAATCTGCAGTGCTTCCCACATCGAAGTTGTTAGGGATATGTAATCTCGATTTAATACCAGTTATATTAGGTGAGTAACGTATAATCTCAAAATCTATGGTAGTCAAAATTTCCCCCAACGTTTTCAAATTGAAATATCCAAATATTTCGTCCGATTCAACGAGTTGAAAATGATTTTCCCTGCAAAAATAAAGTTAAATTAAAGCTAGAAAATTGAAAAATTTTTAGGGGAAAGTACTTTCACCGAGAAGCTGATTTTGGAAACACCTATCTTCTCCTTCGACGGTGAGTTGATCCCGTGGCAGAATCTTCCACGTCTCACGGTAACAGTTATGCAAGATCAGACATCGATCTTCCAACCAAATGAGATAATGAACTTCCTTCACATTACCATCGAGAGCATATACAATATTCCAGAAATTTTCGCGGAGAATTTTTATTACAAAGCTGGCACAATAGCGTATATTGATAATGAGGTATTTACGTACATGACGAAATTGTATTGACATTACATTCGTTTATTTTACAAACGAAGTACTTAGTTAAATGATGATTTCAAATAAAGATCTATATTACATTTGATCGAAATTGAATTAACAGTATAGTGTGACTCTATAGCCTCTGGAGATTATTCTTGTACACGTGCTTGTAAATATTTGGTCAGAAGTCGATGTAAAATAAAAAAAGAAGAATATTCCTGAAACTTGTCGAAGAACCACGTTAATTAGGAATATAATAACTGTAATATAAACCTTATTTGAGGTCATTATTTCAATTGGCAAAAAATTATAAGCATTAAAAGTTACAAATATTTTAAAAAATTATATTATGATGTGTATATTGTTAAAAAATTACTAAAAAAGGAATTATAAATAAATATATGTACAGTCACCTCTATATTTTGTTCCAGGAACCTGAGAAAATAATTTTCGACCGAGGTATTTGGGTAAAATATCGCGACGTTGAGAGAACAAAACGGTGGAACAGTTTACGCCATATAGAAAATCGAGCACAGTTGTCTAAATACAAATTGGACTGCGATTTTATGGGAGTGAGAAACGAATTTAGCAAGCAGTTTGATTTAGCGGTATCAGAAAATAAAATTATGTACTTTATGATGAAATTTTATTAATATAAGTATACATATGCAGTGACACTATTTATACTAATATTTATATTTTTGTTTATAATAACTTTACTTATATTATTTGAATAATAATAAGAATCGTTGCACATGTGCTACTTACATACTTTATGCATATGTTACAGTAAATGATCAATGAGTATGCATATATTATAAAATATTTAGTTAAAAAATGAATTACATCCTCGCATAGTTTATTTACTAAAACTCACTTCTGAAAAATATTAACTATTGTTATTATTCGCTTTTTAGAAAAAAGTGTGCGAAGATGTACCACGAATCGAATGGAATTCTTTGAATCGATGTATCATATGGGAGAGAGGAATCGAAGCGATGAAGAATTATATTAGAAAGTAATAAATATTGCTGTATATTGACGTATTGTTATATTATCACTGAAAGAATATTAATCAAGAACGTGTTTACTTTAAAGACACAAATTTTGGCCTTTTCAATTTGAAGTAACGACAACAGGAAGTCCGCCAACAAAATCGAAAAACATTTCATCATCTGCAACACAATTGTATCAATGTTATGTCGATGTTTCCGAACTTCTTTTCCCAGGAAGTAAATTCTTGCATTCTGCAATATACAAACACGTTACTGAACAATTATTGATATATTAACGATTATGTTTGCGCAGGAAGAAGCTGTCGAGTCGTGGGACAGTTGTATAAGTTTAATTCAATGGAAAATATTCAAACGCAAAATATATTCAGCTCAGAAACACAACGCAAAGAAATGACAGAGAAAGACAAGAAAAATAAATCATCCAACGTAAAGTATTTGAATATTTAAATATTTTAATGCAGCAGAGCCTTCCTTGTCCGAAGAATTTTTGTGACATAATACAAGTTACTATAGTCGTCTGTGATCCTACGACTATTTAGAGATTAATTTCTTAATAAATTAATTTATTGTTTATGAGTGATAAATTAGTCGTAGGTATAATTTTCTTACAAAATAAAATAGTAAACCAAGATAATGAGAATGTCGAAGAAAGAGACTTTAAAAAATTTGAAGCATGAAAAGAATATAGTATTCTGTTAAATATTCTTGCATAATATCAACTTTTTATTTCGTTTTCTTTTTTTCTGAATTAATTTGGTACATCTTGATTTTAGAAAACGCAGTCGATTCGATCGGAAGCTGAAACAACACAACAAATAAGTGAACCAATTACTACAGAAAATGGAGAACCAACAATCGTAGTAATTGAAATAGAACTTTATAAACCTTTGATCGCTTGCAGAATCGAAACGGATTTCACAAACTTGTAAGTCTTCAAATTTGACCAATCTTCGATTTTTTTTATTCTATCAGAAGTTTCTTCGTTTCACAAAGAAAGATTAACATGTTATTCTTAATTGTTTTAGAATAAATGAAATGATACCCAAAGTAAAAAGTAAACATTCTTATGTATATTCTGGTGATGTAGCAGAAACACAGTACATGCATTGTATTCAAAAATTAGCCGAAATCCTCACGGAAAGTTATCGAGTATGAAAATAATTAATATATTTACGAATTTTATATATTAAAATACAGATATGTATTCTATATATAATTGTTTTAATTATTTAATGTTATCTTTTTAATATTATCTATAATTATTTAATTATTATCTTTTTCATTTTCAACGACATGAATTTTTTCTACGCGGTTTTGTTTTACGTGGAACGTATCTATAAAACGAAACCTAGGTGTATAGAATATATATTCTGTAATTTATGAATTTTTAATACATACACTCTAATATATATAATTATTGAATTTTTTATGTTCTTTTAAGCTAGGATTTTTGTGAAGAAACTAAAAGAACAGATACCAAGGAAGGAAAGCCGCGAGAAAAATATTGCTTTGGTCCAGAATCGGTAATTGTGAAAATATTTTGAAAATAATAATTTGATATTAAATAAGACGTTATTGTATTTAGGGCGAATTAACGTGCTTCACACAATATCTTTATAAAACTGGAGTATACTTAATTGTACGTAATACGTTAAGAATGAAAATTCCCCTCCTCTTAGATCAAAAATTCAAAATGCCTAAAAATTTTGTCGATTCAAGAAACTCTCACGTACGTACATTTTTTAATATTTTTCTCTGAAAATATTTTTCTTTTAGAAAAAGATATTAACGTTATATTAAATTTTATTTTAGTAACTTTCATATTTTTCTCTGACTATAAAAAAAATTATAACTGAAGTTTTTTTAAATAATCGCATTAACTGAAAATTCCACAGAATTTCATTGCCTCCATATATACGTATTTAGTGGAACAAATGCATCTTGCCATAAACCAAATGGTCGAATGTCGATTTACGCAAGATACAGAAAAAAATCTGGACCTAACATTAATATACTTCTATGCTGAAGAAGCATACGAGCTTGAAGATATGGAAACAGCTAGGGAATATTACACAAAAGTAGGCTGCATTTCTTACTTGTAATATAAGAAGCTATACAATTTCAATAAAACGAACAAATCTGCCCAAATGTTTTTAATATCTAAAATGGTAATTATCGTGTTCTCAGGCAATAGCATCGAATAAAACTGATCCGCATCCTTGGACGCGGTATGCAATATTTCTAAAGAAAATAGGTGATATCGAACGTGCAAAAGAATGTTGTTTAGAAGCGATCAGTTTAAAACATCAATATGCAATTGCGTATGTAAAACTCCATTATCCATTACAATTCATTCATATTGATACGAACATAATTTGATCGCATATGGGTTTCAGTTTGCTTAAACCTGCGTTTGCTACGTTCTTTCGATTTACGACTCGCTTATGCGTATTTCCCTGAAATTAAAAAAATCGAATTTAAACAAAATATTATGGAAACGTTCGTATTATGAAAACGTTAGTGTGATTATTCGGTTAAATCTTCTTAAAACATTATAAATTCTTTTTGTTTGCTGAAAAATTGAAATGCAAAATTTTTAAGGATCGTTAATCGGAGTAATATTAAGCAAACTTAATATTTAATTTTATATGATCGTTTTAAAATTACGAGTTTCCTTTAATAATTACAAATTTTACTTAATTATAACGATTTCAGATTGTTAGTGTACGGGATGATCCTTTTCGAGAACAAAGAATACAAAGAAGCCGAGATCTTTCTGAGAGCCGTTACTTATTTACAGCCACGATTCTTCGAGGCCTGGGCTATTTTACATCTGTTTTTCATACGAATAGAATACTATCCAGGTGACGAAAAGGCTTTATTTTTCTTATTAACAAAATTGAAGTAACGAAAATCAAAAATATATAAATAACTAAAAGTGTATGTAATATTGTTTAGGGGTAGATCTTGCGCTTCGTATAGCAAAGAAATGCATACAAGATAAATCTCGTATAATAACATTAGATCAAGAACCGCTTTCTTGGACCATGTGTCACTGTCCTCAAAATAATGTGCACATAATGGTTGCAACATTTCTATTAAAATTGCACTTTTGTGAGGTAAACAGTTTTGTAATGTAAAAATCATGATCTTGTTATTATAATGAAACATAATGAAATTAAGTAAATAAAAAGTAATAATTTTCATACTATATATATTAAATGGTTTCAGTTTGCAGGGCTCGCGTTAGCAGAGGAGATGTCAAATTCCAATCGGTCAATCCACGTTCTGTATTATATGGCAGTGGAACATTATCTGTCTGGCAGATATGAGAATGCGTTATCTCACCTAGAAGAAATTCGATGCGATTATGGAATGGTTAACACCTTTAAATTATCAAATAAAAAAGTCAAATTACAATGATATGAGTTTACAAGCGAAGTAAAACTCTAATAATAACAAATTTATAGCAGATTTGTTAATACATCTCAATCTATCTACTTAGAATTATTCGGTCAGTAGTCTAATGGGCCATTGTTACTTCAAAATAAAAGAAACCGAAAAAGCAGTAGAATGCTACGAATTTGCACGTATGCTTTTTGACAGACCTGATAATCTGCATTTAGTGGAAATTAGGTAATGTAATATGTTTTAAGTAATACATATTGAATATTTTTATTTTACAATAAAAATTAAATATTTTTAATGTAATACGTTTTAAGTAACACATATTATCTTTTTCAAATATTACCAGATTGGGATATCATTATTACGATATTGGTAATTACGATCGCGCGAGAAGGATTTTTCTGAGCGCATGTAAATCTTCACCAACTTGCTTGACCTGGCTAGGAGTTGGTATCAGTTGTTACGAGGTAAAAAGCAACTGCTTTGATATTATAGGAGACAATATAATTGCCTGGAATTACTTCACTTATGAATAATGTTGATATACCTTAATAATTTTACATTCAACTGTTTTGCTTATTTTAATTTATTTTTTTGTTCAATCGTTCCAGACAAACCAGTTTCACGAGGCAGAAATATCTTTATCCGAAGCAAATAGAATTAACAATCACAATTCGGATGTATGGGGCTATCTGTGCCTTTTAAATATGACGCTTGGAAGATATGATGAGTTTGCGCAGTGTTATGCGGAAATGCTCAAAGTGAATTTGCATTTTGTGTTTTAATATAAATTTTTTTTTTAATTTAGCAAGGTAGGTCTCGTCCTGTATATGGTATAAAATTCTTAACTATTTATAAATATTTATAATGATAATTCCATGGAACTTCCAAAATACACAGCCAATATTGAATCTTTTAGCGCCATAGGAAAAATTATATTTCGATGCTCCCTATATCTTTCGTAATAAACACTATATAAGAATCCCCTACATAAATGAATGAACAATTAAGAACATCTCTCAAAACTTAGCATCCTGATTTTCAAAAATTTTGACCATTCAATATTTTAAAAAATTCAAATAAGTAGAGACACTAAAAACTAAATTGATTCTTACTAATATTTGCAACTATTTTTTTAAGGAATTTCATTATAATTCAAATTCAAACTATAAACACATTTTCATTTTGACAAATTTGTTAATTAGTAAGTAATTCTTTATACACATGACTGAGGGAAAGAAGACACCAATATTTTACTAACAATTTTTATTTTATTTTATTTTTTTTTTTTAAATATCAGAATAATCTTAAAGATAGAAAACTGTGGTTGAGAATAACGAACCTGATGAAGGCTTTGGATTACGCACCACCAAATTTAACATAAACCGACAATCTTGTCGAGGATTGTAGCGCAGAGGGTTCTGAGGAACAATTTGAAAACTAATGGCACCTAAACGAAATAAAAAAAAATGCAAGAACTCGTTGAAGAAGGAATTATAATGGCACTTATTTTTAAACAATGAAAATAATATAATTAAAGAAACGAATACAATTGACAAAAAGTAACATACTAAAAATATTTTAAATACAACTTTGATCGTTACAATTTAAAAAATTTGAATTTCATTAATCTTTTATCAATTGAAATATTCAATATTTTAATTTATTTGAAACTTGTTAATTATAAATAAACATATATCTATATTTCCTACCTGATTAACAATATAATAAACAAACAAATTCACATATCTCATAAGTCATTTCCCTCTTTGAGTTATTAAACATTTAATTCTATTGTTTTTCTTTCATTCTATTTAATATTTAAATCTCAAATTATTCAGCCAATTCATGTCATAAATGAAAAATAAAACATAAAGCAAGCATGTAACAAAATTATATAATAATAAAAAAAAGAAACGTGCAATAAATAATTTTTTAGTAAAAATATGCAAATAAATTATATAAACTATAAAGTAACATAACATTGCTTGACTAATGAGAAATAAATATACATAGCCTATCTTTTAATATTATAATATTTAGAATATTATAAACGATTGTTTTCTTTTTTTCTTTTTCTGTTCTTTCTAAATCAAGCTCCCGAAATATTGAAGTATATGACTTTTTTTTCTCTCTGTGTACATATATATCAATCTCCAATATACAACTAATTGCTATAGCCAATTATAAAAATATTATTCGAGCGCAACATCTGAACAGATATCAGTATTCTATTGTCGTAGAATTTGATATGAAATATTAAGAAATACGAATTATGGGCTTGTTAATTTCTATGTATTATAAAAGCACTGTGTGAACTTTTAGTGCACTAATCCTTTGCGATCTTCCATTATTTTTATTTTAATAAAATGAAAATAAAAATTGGACAGTTAACTAAAATAATTTTGATCTTATTTGTGATATTATGATAATTAAGAAGTAAAAAAAAAAAGGAAAGATATAAATTAAGAAGAAAAGAATATATTTTTTGTCCAGATAATAGAACAACAAATAGAACAACAAATGAATATCTAACAAATCTTACTAAAAGTTAATATATTATCCACAAAATATTTGAAACTCTCTTCTCTTAATAATCTAACATTAACGCAAAAAGTAAACAAATGTAAAGCCGCAAAGGATTGATTTAAATAACATTATCAGTTGTGCGCAAATAGTATCATTTAATTATAATAATGATTCGAAAATACGTTACTTCAAAAAATGTCTTTCAGACATTTTATCAGAAAGATTTACAAACTTCAAAACATTAACGCTTTCTAACGTGTACAAACAAATCAGTTAAATAACTTACTTTTATCATGAAACATTTTAAAATCATAAACTGAAAATTAATAGTCTAATTTCTAACAAATAAAAGAAAACCCTTGCAATAGTTAGCATTTTCATAAAATTTGTTCCTAATTATACGTTAACACAATATTTTTAGTCGTAATGAGCATTAAAAATGTTTCTAATATCAAAATGTACCGGTATAACTACCGTTACATGTGTTATGAAGAATTGGTACTGTATTTATTGCAATGTTTTATTCTCCTCAGTCATTTCTTTTTCATCCGTTTTCTCAATTTTCTCCATAGTTTCTCCTACTGAATTTTCATCCACGTTTACTGAATTAAGAATATTCTCAGATTTTATCTCGCAAGAATTTATAATATTCTCAGATTTTATCTCGCAAGAATTCATAATATTCTCAGAATTTTTATCAGATGATTCACTCTGAGTTTCTAGAACAAGATCTGTTTCTTTTTCTAAATTTAACGTTTCTTTCTGTACTAATTCTTCCTCCTGTACTAATTCCTCTTGTACCAATTGATTATTAGTTTCTATCACAGAATGTGTTTTATCTTCCAACAAAGAAACAGAATTATTTACTTCCTCTATACTTCGTTGTACCGTAATTTCACCTTCGATATTATCACAGTCGTCATTTATAAACTGTTCTGTAATTTGTTTCGATGATTGTTGATCATCTTTATGCAAAAGGATTGTATTTTCCTCAACAACATTATTTAATACTTCGTTACTTTCATTTGGCGTAAGTTCCTCATTAGACCGAATATTATTTGGAACTGATACCTCGGAAGACATGTTACTATTTTCTTGCAAATCTTCTGTTATATTATTCACAAAAGAATCTGAACACTCGTTCTTATTCTCCATACTATTTTTATTCAAATCACGTTTTGCGATATAGTCAGAATTATCTGTACTTGATACTGAAGTCAAGGAAATTTCTTCAATTTCTGCTTCTTTCGTTAACAATACTTCGCTTGTAATCTCATTCTCAACATTTGATTGCACATTTTCCATATTAGATGTTTCATTCGCTTCAGATGTAATTTCCTGTAGTGTATTACTATTCTCTGCTACATCATGTTCAATATTTTGTTCTAAATTTTGTTTTGTATTATGTTCAATATTCGGTTCACTATTTTGTTCAAGTTTTATTTCATCAGAATGCTCACGTTTCTGTGAAACATTCATACTTGAAGAATCAGGTTTTGTTATTTTCATATTTCCTCTTGAAGATTTTGATGATTTAATATAAGATTTTTGTTGATCCTTTTGCGTGTAAGATTTAAATTCATTATCATAATGTTTATATGAATTTCCATCGCAATCTTCCTTTTTTACATCTTTTTTCTGGTGGTAATGATATTTTGTCTCGTTTTCCTTCTTCTTTTGTGAATGAGATCTCTTCAAATTAGAAAATTTTTGATTATTAAAATAAGTTCCCTTTGACTTATCCTCAAACGACTTTTGCCGGAAGAAAGATTCACTTTCGGACAAAGGAGCGTCAATATCTGAATGACTGTATGTTACACGAGTTCTTTGTCGTGGTCCGACTCTTCCAGTTCCAGCTATGCTTGGTGAATTCACTAAAATTATATTTATATTTAAGTTTAGATTGTTATTTCATATTAAATTTACATTTATCGTACAAAAATCAAATTTACATATGTACCTTTAACACTCATCACTGGTCCTTTTGTCACATTGTTTTGATTAACTGTAACTTTGATACTCTTATCAGTTGCAATAACAGTTCTTTCTTCAGAAGTTGGAGAAACAGGAGTTTTCACTGATACTGCTGTATTATTTCTGTGTTGATCATAGGTATTATGTGATCGATTTTCGTAGTTGCTATAAAAATTTTTTGTAGAACCACGATGAGGACGATGACTTCCAGCGCGAGTGTAATTGACATATTCATTATCTAGAAATAATAAGTTCTATCGATATCTTTGTTCAATATGAAACGCTGGCAATAACAGATAAAACGTACTATTAACATGATATTTCCGATCGGAATCTTTATGATCCTTTTTCGTAAACTCTCCCAATGTAGGCCTCGATGATTTCTTTACTATATCATCTATGATATGGACCTATAATTTTTTATTAATAACGCCTTATCAATCTGATACATTTCTATCTTTAAAGTATATATTATCAAGCTAAAAAAAGTATTTATTACTTTATCATTATCCCATTCTCGACGCCAATTCCCTTCTGCAGTTCTTTGTCTGCTAATACGATCCTCATCAATGCGATTTCTTTCTGCTCTCCAAGCATCATATCCTGGTTGAGATTCATCTCTATAATTTCCTTTGTTTGGTTTATTATCCTATATGTAAAAATAAAGAATTTTATATTTGATATAATTAATTAAAGTTACAAATATAACATTATTACATACCTTGTGGTTACTCTCTTTACCACCAACTTTTTTTCTGAAACTACCTCTTGTCGCTTTATGAGATCTATTCCCATTATTCTCTCTTATATAATCTGCATTAGGTTCTTCTCTTTCAGAATCTGCCAGAAAGTTATATTTAGGATCTGGTGGTGGTCCTTCTCCCTAAATAATATTTCATTCTTATAATTTATAAACAAATACGCGCATACACACGTATTGCACTTAACTGAAAATAAATTCTATTACATACTTGAGCAAAAGAATGAATTTTCTTCCCTTCCCCGACATGAGATTGCAATGTATATTCATGTTTTTCTTTGGTTGGTTTCGATTTGGTTTTAGGGGGATTCGAAAACTCTGGTGGTTCTTTTCTCTCTGGCCAATCTGTTGATGGTACCATTTGTACCAAAGCATTTAATTTTGCTGCATTTTTTTTATCTTCTTCAACTTCCTAACAGAATAAGAATGATTCGTAAAGCGTACAAGTATATATAAATAAAGTTATCATACAATAATATATGTACCTCATATCGTCTTCTAATCTCTTCATTTTGTTGCCGAATTTTATTGATCTTTTCTTCAAGTGCACTAGATGCCATCTAAAATGTTGTTTAAAGAAAAATCTCAATATTTAAAAATTTTTCATTCGTTAATCTCATTTCACAACTGATAGAATTATCTACATCTGTAAATTCCAAATTCCAAATTCCAAATATCTATACCATTTCTCACTGTCTCTTTTCTCCAAATGAAAATAGCATTCTTTAATATTTTCAATTAAAATTAATTTGTATATATTTATATAAATTTACATAGAATTGATTATCATAAGTTTGTACAAAATAAAAATTACACAAATCAACTGTAATAAGTTGAGCATTTTAAATATTACAATTGATACTCGTGTCACGTTTCGTTGCTCTACTTCAAAAGAAATTTCGCTTTTAAATTTCTTCTTCACCGAATAAATATCACGATCGATCAAACACAATTTATCATAAGATTTGTATTTTACATTTACCACACTTTTCCGCTCCGTAAACATGTAAAATCAATTTATAAAAAAATGCAAACTTTATCATCAAAAAAAAAAAAAAAAGATTAATCATACATTAATTAATAGCTACAATTTATCGTATAGAACAAAAACTTCTAACTTCGATGCTTAAAGTTTAAAATCGATTTAAAATCTTCTCCATTAAGATATTCTTTCGACTTTTTTAAAAGTGAATCTATCATATATAAGAACATTTAAATGTTATCCTCATTGACTTATACAAATTAAAGAGATCTACGAGACCGAGATTTCTCCGTAAGGTCGGCATATTAATAAAGCTGTAATTTACACAAAAATATAGGTTATACGAATGAACAATCGCTATCTCTCTGATATGCAAAACTAAAACGAGCTCAATATATAACAGCGTAATAACAATATATGCTTAAAAGAACGAAAATAGGACGTACGGTTGCAAGTAGCTGCAATCAGTATCGGGAGAACAAAAATTAGAACATCACGAAGAAAAGTATTACGTTGTTTCAATTAAAAATCAGCCACATATGTCACTGTTGAGTGTTGAGCACTACCCTTATTTTTCGCACGGGAAATACATTGATACCGCGCAACACTCACGGATATCCACTAACTCGCATAATAAAATTATTAGTGGCTACGGTTGCAGTGGTTTTCATCGCTACCTTCATTTTTTATGAAATGCCTCGTGAATATATTAAATCTCTAAAAAACAACAAAGTTATATGCCTGTTAATTAATCATTAAACAAGCAACTTTTTAGTAAATAATTAAATAGGTATTTGAATAATTTTATAATAATTCTAACAGAAAATGTACAATACGAAATGGAGATCATTTCATTTATTTATATATTATTCAATTCTTGAACCTTAAATAATTCAGAGTAGAATTTATCACTTCATTCTAGCAAATTGATGAAAGTTTTGTTACTGTTTGATAAATATTACTTAATAATCGGTAAAAATAGAAAAATATGTAAAATATCTAAAATACTTTTAAAGTACTTCTTGTGATATTTGCTATGTAAAATATGTTTTCTACCGACATTGAACTTTCTTGATTATATTCTCAAAAACATAAATTCGCAGTTTATTGATAACATATTATATTTTAGAATTGTCCTGTTGTTCATCTATTTTTTTTCAATTAATACTGATATTAATTATGTGCACATGTATACATATGTATTGATTATATTTTGGAATTTTAAATCTTACAGTAGAATAATCTGAATAATATTACATTTTTCACATTTTTTTACATTATAATATTATTATATTCTTATAATATAAATAAATATGTTGTATTAGAATCACACATTATAAGATTTGAAATTCGCGCCAAAAGCATTAAGATAGATTCACAACCATATTTATGACGTACAAAGTACGTAAATACTCAGCAACAGCAATTGGTCTGGATAAATATTGAATGAGCACCATTGTTACAGCGTGTCATGCGCAGAACAAGTCAATTCTTCTCTGGTATTCTACACTATCATGATCAGGCATTGAATCGTGATTGCATTCTGACGTATAACTGTCGATCGATCACAGCAAATTATAAAATTATGAAAAATCCAAATTTCAAATTGCTTTCCGGTCTCGATAAACCGTGTCATTCCAGATGTCATATTCGTTGCGAAATATAACCTAATATATAAAATTTGTAAACATTGAGAGTATACAGAACGTGATCTCGACACTCTGATAGTAAAATTGCCGTATAAAGCATTTAGGAAGTTTCTCTAGAAATGAAAATAACGAAATCCACTGTAATCCTTCTAGTTTTTGTATTGATGTTATCGATATTTGTAGCGAATGTCGCAGATCTGATCAATGTTGATAATCATGTATTAGATGATACCTTGCATAACAAGGATACAAAAAAAGAATGGTCAGAGCCAAAATTTTATGACATTGGAGAATCATTTGACCACTTAATGTGGTTTTTACAAGTTCGTATTTTCCATAGAAATATACATTTATTTATTTATAGAAATTATATAAATCATGTTCTCTTCAGATATCAGATATACATATAAGCATATTTCAAGATTCATTTAGGATAACAGAATTAAAGGAATTTTGTAACATTACAATAAACAGCATTAAACCTTCTGTTGTGCTTGCTTCAGGTAACTTTCATTTAATAATGATATTCTTTTGTACTATATTTTACATTAGTAATAACAAGTACAGTAACTCAACAGGTGATCTCACAGATGCCAAAGCCAAAGATAAAATGGGATCAAAACAAATATTGGAAGAATGGCAATATTATAAACGTGTTTTGGATGAGACTGAAGTTACCAAGAAAACTCTATGGTTAGATGTGAGAGGCAATCATGGTAGGAACAATAATATTTAATAACCAGTTTTCATTTAAAAATAATACCAATGTTAACCAAAATATGTAATGGTATTATTTATAAGTATAAAACTTATGTATATGTTATTTAAATTTGTTTTAGATAATTTCAATGTACTAAGTCTTGAATCAAAGAACAATTATTATTCAAACTACTCTATTCAAGGACAAAAGCACCCAAGATCTTATATGTACACTATAAATGCTGGGTCTGAATTATATACATTTATTGCAATAGATGCTTGCTTAAAACCTGGTCCAAGAAGACCATTCAATTTTGTTGGCATATTAGATGAGCATGAAATTAAAAGTATATACAATTTAATAAATAAATCCAAGGATAATAATGCAGATTTTATAATATGGTTTGGCCATTATCCCACATCTTGCATTCTGTCACAAACTAATACTAGTATTAGAAATATCATAGGTAATAATTAATAAAATACATTGTGTACACACATAAATGTGTGGAATCATTAACTTTGATTATCCTTTACAATCATTTTTACTTTGCTTTATTTGTGCAAAATAATGTATGATCCCAAAATTTTCAGTGATAATACATATTATTTTAAAACTTTTATAACTTTTAAAATAGATTTTTTTTATAACTTTAGATTACTTCTTTTATAACTTTTAAAGAGAATCTAATATATTTTCAGGCCGATATAAAGAAAGTATGGTATATCTTTGTGGACATTATCATACACTTGGAGGAGCAGTGCCTAATATGTATACTTTACAGCAAGCAGGATTTCTTGAACTAGAATTAGCAGATTGGAAAGATAACAGAATGTACAGTATTAATACTTCATTCATTACAATAGAAAGATCATTCAGTTTTAGATGTTATGAATAATATTTATTTATGCTTATTCTCAGGTATCGTTTAGGGGCAATAGACCATGGTCAATTTTCGTTCATTGATGTAAAACATAAAGAATGGCCTATAGTACTAATAACTAATCCTAAACATGTTTTGTACACAATGCCCAAGAAAGAGAATATAATGTCTATTATTAAATCTACACATATTAGGTAAGCATTTTTGTATAATGAGATGTATTTTTATCATTACCACATAACATGTCTTCTGTTCTTGTAGAATTTTGGCATTTTCGATAGCATTGATAAAATCTGTCGAGATTCAGTTAGATGCTGAACCTTGGTCTGAGTGTGAACATATTAAAGGACCACTATATGTTTTAAGATGGAACACAACAAACTACAAAGAGGGAGTTCATACTATTCGAGTTTAGTAAAATATGTTTTTTTAAACATATTTTATTACTTTTATATTATATTATTTTTTATTACTTTTATTATTTATTTTTTATTACCTTTTGGTTTATTTTGGTCAATATTTGATAATATTGTATAATAGTTTATGTACAAAAAGTAATAAAAAAAATAATTACAGGTAAAGGTTATAGATATTGATGGAAGAGAAACAACAGTAGTTCAACCATTTGCACTTGACAGATCACGTTTATCATTTCGTATTTTACCTAGAATTATACTTATGTCTAACGTCAGTAATATCGTAAGTAACTTAATGTCTGTTGCAACTTTGCAAAGAAAGTGACACAACTCGGAAAAATCTATTTTTTAAAAAAAACAAGAAAATAGTTTCAGGCAGAATTAAATATTATTTTAAAGAAACAACGCAATTCAAAGTAATAATCATGGTTTTTGATTCACTTTTTTTTACAAAGGTGTTATATGTATTTTGGAACAATTTTATGTTTAGATAAATCCGAGTACTGATATAATTTTTTTTTTTATCTAGTTCCAATTCCTGTTTGGAACGGTGCTGGTTTTATTAGTAATTCCATTGTGTATACTTCGTTTCCTTCATATATTGTGCGAGAGTGAGTAAACTTCTTTTAAGTATTATTAAAAAGTTCTTAATGTTAAATGGAACATTGACATTGGAACGTTTTAATTAGGGAAACAAATGAACCGACCAAGATTCAGAATAAAATTTTTTCATTCTTGGATTAGAAAATTATGGATATTATCTACTGTTGATCGTCTGTTTTTTCCTTTAGTATTTTATGCATTATATTTAACAATTGGTAAGCGCTTAATAATTTTAATCTTATTGATTTGTCATATTTATTTTTAAAAAAATGTTTATTTTTAAGGTCCATGGGCTATTGGTGAAGTCATAGAAAATCAAACAGGTGTCATTTTTGCTTGGGGAACATTTGTTGGGAAATCTTTTTTACCTGGTGCTTTTACTTATGCTTACGGATTTTTCCAATTATTTTCCTTTCATCTGCCACTGATGCTAATTTTAGCTAATAGAGTGGATAAACGGTAAGATAAAAAAATGTATGACGTTTTGTCGATTTTGTGTAGATTGCATTTTATACTTATACTTATCATTAAACAAATAATCCTACAAATGTAATGAATAAAAAATTAATTTTTATAATTTTACAGATTGCAAAATACTAAACCAAGTAGCAAACCATTGTCTAAGATTTGTTTTGTCTTACAATATTTACCAATAATATTATTAATCATGATGCAAACATGTATGGCTTATTTCTTCTGGCTAGCATATGGAACATTGGCAACCATATTGTGTCCTTTACGCACTTGGAGTATTTTTTTAGCAATCGTGTTGTGGTATCAAGTAGATACAATGCCATATTCGTGTTTAAGGTATGTACTATATCAGAATTGAAATATGCTGAAAAATATAAATTACTTACCTAGGAATTATTAGATATAATGTATCACTTTCTTTTATTATTTTTTCTATTGTTACTAATTATGATTTTTTCTTATAAAGGTCTGCTGCAAAAATATGGTCTCCTCTTGGTTAGTTTATATAAAATATAACTTACTATGAAAGTATAGCAAATTACCAGTATTAATTTTGTGTAACAAAAATATTTTCATGCTCGTACACCTATATTAGTAATTTATAAGAATATGTATGTACATATATGCATATTAAGGAGGTGCCTTCAGAAAATGCGTAGAATCGCGCAAAATAGTCATTGAAGGAGATCCTCCTCCATTTTTCTTGATTCCTACGTACATATGTATATATGTTTATTTTTTAAATAGCAAATCTGAATAGGTCATTACAGACTTATTTCTTGTTTAGTAAATGTAAATTTAAATTCATTGTACATTGGAATTAACTGTAGTACATTTGACAAATCTAGATTGATATAAAAAAAAATAAAAGTTTTGTTGCTTATGTTATCGAAACAAAAGTGAAGTAACTACTAAAATTATTATTTATATTTGCACATTACAATCTTTTGGAGAATGCCAAAGTATTTTCCAATTGATGAAGTTCTAGCAAAGACTGTTAATATTTATTAAATGTTCAACAATTTGCATATGCTCGGATGTTAAAGTTTCCATTTAAGAATGTGTTCTTAATGGCTAATTTAAAAACTCTATAACTACCTCTTTTTTTAAGTCTTTTAATTTATTTTAAAATAATTTTCCGTTTGTAACAAAAACTCATATGCTTCCATATTGTTTTACAGAAATATATATATAAAACGTTGTATAAGGGACTTAATCCAAAATGAAAAGAAAATTTAATTATTTGTTTTACACCATGTATTATATTTCAACTAAGCAAAGTAAAAATTTATCTATAAAAATAATAGAAAGGAAATGCAATAACATATGATATTGAAATTATATTTTACATATAATATAGTAGAAGAAAATATTCCATTTTATTTTAAAGATAAATTTCTCAATTCAGATGTAATGTTTTTATTCTAAACTTTATTTTACCATATACTTCTATGTATTAATATCATCTACCTAAGTTTTATTCATGTCACAAAAAGTAAAATTAATTGAAAACTGGAAATAATATAAGTAAAAGTAAAATTGATAATTTCCTATTTGTAAGAAATTCCCTATTTCTAATAGATATTATTTTTCCTAAAGGAGACTTAATTCTTTAATTGTAAATTCTTTTTTAATATCTTTATATTTTACTTATATTATATGATATTTTGTTTTGGGTCAGATAAGAATAAAACTATTCAGGAAAGTTGACATCTTTTCCAAAATACGGATCAGTATTTCTTTGAAAACAGATTTTATTGTTATCCTATATTTTTGTATAAACTAATTGTTACTGTCTCTGAATATGATCTCAGAACTATGAAAATGTGATCTCAGTAGGCCAGTGATTCCCAATCTTTAATAATCACGAATTTCTTCCATAGATATACCAAGTTATTTTCAAAAAAAATTTTTTAAATATGACTACAAGTTTATTTCTAACTACAAGTACATAATTGTATCGTTTGCTTTCATATGTTTTTTAGTCTTGTACAATATGATTTTCAAAAGTTTATGAAATTATTGGGAATCATAATAAATACTTCACTTTATAAAATGCGAACAATGTATTTTGTAAACTGCTACAAGGAAAGTGAGAAATAATATTATTTTCAAATATTTTGTGCATAGTATAAAGTATGTACTTAATCACTTGACCGAACATTAATATAAAAAATATGTAATATATACCGACAGTGACGCATGTAAGTGTTAATAAATGTTACATATAGCTTGACTAATTCGTGAATTAAATGTTTATTAATAAACTAAAGAAATAAAACTAAAGTTTAATATATTTAACGGGATGCAATTCGGTTGTAATAACCGAAAGTTATTACAAGCAAGCATAAAGCGATTTCTCAGAAAAAAGTAAGAAAATAGTATAGAATGAAGTTCTTTTATTCGAAGCTTAATTTTCAGCAAAAATTGAGTTTGAAAATGTATTATTTATCGTTATAAACAACAAGGAAAAACAGGAGATTTTAATGTGAAAAAATAAATTAAATGTTAAATACAATTTTTTTAGAAAATTAAATTTAAATATTTGTTAGCATATGCAAGATCTGGTCTTAATTGAATATCTTATTCAAAACTCTACTTTTTTAGAAACGAAACCTTAGATATTAAAATTTTATTTTATATTTTCAATGATTATCCACTCGTGTCATAGTTTGAAGAATTAATTCTTATTCGCTTGTACATAACTTTCAGATATACTTTACATATTTATGCATTTTTAATCCTTTTACTGTCGATATATAAAAGATTAAATCTTTTAAGTTATTTTTAAAGGAAAATATGTATTTTTTAAAAGGAAATATTGTTGAAGTGAATTTACATGCGATAGTTAAACTTGGAAAAGCCACTAAATTCTACAATTGCCAACAGATCTGTATAATGTAATCTCTTTCTAGAAATATGTTTAGGGTTTTTTATCGTACGGTTACCTAGGTAGCCACGGACGACGAGATATGTTTAGCGTAAACAAATTGGTTCTCGTGAGAAACTGAATTATTTTGTCGAAATCAATCGCGTATGACAGTTCTAGTTCGTGCGTATCAGCAACATGACATCTCTCGATTTAAGACAACAGAAACTCGAACAACAGGTATACAAATAGCAGATTTGAATACTTCTGCAAACAATAATTTTGAAATATTAAATTCTCGTTTAAATCGCAGACATCTATCTCGTATTTATAATATTTCAAAAATCAAAGAAACTACATGTCATGCTATATGAATGTAAAAATAATTTTATTTTTTTTCTAGTTAGAATTTTGAATTATATTATACTATTTATATATATATATATATATACATACATACACACACACACGCACATATATATATATATTCAGAGAAAGTAGGTCATTTAAATATTTATCAATTTGTATATATCGAGCAATTATAAAATAATCTTTTCATTAAAATTGGATTTGAAAGTTCTACCTTATGTCCAATTTGTCTACCTTACGTCCAAAGAAATATTGTATTTAATAGTGTATATTTTTTTATGTTTTTAATATAAATTCTTTACTAATAAATTAATTAAAAGTTTGGTATTTTATTTTTCCAAAACATTTATTATTATAATGATTTTACCAATTATAGAGACAATTAATTGCACAAAAAATGAAACAAAAACGACAAAGTGGGGCTGGTGGAATGGTTCAAGCATCTAATATATCAAGCACTCAACTTACAAGTCATTCTACAAAGTGGATGAATCCAAACAAAGAGCTTCTTGGTAAGTTTAACAAATTAACAAAAAGTTTCATATATATTGAAACTATTGTATACATTTATTTCAGGATATGATGGGCCATTGCAGTTTAATACATCACAAACAAATTCAGATTTAATTACATTTACAGAAAATAAGGAAATGGAATCAAGAATTAATGGTATACTAATATGTTAATTGAATTTAATTACACTTAAAAATTATATAAAAATTTGTATTTTTGTTATAGAAGTAAGCACAGAGGGAGGTTTTTATCGAACTTTGGAAGCTACTGATTGTGCAGACGAAGAATCGTCACCTATAGATATACATTCACCTTCGGAATCTTTACCATGTCCTTCATCTCTTAGAGTAGCTCCATCAGATGGTGCTAGCACACTTATCAATAGAGAAAATAATTCCTCAGTAAGTTTTCTTTGACTAAAAAGATACGTCTCACATATTTATCCAAGACACATCATTAATTTATTATTCAGAGTCCAGAATTAGAGGGAAATGTAGAAGGGAATATAGAGCATTTTGTATTACAACCAGCAAATAAAAAAATGCATTATAAGTGTAGGATAACGCGCGATAGAAAGGGTATGGATCGTGGCCTCTACCCAACTTATTTTTTACACTTAGAACGTGATTATGGGAAAAAGGTATGCAACTTTTTGAATAATTTGCGCAGAAATTAAAAGGGGAATAATATTAGATTTGTTATTTATAGATTTTCTTATTGGCTGGACGTAAAAGGAAAAAAAGCACAACAAGCAACTATTTAATTTCTACCGATCCTACAGATCTTTCAAGAGCAGGCGAATCTTATATTGGAAAATTAAGATCAAATCTTCTAGGAACACAATTTACTGTATACGATAACGGATATTCTTTAATGAAAGACGATAAACGAGATGATCGTTTTAATCCAAGACAAGAATTAGCTGCAGTAATATACGATACTAACGTTTTAGGATTTAAAGGGCCACGTAAGATGACTGTCATTATCCCAGGAATGACATCAGATCAAAAAAGAGTTGAAATTTGTCCACGAGACGAATCTGAAACTCTTCTTGGTATGTTTAAACTTCCGATATAAATACTACTGAAACAGTTTCTATTTTTTATTTTTGATTTCTTTAGAACGGTGGAAAACGAAAAATATGGATAATTTAATAGAACTACATAATAAGACCCCTGTGTGGAATGATGATACACAGTCATATGTACTTAATTTCCATGGACGTGTGACGCAAGCTTCAGTAAAAAATTTTCAAGTAGTTCATGATAGTGATGGTCAGTATTTTGTACTTTTTGCACATCTAAAAAGATATTTTAGATTAGAGCATACAAAATTTTAAAATAATCACACTTCTATAAATTGAAAAATCATTTTATTTTAGTTGATTACGTTGTTATGCAATTTGGCCGTGTGGCAGAAGATGTTTTCACGATGGATTATAGGTTTCCATTGTGCACACTTCAAGCATTTGCCATCGCTTTAAGCAGTTTTGATAGCAAGTTAGCTTGTGAATAATATAATTGAACATAAACATGATCATACATTCATGGGCGATAAACTATATTGGTTAGAAGAATTTGCAATGGACAATCAATAGATTGCAATGATGCTTTTGTACAAACATATCTGTAACAGTAACTATTCTATTCAAATTTCTTGACGTAAGGATAATCATTATAAATCGTGTGTTCACTTTTCTTACATATGGGTACTGTTTTAAACAGTAAACATATTTCGCATTTGATGCTTGCACCGGGTGTTAAGATGACAACTATAATTGTATCGTTGTTGATCCTAATACATCGTTCTATAATGTGCATTTCGATTTGTATTGCACATGCAATATGTTGTTATTTCTAATAATAATATTGCCTATTGTGATGAATAATATACATAGTAAAGAATTATAATTCGAAACAAATTGTATAACTTCTAATTTATATTTTATTAATTATTTGTTCTCTTATTCAGTATCTGAAATATTTTAAACTACGTTTGTGCAATCAAATGTCTGGTGTTTACAAAGTTGACATTTTGGTACTATTATGAAGAAGTTTTTACACAAATGGTATTTTATATGCTCAAAAGCAACACATTAAACGCAGCAATGACGTTGATACACTGCACAACTTACTGCCTGAACAGATGATAATGAATCTTCATATCAAAAGTGTATAGAGTTGCTATTTTATGCTATACATTTTTGCTTGAAAAGATCAAGCACATTCTACTATTCATGATAATTCAATAATAATGCAATATTATATAATAATATAATAATGCAATAAATTATATGAGAAATAAGATAAAAAATAATATTTTTTAGAACTGACAGAGATAAATAATCACTTTCTTGCAAATGGAATTCTACATAATTTATTACTTTTTTGTAGAAATGGCAATAATATCACAAATGACAAATAGTTTTTATTATATAATACTGCATCTCATTCTATGAAAAATTTTTCAATATTTAAATTATTAATACTAATAATAAATTAAGATTGTTATAGCGGTATAAGTACGATTTCTGTGTATAATGATCTATTAAAATAGATCATTGCCTAAATACGTTATTTGAAATACGTATCAAACATTTTTATTTGATACATAATTATTAATTGAGACATTTTATTATTGACATAAAATTCTTTATATTTATAAAAGTACCAAAGATGTGTTGATACTCATACATGATGACACTTCAATATTGGGTCTTTGTATAATATTAATTATGTAATATTTGAATATTGGGCCTTTATGTAATATTAATTTACACATTTGGAAATTGCAAAGAAAAACCTGAAAATATTTATTTCATTGTATAAATTATCTATTAAATTCGATATTTATGCGCATGTAAATGATTATGCATAATTTTTGTCAAATTTACAAAAAACGAAGTTTATTATGATTTAAAGATTTATAAGGTTTACTTATTAGTATGTTTTATACATATTGAATGTTAGATATTAGATAGATATGGTATTGAATGATTATATATAAAATAAAGACAAGATAAAACAACAAAAAATGAAATTAAACAAATGTAAAATTGCAACAAGTGTTATAGAAATATTGGAAAAGATTTGTAACTTTATAAATTTTTTATACATCTTAAATTTTGTTTGTGATAAAATACTGCTATTTATAAAAAAATAAATGTATATTTTATCAAAGAAAGGTGCTATTTAAGACAAAATAATTTATCAAGGAAAGCAAAACTAATTTAGATACTACTATGTATAATTAAACAGTATTAATATTATTTAGAATACCAATTGGACATTTTATAAGTGTAATATTTCATACTGGATTTATTTTTTACTTCGGTAATGTAAATACCGAATAGCACTTAAGATGTATTGATATCTTAATCGTGTGTATTGTGTGTATTTGTATGCGTATGCATTAGAAAGTAAAATCTGTAATTAACTTATCACATTTAATGTTATAAGTGAAAGTGTTCAATGAGTATTATATTTTCACACATCTGAAAATAAATACAAATTGCAACTTTTCATTATTTATTTTCGAACCTATAACTTAATATTTATAAAAAAACAATATATAATTAATAGATTTATAAAATCAAAATCATTCTTGACATAAAAGGAATGAGAAATAATTGAAAGATGAAATACTTATTACCATAACATTTATTGTAGATTTTAATAAAAAAAAGATCATATGAAATTTGTATACAAATACTAAACAATAAGATTAATGAGCAGATATTTAATTCTTTTAGTTGAAAAAATTCTCTTGTACTAAAATATAATAAAGGCACTTGACATTTAAAGATACAAGATAAAGAATGTAACATGACTATCACTTTTACGTTTATTATTTACAATATGAATACAAGTTTTCAAATTCTTTTTACATGAATATTTGTTTAAAAAGAAATGATACAGAAATATGTTTTTCATTCTCGTATTAAATATAGTACTATTTTCACTATTATTTTAGTCTTATTAGTACTTTTCTTTTTTGCTATTTAAAAATATATTTAAACTTGTCATGTAAAAGTAGACCTTTCAATTTCATTTTTTACATCTTGATTTATTCCATAGAATTATTAGCCTTCGAAGAATTAACATCTTAAATATACTCAAGTCAAATATACTCTGTGTTATATACGTTATGAAATAACCATAAATCCATGCCTGTATTATTACATATTCAAACATAACTCAACAAGCGCAACGATATACCATAAAATATGTAGCACTAAAATTCAATGTCAAATGGACAAATTGTAACTATATGTATAAAATTGGCAATAATCCTAAAAGCCACATTAATGAATGAGCACTTTCTTATTCCTCTTACTGTTATTGCTTTAAGCAAAGACTTACAGAAGAGAAATGCTGAGTAGAATATCAAATATATGAATGCTAAGATAAATCGTTTGCAATTACAAAATATAATTTCACACAAATATTCTTGAATATAGAACATCTTTGAAGCATCAATTATATTGTTTTCTTTAAAATTAAATCTTTTGAAAATCCTAGAGACTGTTTTGTTAAGTTCATTTTGAAAGCTTAAAAATTTGTAATAATTCCATTATTAAAAGATTCTTCATAGATATTCTAATTATAATTATTACTTATTTAGTAATTTATTTTTATAAAATTATAACATTGTTTCATATATATATATATATATACATATATAATAAAGTATTATTATTATAATGTATATATTTATATTAAAATTGATAATGCATCTTAAGCATCTGTACGCTGCGATATGTTACAATCTTTAATTTTTTGGTTTGATATGATAAATGATATTTTAGGACGGAAATGAAATGCATGAAGTATACAATAAATGATAATTTATTGTATACATTGTTTAGTAAGCTCCACAGTATAAGAAAGAAATAATTAAAATTATATACAAAAACAATAATCAATTTGTTCAGGGAGAAGTTTACTCTATCCTCAATACAAATGCGACATTTCATAGATTTGACGATCCGGAAATGTAATTAAAAAAGATGAAAAACCGATTCCTAAATTAATTATGTTTTTTTATTATTTAATAGAAGGCTATTGTAGAATGTACTACAAGGCACTTCTATAGTTTAAAATATTTTATGTACAATTTTAATACAAATAATTAAAATTTTTAGTCAGCGTACAAAGCATATTTTTTGGTTTCACTGTAATATACAAATAGGTTTGTTTTTTAAATTTGCAGTTTTTAGTAATTAAATTGATATTGACCCTTTTTACGATACGCAAACAATTTTTTAATTAACTTTTGGTAACTATAACATAAAATAATAAAAGCATTTTACTAATTTTCATCTATTTAAAAGCATTCATATCTAGAATATAGAAATTATAAAAACCAGAGTAAAAAATATAATTATTGCAGATCAACAAAAATTATGCTTGACGATATTAAACATATAAAAATCCCGCGTAGAATCGATAATATACCATAAATTGCTGTGTATCTAATTTAATTATTTAATTTAGTATGTAGGCCATTTATATTAGAAATAGTACTACAGAAATTTCTTTTTAATAATTGTAAATATTTTATATGTTGTTATAAAAATTTATATAATAATGGTTACATCCTAAACATTAGTGTTCTTATATTAAAAACAAATTGTACTGAAAAGTTTCAATTTGATACTTTTTTCTGTTTATTTTGAGTAATAATATAGTAAAAATTATTATTTTTATCATTTAAATAACTTTTCTTTATGTGATATGATTTTTTTTTATGACAGTATAAAATTAACTTATTTTAAAATATTTCTTTTTGTATTAGTACTCTTTGTATATACTTTGTATTAGTTTATTTTCATTATCTGATATGTTTTTTTGATAGTTTATAAAAATGTCAGTTCCAAAAATTTATCTTATAACTAGATGCAGCATATTATTGGTATATTATTAATCCTGCAAATGGAATACACGCATCATGCACTCTCTTGTTGATATACAATTCCATTTTATATTTAATAACATTTTTATAAAAAATTATTTTTATATATCTACAGCATGTAACAAGGATTACTTTATGCTGCAAAGATAGCAATTCACATTCATTTCATTATTGTATTTTCGCAACATATTAAAATTCATAAACAGTTCAAATTAAGAAATATAGGCATTCTATAAATAATTATTAAAGGAACAAAAAATTTGGTGGGGTAATTTCTGGTTGGAAGATGTCAAAATATTAAACAAAACAATTTACATAAAGTCAAACTAATCAATAATTAAAAATTTTATAATCTAAATAGTCTTTCAATAGATATTTTGATTTTAAAAATTTGTATACCAAATTATTACAAAAGATATTTCATTTTTAAATTTGTTGTTTTCTTTATAAACAGTGACAAAATAGTTCAAAATTGGTATAAATTCAACCTTTTTTTGTTTTTTATTAGCCTTGAAAATTTAATATTAATACTGAATTTTATCATGTTTGAAAGGATTCTCCCTCCAGGATCATAACTTAAAACATCTCTTATATAAGTTACGATATGAATACAGATTAAATTACGAATATTATTTAAAAACACATACTTTGATTATAAATACTTATAATTTTACGTATATCCTCGTTTTATATCACCTTGGATATTTTTTATAGTTGGCCTAACAAATCTAGGTGCTGGTATGCGTGATGGTGGTCTAGGAATAGCGCTCATGGGATTTGCAGATCTACTTCCCATGTTCCAATTTGTTGGCTGTCGCAGTCTCGTTTTGTTTTCAACTTTCGTAATTGGTTTATTAAACACCTAGGTAAGAGTATAACATTTAATAATTTTAAAAACTGTTGTATTTGAACAAAATTGCAAGATAACAAACCATAAACTCACTTCAACTTTTTTCACCACATCTACTTCATTCTGTTGTTTCAATACAGTTTCTGTAGATTGACCTTAAAAGATACATTATAAATATCTTTTATAGTCAAATTGAAATTATTCGAACATCGTCAAATTATTAGCCAAATTATCATCAAATTTATATTTTTAGAACTTACCATCAGTATTTGACTGACTAGATCCCATAGGACTTTCTATTGGAGAGCTTGTTGTAACATTAAACTCTGTGCTCAATGATGAATCACTATCACAATTATCAACTCCATTCTTTAGTATAGGAGAAGGTAAATCTTTTTTTACATCAACCCAAGTATTTTCTAAAACTCGCTTATTCAATCGATACGTTACATCTTGTTTTAAACCTAAAGTATAATAAAAACATAATATATTTTACAGAACATATTTCCAATATTATATTATATTAATTGTCAGACGTTGCATTATTTCGTATTTTTCTAAAAAAATAACTTACTTTCTTCCTGCATCCGTACTATCTGATGCAATTGTTCAATATTCATTGGCTGCGTTGTATATGAATTGTGACTACTATCTGAACATGTACTGAGCCTATCATCCAAATCAGGAGCACTATGAGCACTTTGTGTACTTTCAATACTCTCCGTAGATCCCCCAACTCCTAACATTTGAAGTTCTCCAACGCCTGCGTTCAGTTCTAAAAGACGTTGTTCAGAACCACTTTTCATTTTTCCAAGAGAATATGATTTGTTCGCTAGACTTTTTTCAACATCTTTCACAATATTTGGTTGAGAACCTTTCATGTATCCATAATTGGACGCGGTCGTACTTTGTATGTTAACAGTTTTCAATGAATTGGACACAAGATTCGGATTAGATTTTTGAAGAAACTGTGGCAATTTTGAGAGCATCCGTGGTATGTGTTGTTTCCGCTTCTGTGGTTTTGGAAATGGTTTTGTGAATGTAGCATCCACATTGTCAAACGATTCTGCATTTTCCATATCAGTTTTGCCACCGTGATTGTTACCTTTTTTCGTAAATGTATAATATTTTTTATTTGGCAAATTTTTAATACAAGCTCCTGCCTCATCTGTTGTTTTGGCATGGGACTTAATTTTATTAATTGACGATTCTTTTCTATATGTATTATATTTATTTTCTGCAGGAATATCATCTTTGACATTTTGACTCAAGGTTTCATCAATTTCCTTCTTAGGTTTTCCACTTTGGTGTTCTTTAGGTCCATGATTAAAAGTACAATCCAGTCTATGATCTCCAGTTTTATATATTTCTGATAATAATTCTTTCCTTAATAATGTGGATGCTTTAAAATTCAAATTTAAAGACGTATTGTATAATCGAGATGATTCTAAAGACTTGGTAATCGTTCTACTCTCTGTATCTGTATTTTTAGGAGTTGATTGAAAAACAGGTAGTTTAAACATGGAAGGTTCAGCATTTTTTGGTACATCACAAATTGTAGATTTTTGGAAGTTATATACTTGATCTTTATCATGTTGCATATCACTTGTTCCAGTTAAAGTTGTATTACTGATTGCATTTTCAATATCTGCTTTACAATATGTAGTACTTAAAATAGATGAATTTTCTGCTTTTTCAAAAGCTGAAGGATATGTAGTATTTAAATTGCATGATTTCTTTCTTTTATCATTTTCCGACTGTAATATTTGTGTATCATCATTTTTATTTACATACGTGGAAGACAACTTTGTTGTACTAAATCTATCTTTATCTGAACTTGATAACACAACCATTTTAGGAGTTACATCAGTATTATAGGTCTCATTTAAATCCTTTTCAATATCAGATTTATTTGTAAATGTCTTATTCGTCGTGCTCAGGCAGTAGCTAGTAACATTATTGTCTGATTCATTAACTTTTAGGAAAGTTTCATTGATGTTTGAATCTTTAGCACCTTCACACTTATCAATTTCTTGACTGCACCGAGTCACATTTGAAGATCCCACATGTTTACTAGATTCTGTACTATGCAATGAATCATCTTTAGGTAATGAGATGATAGATGAATAAAAAATAGAAGGTTGTGAAATGTTCATCAGCGGATCATTAAGTCCAGGTTCTACTAAATTAATAAACGAATCAATTCCTTTTGAGTGAGACATATTTAAAAATACTTCCATACTTTCTTGACCAGATGTTACAGATTCCTCGGGAAGAAAATTACTATTTGCATTGAGTGCCATTTTTAGCATAGCAGGCACAGCTTCTTTTTTATTGGCAGTAGTTATGTCTGAATATTTACTGAACTGCATTTGAAATAGAAACATATTTAAATTTACATTTTGAATATATATATGTAATATACATGTATTGCATAAATGCAAATAAACTTACATTCTCATCTATATTTGAAAAATTTGAAGTTCTCCACGTATTTGACACAGGTGAAGATAAAGATTCCAAAATAGATTCGAAACTAGTTCTACTAGACCGTTTTTTGGATCTTGTAAATGTTCTTGTGTCAATAGATTTTCTACTAGCTAAATGAAAAGTATATGAATTATACATTCAAAATGTATTATTATAAAATAATAACTAACATGTTCAATACCTGAAAAACTTAATTCCGGTTCAGTTCTCAGCCAGGTATACAAATCATGAACAGTGGATTCCATTTTATATTCCGATGGTATGTACAACCTAATGAAAAACATGATTATAAACTACTGTCTGGGTTATTATTATATGTATACACAAATATAGAACCTGACAAATGAATCATTTAACTAAAATACACACATTACGTTCAATGAATCATATGTACTTTTTCTTCGAGATTATTAAATTTTTAGTAACAATAATAATAAAAAATAATAAAATCCTAGGATCGTTGACGATCTTTCAACTTGATTTTCAGGAAATTAAATTTAAACAATTAAGTTTACAAGAAAATAAAAATTTCTCACAGACCTAAAACAATGCTCAAAGCAGTTCGATTACTGTAAACACTTAAGATAATTATGGGTTATGTCAAAAGCTACTTACCAGCCATCGCTATCATCAAAGTCAAAGACAGACACATCAATAATTTCAGCTTCATCAATCAGACTAGCATCGTTTGTATACTGCTTCTGCACAATTTCTGTATCCACTTTCTTCTCTGACATGTTTCGCCCGGGATTATGATATTAAAATTTCCGATGAACACATATTTTACCGTTAAAGCCTCTTTTTCCGTTCGGTTTGGTGACGTGGTAGATATATAAAAGTAGTGTCGCGTTTTGCCAAGTCATTTACAAAATTCCTGAGGTCTCGGCACCATTTACAATTCAAAAATACGTATTATTAAAACAAATTGAACCCTTGACAAACATAATCACAGATAGGATAATAGGAACTTTTTTTTGGGATATTCAACTTGTTTTCAAGAATTAAAGCAGACCACGATACAAAATAACATTCGTAGATGGTTCCTTTTATTGCGTTTTCTTTAACGTCTTCTGTCTTTCCTTTTATAATAGCGTTCACTATGGTTTTATATCTGTTTTACAATCTGTTTTTTCGATGCTTCATCCGACCAATAAAATTTCAGTAAATCTAGGGAATTATGAGTAGTAGCCTTTCCATTTCACTTTAAGGCATATCCTCAAAAAACAAATTGCAAATTTAATTAAGCGCAAAAGAATAATTAATTTTCCTTATATTTAATTATGTTAGTGAAATAGTTAGTGAAACTAGAATTAGATTTAACGTCAATTAATAATTTTACAGAAAAATTAAAATATCTTTTAACGTTTAATCTCATTTTTGGAACCAATGTTTAACCAATTCATTACGTAGAATAGAGCATTGCATATTTTTTTTTTTTGATCAAACTTTTATCATGATGTTTTGTAAATTATAGGATATAAACAAGAAAAATACCTCATATAGGTAAAAAAATTATCTATAAAACATAAATATTCATATATATTTTCAAATTACTATTGAATAGTTTCATAATATTGTACGTAATTGTTACATTACAGAGTACCAGAAGTTTATTTAACAATTGCTGCTTTACATTGAATAGTTTCGAATAAAACTGTTAATGTGAGATACGATTGATATGTATTATATGTGCATTAGATAGGTTAGCAGCACTTAATAATTTTTTCATGCGTCTATGTTAAATACAACATATTAAAATCAATTATATTAAAACACAACTGTTTTCGTGCAAGATAAAAAAAATGTAAGTTTTAAATGTAACTTTAAATGATACAAATTTTTGAAGTGTTGTTTATTTAATATAACATAATCTAATATACATTTTGTTTCTAGCGGAAAAATTGAGAAAAAATTCAGCATCATTGTTGGAAAGCAACAGATTAGAATAATTTAAAATGTACATTTAAAAAACAATATACATATATTTTAGCTTTTTTTTAGCTCAAATTTAAATAAATTTTTACACTGTTAAAAATTTATTGTTTAAATAATGAATATTGACTTGGACAATAATGAGCCAATTGAAAAAAGAATTAAATTTAATGAAATAGAAAATGATTCATTCAATATTTTAGATGATAAAAGTAACAGAAATAAAAATCCTGAATGTCAAGAAAAGACAGATTTTACAGATAACGAAGATGAAAATATGCCATTAAGTAAAGATGATGATGACGATGACGATGATGATGATGATGATGATGATGATAGCTTATTTCCATTTCCTCCAGATAGTGATGTTACAGACATGTTGGAAGGAGTAAAATATCATGGATTGTTTCCTACAATTACAGATCGTTATTTTACTGCCTATTACAAATTAGATGTACAAAGTTATACAGATGATATCTGTATTTTAATGCATAGTAATCGAATTTGTATGCTTACTCTTGCCCCAAGTCATGCAATTCTTCAAGATGATAAACAAATAACAAAAGTAGATTTTAAAGTTAGCAATAAATTAGATAGAGTTCAGAATAAAGTTTCTGGTAAGAGCAAACACGGTGCTCAACCTTTACAAATGAATTCCAATATTTGTAAAATTACTTGTTCAGATGAAAAACCATATATTATAAAATGTTGTTTAATTGGCAAATTGGTAGAAGTAAATGAAACATTAATACAAAATCCTAAACTCTTGTTAGAACCTCCACATAAAGGAGGCTATTTAGCTATAATATTGCCAAATATAAAACTTTTAGACAAAATGAAAGAATCTTTATTGACTCAAGAACAATATAACTTGAAAATGTTAGAGCGACAAAGTACTGCAAATCACTTGGAAAAGTCAAAAATATGTACATCGGATACTTCATTAAAAGATGATATAAAAATAATGAATAAAAAAAGTCATTTAAACTCTGATAAAAATCAAATTATATTGTCTAATATAAGCTGATTTTATTTGATCAAATAGCATTATACATATTTGATTTAAATTTCTAATAAGTAATAAAAAAATTTATTTATATTTTATTACAATTAACATTTCAGAATGACAATTTTAATTATTACTGTTTACATTTTATAATGCTGTAATCTTTGGTATAATCTTCAATTCATAAATTTAGAATATTAAAAAATGGTTTTATTTAAGTTATGTATTTCAGTGGATTATATTATCAACAATACTAAAAATTATTATGTGATAAAGATTGTAATTGAAATTCAATATTGTCTTATGGCACCAAACATATAATTAAAATTAATTATTTAGTTTACTGGAACCAGCCAGTTATTTATTTATTTTTTACCTATTATATATTATCTATCCCTATAATATTAAGTGTACTTGTACCAGTACAGTTCATAATTTAACAATTATTTCTTAAATTACGATGTTTTCCTTCAGTAGAAGTACTTTCCTTTTCTGACTCTTGTATAGCATTATCACCTTTTTTAGATTTAGAGTTTTTCATGAGATTTCCTAAAATAATTCCTGTAAAGAGAATCATTCCTATCCTGTGATTGGAGATAAATTTTTTTGCACAGTCTGCAGGATTGTTAATATTTAAACTGTAAATCTGAAAAAATATTTATATTGAATATTTTTTTGTAGATTATAATTTTGTTTAATTAGATTATATTTTTGTTTTAAAATTATATAATGTATACCTGATTACCAAGATGAGTACCAACTAATCCTAATGCTATGTAATATGGCCAAGTCTGTGTAGTTAATATACCTGATGTAAATAACCCTGTTATCATGACTATACTGAATCCAGATAAATAAAGTTTAGTTTTGTCTTCAAATTTTAAAGCTGTTGACTTTATGCCTACTATAACATCATCTATTTTATCCTATAATTAACAAATAAAGAACAAATTAAAGCACATTAAAGTAATCATATAAAATATTTAATTAAATATACTAAAAAATAGAAATTTACCTGATGTGCATATATAGTATCATATAAAAGTGTCCAACAAATTCCAGCAATATAAAGTGGTAAGCATACAGACCAGTTGCATGATCCGTGCACAGCAGACCAACCCAAAAGTGCACCCCAATTAAAAGTCATTCCAAGGATCAACTGTGGCCAGTATGTCACTCTTTTCATAACTGGATATATTATTACTAAGACTGTAACAAAAAGTTTAATGATTTAAAAATATTTACTTTAACAGCATTTCTAAATTTTAATTATAATAATAATTTTCTTAAAAATAAGCAGATTTTAATCATAAAATATATGAATTTTTGTAACTATATATTAATATAATTTTTCTAGTTGTTCTTTTGTTTTTTTTGTAGTAACTTATAATAAAGATAATACTTTGAAAATTGAAAATGACTTAGCACATCAGTTAATTAATAAAATTAAGAAATACTGTTTTATATAAATTGTTTAAAAGTAATACCTAGTGAGCTTGCACCCAATATAATACTATAAAGATTTAGTTGTAACAATACAAGTAATCCCAAAGTTAATTGGCTTCCAAGGAAAATCAATGATTGTAGGGGTGAAATTTCTCTAGTAACCAATGGTCTATCTTTTGTTCTGGCTACCTAACATTGAAATACTCTTATAATATCTTATTTTAGAATATTTATCAATTTAATATTACCATCCCATCAATATCTTGATCCCACATATCATTTATAATACATCCTGCTCCACGCATAATGAATGCACCTGTTCCAAAAAGGGTTAAAAGTTTAAGATCTGGCAGAGCACCTGGTGCTGCAGCCATGGCTATACTCCAACCACAAGGCCAAAATAACAACCAAGATCCTACGTTAAAAAATTATTAATTAAATGATTAATTAAAAAGTTATGTTTATTTCATGTTATAACAACAATAATTTTTAAATGACTTTATCTTACCTATTGGTCTATCCAACCTTATAAGTTTCAAATATGGTTTTATTTTAGGTGGAGAGTTATTTACCAACTTGGCAGCAAATGTAACCTTTTTGTTTGACTGAACATTTGTTGTTTTAACAAATCCCGTTGTTTCATCGCACGTATTCGATAAGGGCTTAATTGATTTTAATTTCTCTTGTGATGGTACTTTATCATTTTCATAATTACATTTATCATATACACAGGACACAGTATGAACTGTATTGCAAGAATATAAGTACTTCATAGTATATTCTTTTTTACTAAATTGCAGATAAAATCTTAAACATTTTCCATGTCTAAATAATTGTTGATATAACTGCATTATTATCATTATTTCGTTCTTTTTTTTTTTTTTTTTTTTGGTCGATTATAAACAATACTCAAAAATTATTTAAAATAACCTCAATTTTCTTCAATTCAAGTCATGTTATGAGTAAATATAAATTATTGAAAATAGTAATCGTACATATCGATTAATAATACTATTATGTATATTCTAAGTCATCTTAACAACAAACCTTCTGTCATTTTTTTGCATTACATAAGGATTACTTAAGGATTGCAAAACGTGCTGCAAAATTTAATCGTCATTCGTTATACTTCTCGACAGAGTTGCATGGGTGCAATTGTTGCATAATATGTTGTATGCGCACGCGCTCAGTATACCGACACGCTATACTTAAGATAATGTTGTACTGCGAGTATGACAAGTGAATAATAAACGATAAAGACAATTCCAATTTGAATTTGTCGTCGCATTTAGCCACATCTAAGAAAATTCTGTTCAAACGGATATACATAATATTGTTTCTAATCTAAGTAAGTATAAACTATAATACTTTAAATATTAACAATTATCCATCATATGTCCATGTATAAATCTATTAGATATGTATTTGATAATATATATTTACTATATATAAGGATAATCTATATATAAGAAAATATATATTTACTATATATATGTAATTCGGAAAGTATGTTTTCCAAGTGAAGTTTCAAACAGAATTACACATTATTTCGTTAATCAAAGAAATGATTTGTTTAAATTATGATACAATTTCAAATAATACGCTTTTCATCTTAAATCTACTTGTTCGTAATGACAATTAAGATAAAATTCATAAGACGCATTTATAAAGTACTGCATAAATCAGGATGAAAGACATAAATCCTCTTTATTGATCGAATTATGGATATAAATGAACACGATTCTCGTAATTAGTCGAGGAGGAATTACGTCATTTTTAGCTTGTGCAATGTGATGCATACTTATATATATTATTACACATATTATCAATTATAAATATTGTATAAAATATAATAACGTATTTCTGTTCGATCGGAATGCTTGTTCTTGAAAAACCCGCCATAATGTTTGTATCTAATGTTCAAGGAACCAGTACGTGTAATTGGTTATCGGTGATTATTTTATGTTCAAGGTATTTTTAAGTAAACTGCGGCTTTTTACAATGTCTGCAGAACAGAAGTTCGAGGTTTTATTTATTTTGGGTGGTCCCGGTGCGGGAAAGGGAACATTGTGTAGATACATTACTGAAAAGTATGGTTATGTACACCTATCAGCTGGTGATCTGTTAAGAGAGGAACGTATGAAACCAAACTCAAAATATGGAGAACTTATCGAAAAGTTTATCAAAGATGGAAAGATTGTACCAGTTGCAATTACTTGCAGCCTTCTGGATAATGGTATGCAGGCGAGCTACAGTCCACACAAAAGGTTCCTAATTGATGGTTTTCCAAGGAATCAGGATAATGTTGATGGTTGGAACGAGGTACAAAGATAAAAATATATTTTGATTGAAAATTATGTCTAAGAATTAAAATCATGTTGTGTTTATTTTCTTTCTATCATGTTTTTCATCTATTTATAGGCAATGTCAGAGAAATGTATAGTGAAAGGAGTACTGTTTTGCGAATGTAGTAAAGAAGTATGTACTCAACGATGTTTAAAACGTGGTGCAGCAGGAAGTGGAAGATCTGATGATAATGAGGAAGTTTTAGTCAAAAGGCATGAGACTTATATCACAAATACACTACCTATAATCGAACATTTTGAAAAACAAGGCTTGACATACAAAGTAAATAGTATGCAATCACCAGAAAAAGTATTCGAAGATGCTAAAGAGATTCTATCTAAAATAGGATGGTGATGGATTAATAGAGAATATTAATTTATCTCAATGAGATCAAATCATACCCCATTTGCATTTAATGTTGTTTTATTGAAGAAAAAAATATATATATATATTTTGTAAGAAAATTTTATTCATATGTAAGGTATTAATTGCAATTACATTTAATTGCACATAAGAGATAATAGATTTTTTAGATTTCTTCAATATATATAATGTTAGTACTTTTTATTTTCTTTTAGATAGTGTAATTTTTATTATGCACACTCTTTTGCTATTTTTATCAATATCTATAAAAGAAAGGAATCTATTTGGAATTTTTTGGAAATTCATCATTCTTTGATACAATGTTATACATATATTGGTTATACATACGTAGGTATGCTTATATAGCAAAACTTGTATTTGAAATTTCCTTAAAATGCTTTAATATTTCCTTAAAATGTACTATACGTAAAATATATTTTTGGTGCAATAATAAATTGCTCTTTTATTCAATGTTTACTTATAAATCGAATACTTCAATTATATTTTTCATACTTAATATAATTGAAGATACCAATCTTAAAAAAAAGTATTATCAAAAATTTAATTGATTGATATTATTTCTTGAAATTGTTTATTTTTCCAAGTCACTTATTTTTCATTTTTCTTACTATCTTATAATCTCTTAAAAGAGGGCAACATCCTTTTATCATTATCATCGTAGTCATTAAGATTAATGGTCAACCTTTTTATCAGTACACTCTTTATTTTCAAAATAAGATTGATACGTAATTGAGTGTGTAAAATGATTATTTTAAATTTTTACACGATATATTGAGCCCCTTTGAGAAGGTAACCAAATGTAGCTGTACGAATACAATTTTGCCGTACTATAGGCGATAATGGCCCTTTATTCTTATTGTTTAAATAAAAAATTAGCATTTACTTAATCAAACATAAATATTTAAATAGAAATATCAATTATCTCGAATGTTTAGGTCTTCCCTGATTATTAAAATTTACTGAAAAGAATGCAATTCATTGACAAAAAATAAGAAAAAATTGTACATATTAGAATAAAATCGTTTTTATACTATTAGTATAATTCTAACAAAAATTTTCTAAAAGAAAAATTTAATTGTGCATTGTGCATTTGTCATTATTCGTTTTTAAAATATTAAAAAGTGACTAGAGTTTAGATATTTTAAATAATTATGATAATTGACAGAATGACGCGCATTACTATTGAAAATGTAAACAATATTAATTCATAATGACATATCCGTTCCGAGGTCACATATTAGCCCATGAATCATTGAACTCTCAAGATATTGAATGTTGTGTAGCACACAGAACGTCTCGTAATTCACGTTCCTACTAAAAAGAGGACGATTTCTCATCCTAAAATAAATCGAAAATAAAATATCGAGCATCGTTGGAAGATTTTTCTTAAAAATAAGGTTTTCATAAACAAATTTCTATTAAATACATTTGCCGTTTTAATTATAGTAGAATAAAAATGTTTTAAAATTTAATATTAAAATTTTTATCAAAATTATATGATATAATGATATAAGATGATTTTTCATGATTTTTTTTTGTTTACGACAGATGTTCGTTATGTTAATTTTCGATCAAGAATTCTGAATTTAAAGAAAGAAAAGCAGATGAAACCTAAAATGTGATGCATTAAGAAGCAACCCGAATCGACTGCACGTGTGTCTGATTTCGAAATGCTTTTCACACAAAAGAATTTCATTCGACGACTTCACGTTTTTTTTTTTTTTTTTTTTTTTTTTTTTTTTGGATGAAGAATAACTTGCTATCTCGTGGAGCTATAAATTTCTATCATATTATCTTGCGTAAGCTTCTAACTTGAAGAGTTAATGAAGTTTCAGGTATACTATTAAGATTTTTGATGATCCAGAGGAACGTACATTTTTAATTTTTGATCCTTCAAAAATAATATGATGACATTATTTATATAACGTAAACGTAAGAAATGTTTAAGGTTTATTCGATTCACAACAATCGAGTCGAACAAAACATAAAGTGGAAGTTGAAATTCTGCATTGAAAGAGCGTTGACTTCTTTCGTTGTTCGATTATAAACTGATCCCCGCTCTTGAATTGATGTGCCTTCACCGACAGAAGATCGACCCGTTTTCAACTTTCTCATCGAGGTAGTAATGTATATCGCTGATGAGTTACCACGACCATCACAAGGTACTCTGATATGTAAAAATAATTCTCAATCATGGCTACCAATGCCTATACAATAATTTCATGAAATTTTCCGCAATTCCTATCTTTATTTGGTATCAATCAGTTAAGTATTAGAGTTTTGCGTCTAATCACTGCGACTCGATTTCCTTGTATCGATTATCTTCGAGTAAACTACATTTCTCTTTCACGGTAATCTTTATCGGTCGTGTTCTTTATGATTTCTGTATCTTCCTTCATGAATCTTTTTTTTCATTATGTACTCAACAATTTTATAGAAAAAGAATATTGTGGAAAATAAATGAAATTAAAGAATTAATTTTTCTTTAACGATTGTATAATATTTATAATGAAAAATTCGGTGCCTATGTATACTATTTGTTAGCACAATGACGAATAGAATTTGAATTCTGGTTGTCAATATTGTTCGTCAACATTTATCACTAACATTTGTTTTCTATTCTTATTTGTAAATTACAGAATTCTGACAATTTTTCTTTTTTTTTTTTTTTTTTTTTTTTTTTTGAACGATAAGCAGAAATTTCTTCATCCAACTTTCTTAAACTCTCCGAATTAATCAACTTTCTATCAAGAAACGGTTTCCATACGTAAGAAATTTCAGTCATTCTAAATTCTGTATCAGATCTACTAAAGATTTTGTAATAGATTCTTATTCGAACAAAGATTTATTCGTCATTTGTATTCGTCAGGTGTACCAAAGATTTTGTAGTAAATTCTTGTTCGAACGAAGACTTATTCGTATAAGTCATTGACATCAAGGAATTATGTCGTTCATACTACATTCTCATCCAACTATTAGTCATGTAAAGTTTCAGGACATTGTCTCTTGTATATGAAAAGAAGGGGATTCACTGCATACTTATTTTAGTTCCTTAGATATGCAGGTGTCGATTGCACCGAATTTTCGCTTATCATTTGTCCCCACTATTCTTCAGTTTTAAAGAAACATTTGTTAATTTCTAACTTAAAAATAGCATGTTAATTTTTTTTTTTTTTTTGCAAAAGCATTTCCTGATTTCGGTCAATGAACTTACAGCGAACTTTTCCGATATTTTTTTCTAATGCATAAGGAAACTACTTGTTAGAAACGTTTCCACAGGTTTACGTAATAAATAATGCCACAATTTTCCTTCCTTGAACCGTCTTCGAACGTTGACTTTTCCTCTAGTGTGGGAAAAGCTTGCATCATAATATTCATTTTTTTGACTTTAAGGTCGATGTACTATGTTGTCAATTATCTATTGATTCTTTTTTTTCTGTTGTTTATTGTTTTTCTATTATTATGATAAGTGAACTAATATTATTAGTCCTTTACAAGTTGCTAGTATTAAAATAAATCTTTTCCTACGACAACTAAATTTTACAGTCACTTTATTATTCAATGTGAGGTAAAATTGTAAAGTTTATAAGAAGTTTATAACTTACAATTTGTAACCTCTTGATTAATTAATAAATTATTATACAAAAAGTTCCAGAATGTTTAATCTTTATGAGTAGGCTACGGATATTTATATAAATTCACATTTTTACAATAATAAAAAAAATAGAACTTAGGCAGAGTCACTTTGTTTCATTTGCTAAATATTATAATGAGTACTGTGTACTTTGCATTTTTTAAAAATGAAAATGCATAAAAATTCGCATTCTAGTTATGAAATACCTGTGGTATAATTATCGAAAATAATTTAAGAAAATCGATACAGCTTAGGTACCGATGGTCAGAAAGCAGCGATAAAAGCATTACCATCAAATTCCATACGTTTTTATATGTAAAATATATAATTAAGGGGATATTCTTTCATTACTCCGAGCTCACATTAAGGAAGCATTCGATATTAAAAAGAAATGATAAAAAAGGTTCATAAATGTACGACCTACTTGCCCTTGTCATTGGGTTATAGCCACTTTGTGGTTCCGTTGATGCTTCTTGAATAACTGAGTCAGTACAACTGAGCTTGCTGAACCATGTTTGATCAATTCTTAAATCTTTCTTCTCATTAAACGTTTACAACTAAAGATTCAACAAATAGAGTGACTAAAATATAATTTTAGAATATATTCTTGAAAATACAGTGTCCCTTACGTATGTAGTTACTTTCCACGCGATTATAATCCCATCTGACAAATTACAAATGTATTACAAATTCAAGAAAATTCATATGATCTGTCAACCATAGTCTAATTATTACTAATCAATCTAAATTTTTTTTACAATTATAAATTAATCGAGATTAAGATGCTGCCCTTACGATATCGAGTTATCTTATTGTGCTATTTATCATGCTATCTCACAAGTTTATCATTTTTCGTTTTTTTTTTCTGGAAAGAATAAATTTACCTCATAAATCTTCAAGTTAAATTTGACTCTTTTTTTTTAGAAATTGGGAAAAAGACAACTGCGAGGAAAAATTTTAATTATATCAGTATTAAACTGCATTTTATTGATAGCATAAAGAAGAAGAATTATTGGCAAACGTAACGAAATCTCTGAATAATTTTTTTCCTTCTTAAGAATAATTTGTCTTTTCTGGATCATTCGCAAACATTCACAAACATGTACGTGGATTTATACAAGCTAAATTGATGTTACGCCAATACGATTGTAGACAGATCAATTCAAATGAAATAGAGCAATCGCTCTATTTCATTTGAATTAACGAAGTTGTACAGTAAACTTACTATATTTATTCGCGTCATAACCGAGTGAATACAAATTAAAAAAAAAGGGAGAAGAAAAAAATTTCTTGTCTTAAGTCTCCCGAATAAGAAGTCTTCTTTCAATTCTCCGTTCGATCTTTCTGATCGACTCGTCGAATTCCTACCACCAGTGTCGACGCGCTCCTACTTTTCTTTCACTCTCTCTCTCTTTCGCTTTGGATGGTACACACTCCTTGGAAGAGAGACAGATTACTCGCGTGCGTAATCCTCCGGTCGCATCGATAAGAGGTGCCCATCGTCAAGTCGTTTGCTCTTACCCCCATCATCGTGCCAGCGTCTCGAGCAATATATAAATGCACCAGCGATTGACAGAACGTACAGTTCACGTTTTAACGTCTCTTACGTTCCTTTTACGCGTGTACACCTAGGCCAGTAGTAGACACGTGATCGCGCACGCCACATGCTTCGGCCGAAAAGACACGTGTGCTTAATCATTCGTCATCATGCGGCTCATCGGTGATTTTCTATTTCATAAAATCGATAAGCTCAATTCCTCTACCTCGTTCGTTGGTTTCTGGTTTCTGTTATTGTTGTCGATCGGATTCGGTGAGTTGACGGTAGCTATTGATAAACCGGAAACAATACTGCTGGATTTCCTCTCGAAACCCTTCGCACCTTATGATGAAGCATCAGAAGAGTGCCTCAGGGATAGCGCTATTTACTTGAAGGGGCTCGACCAGTATGCGCCGTGGGCTCTGCAGAGTAAGTTCAGTTTTTTTTAGAGTGATTCTTTTTTTTTCTATTTTGACTCGTTTTATTCGCATTATTCATATTAGAAAATTATAAATTTATAAAGATTTTCTAATATCGAGAAGTTTTTGATATCCTATATTTGCCACTTTTTATGCGCCATACTCACTGCAATTTTACATAGTTTATAATATATAAATGTAGATTATAATATTAAATGTAAAATATCTCGTCATAATACATGAATTGAAATTGGAGAAGCGTTCTGATATTAAGTATAACAACTTTTAGATCAGCTTTTTTATCTAAAAGAAAATTTATTCTGTGATCTTAGCTTATGAGATAAAAATATATGAATATTTTCGGGGAAAATAGAAACAATATATAATCAGTTATTGTAGATCTCAGTCTTTCTGACCAAATACTTTCATAAATTTTTTTGTTATAAAAAGGAACTGCTCTCATCAATATCTCAGTTTACCAAGATAATGATTATCTAAAATAATGCTGGAACAGTCAATTCATATATCAATAGTAATAGTTCGACATCTATCAATAGTAGATTAATAAGACCGGTAATAAATACATACATAGATTAATAAGATCGGTAATAAGTACATACATAGTTAAAATACTTACTCTAAATGTACACACATATTGTTACATTTTTTTATACATTTTATATTATACATATTATTACATTATATTATATGGTTTTCATTTGTCAATGATGACGAATTTAATTATTCTTAGAGCGTCAAAATCGCTACGAAGGAATCTACTTAGAGCGTCAAAATCGCTACGAAAGAGATTAAAGTAGGTATTCTGTAAGGGTAAAACGCAGGCGCAGGATATTCTCCTATGCGCGCATGCATTCGATGCTTTCCGTTAGTTCAGCGTTAGTCCGCATAAATACCTTATTATAGTCATTGCGATTTTATAACATTATAAAATTTGAAACTTTTATATTTTAAATATATTTCGAACACTTACATTGCATTCAGGATTAATATCTTATTAGATATCTTATTAAGGCTATCGTCTTTAGCTTTTGGTAAAAACTCTTTGGCCTTACTATTATTTATTTCTGATCTATTATTTATTTTCACGAATTTCCAATTTTCTCTATATCCTTTTTAAATCTTTAATTACAGTAAAAATTTTGTTCAATTAAATTAGAAGCAATTGTGACTTAATCGTTTCTTTGCATCGCTATCGGGGTACACATACGCTGCAGCAATATTGGGAATGTTTTTAGGACGCATGTATAATTTTCGGTTATAAGTCAATTTGATAAATTGCTTTGGTTTTGTACAGTTGAATGACCCTTTCTCCAAAGGTCTTTGAAATAGAAAGCAACTGATAAAAATTGCTATAGAACATTTGTCGTATTCATCCATCTTTATTTTGGGAAGGAAATGACAATTATTCATCATTCATTCATAAACTACCATAAGTAAACTTACTGATGAATAAACTAAGTAAATAATATAAAGCTAAACAATACTAAGTAATTTTGCTGTTTTTCAACTAGTATTGTCATTTGTTTACTCGATGAAAATGAAAGAAAATCCTTCTATTCTTTAGTACCATGATTTTATTTAGTACTGTAATTTAGCAATTGATAACACTGTTTGATAAAAAGATCATATATAGTAATTATAATTACATGGTTTTATAAAGGTATAAACAGCAACTTTTAGTATATATTAGTATATATTATATACTTACACACCTGCAAGTATCATGGCTAATTTTTGATCTCCTTTAAATATCGAATGATTCGAAGGGAGATCGAGAAACTGGATCAAGATGGCTCTCCTTCTCTTTTTGTTTTTTCTTTTTCTTTTTCTTTAAAATTCATTCGTGAAATTATTTCATGTTGTAATCAAAATGCAATAAATTGTTCATCCACGACGTATATTATTCAGTAGAAAAATTTGACAGTCAAATATATCCAAGTACTTCTTTTACCAACCCACACATGATGAATATCTTATTGATATTTTAAGAAAGAAACCAAGTGAAAGGAATCCAAGCTAATGAGTGACACCGTTTCGACATTTCGAATTTGGGAACTCCCTCAATCTAAAAATATCATTTAAAATACAGCCATCAATGTGTCCATTCAAATTAGGTGTATCGCCAATATGTCACCAATTGTATTTTCAAATTTGGCGCACAATCGTTATTCCTATTTGAAATAAAATTTGAACGAGGTATTTTTATACGATTGAATTAAAATAAAATTAATATTTGATGTTAATTGTAAAATTCGTGAAAAAGAAATCTATGACTTACAACTTTGTAATTTGTCCAGTCACTAATATATATTATTAGTTAGTAAATTAGTTAGTAATTGTTCAAGAGCGTTCAGGTATATGTTATGAACTATGGAAAATTATTAAACTTCGTAGAATAATCTAACGATAGTTCTCATGATAATGTCTGTGAAACATTTGAACTTGACCTTCAGCTGAGACGAGTAGACATAGGGTAGGCATATAATCTCTGCAACGTTACAATAAATGGCACCATATAAGTGGCACTATATAAAGTCATTGTTGAATTATATAATTCATATAAAGAAAGAAACTCAACTTTTCGACAGCAATTTTAATCATTTCTTCGTGTTCCTCAGGGCCAATGTTGATGGTTATCATATTTCTTCCATTGTTCATACCTTTCGTAGAAGTGCCAAATTTTTTTTCTTGTAAATGGTCTGTACACGAAGTATATCGATCATTATTAATTCAGCTAGTAACATAAATGTAAAATAAACGTAATAGTGTTTTAATCGTAATTGTCGCAATTAATACGATATAAGAGAAGTACGTCGGGGAACTAAAACAAAGCATTGTATAATGAAAAAATTATATTGATTCATCTTCTTTTCATGCACTGGAAGCAGCAGTTAATTACGTTGCAGTCCGCTGACCCGTAAAACCATTAATACAAAGATAAACTAGAAATTTGCTTAGATGATAATGTATACGAAAGAACGCAATAATTGCATAATGTATTGCACTGATATTTGTTATATATTTCCTCGTTTGTACAAAAGTACTTCCATGTAATTACTTTTTTCGATAAATTTCTTTTTTGATCAGATTCCTCTTTTTGGTCATCATTCAGTTAGGTTTCTCCTTTTGATTTCATTTCTGCAACATTCAATCCTTACAATTACAATTACATAAAGAACTTTCAAATAAATTTGATTTAGCACATAAGAACTTGATTAATAGATTTCAGTTTTAGCTTTCTTATTTCGAATTTTTGCATATGCACTCCTTGCACAATTACATACTTATTAATTAATGATATTAGTGAATTGACAAGTTGTAAATTAGTAATTTCTTTTGTAAAACTTTATCTTTGAATAAAGATAAGATGATCAAATAACTTGCAGATAACTTATTATTACTAAATCCATTGTTTTGTAACAACTTGTTTATTTATTAATAATAACTTCTAACTTCCGAGTTATTTCACTAATGATATTAACCATCACTTCCAGGAAATTAAAGTTTAACGAAGTAAATAAATAATTTATCGCGTTGCTGCGACATCTTGGTGATTAATAAATCTTGGTCCTTGAATAATGCGCATGTTAGTGATGGATGTCTGGCATTTGAGAGTTCGATGATGCAATATTGATATTGATGCGAAGCGGGAGCAAAAAAGAAAAAAAGATGGTAAATCCGTTGCGATTATGATTACGTCATAACGTTGCGCGTTCATTTGTAAATCTTCGCAAGTATCTTTATTTTTGCGTTCAAGTGACTGCTTCTCGAAGTCGACCGGAAGAACTGCAAGATAACCTTGTATGTCCATGACATATGTTTTAATGGGATATTTCTTGGAAATGTAAAAATTATATATTGATAAATTCACCTGAGAGGATTCTTTGATAAAACTTGTAGAGCTCCAATTAATAACTGCACGAAGAGATTATTTTTTTCAACAAGAAATGACTTCTTTGATTCTTTAGTATATAATGAAATCTTTCGTTTCTTCTAATAAATACTTCACATAATTTTTTAATATACAGACTGAAATTTTGGATTAATTACATATATTTAATATTAGAATTTTAGATTATCAAAATAAATGTGTCATTTGGATTTTCTATAATATTTTTTATCATATTTTTTAGTGATAGTTACTCATTATCTGGATTTTCTAATGCAAAATTATCTATGATCTTGATTTTTAATAATATGAATATATGCTTAGAAAGTTTTTAAGAACATAATCATTTACTTTTAATAGCTTAGTTATCTTTCATCTAGGTTGCTTTAAAATCTTTTAAAGTCTTTTATACCTATCTAGGTTTCTAAGGTTTAGGTTTTCATATTATAATTTTCCAGTATTGAATAGCTAATTTATTATATTATATACTTAATTTTCGTAGAATTTCATAATTAATCTCGAAATAAAAAAAATTTTCAACTTCATTATGTTAAATGACACAATGCAACCAGCAACAAACCTAACAAAGATCGCACAATGTTGTCAATAATATGTAGTTATTATTAGTTCACGTAACAGATGACAACATACTCTTGTTTTTCCAACAAGAACCTCGATCTGAACGAAGAAAATGCACGCGGTATTTAGGATTAAACTACGTCACACGGTATCTCTGTGTTTTTGCATTTGGCGACCTTGTATTTATCTTTGCAACAAACTATGTATTTTGAATACTCTTCAGAACTTTCGAAAAATTCTTTTTCCTAGAATTCTTTTTCTTTATCATCAATGGCCGTTACACATAGTATTGGATTGATAGTAATAACAAACAATATTAACTTCTCTTCGAATCCTTACCAAGTAAAAATAAATTAGTGGTGAATCTGTAATAGTAAATGTGAGTATCTGTGAGTAATAAATTATCAGTGAATCTGTTAAGACATTCAGTGGCATTAACTTCTGCTTAAATTTACGCAGAAATCATAGCTGCTATTGACGTCATCTAGCAAAATGCTAGTGAACTATCAAGGACTCGTAGAAGGAAATGTAAGGGGTGAAAAAAAGGGAATTGAATGAGGAAAAAGAAAAAAGAACGTCGATGAATCGGGATGTGCGTCATGAAACCAACATAAACTGGGTCACTGAGGAATAACGTCTGTGCCGATGACCGTCCTTGTGTATCAGAGCCGGTCTTTTTGTTCGCTGACCAATGATCGATCGATCTTTCCTCCTTCCGATGCGTTCTTAGACTTCTCTCACACGATATTCATGATATCCATACGTGAGTGAGAGTATTGAGTTTTATTTATTACATATTTCATTTTTATCGATTTTAATCTTAACGAAGTGGCTTCTGCGTAACGTTTTAACGTCTCGTATGAAATGGTTTGCCAATTTTGAGATTATCGTTTGCGATGTCACAATCAAAAAAACATCTTGCAGCGTCATTTAACGATTTTTATATTGCTATCCGTAGTGATACTATAATAAAAAAATTTTTGTTTTAATACGTTTTTTATTAATTATGATATTAGGTCAAATAGATTATGGATTTTTATGCATTTCTGAATTTTTATAAATATATAGTTGCAAAAAAAGAACGTAAGAGACATTTAATTTATTTAGTATATATTATAACAAATACTCTACTTTAGATATTTGGTATATTTTTGCATGTTTCAATTTATCACAAATGCATAAAAATCCGCAATAATTTTTAAAACGATATATTTAAAATACAACATGTGTGTTTTCAGTATAAATTCTATTTAATTGTGCTGTTGATCGCTTCTAAGGAAGATCTTATTGTAACAGTTTTGTGATTTTAATTTTATACGTACCATCTGTTCATAGTGTCGTAAACAAAAAGACATCGTTTAGGCGTGCATTTCATTGAGTCTAACGTTATCTGTTTAGAATATGACAGCCAAATAACCATCGTCTTGACGCAAGTTTCGCTGATTACTGTTATCCAGTTGCAGAGTCTGTGAAATTTTAATAAATCTTCCGCGTAATTCTTATCCATTAGTGGCACTACTACTAAACGACTATCGGTTCGACGTACTATTTCAATAATTCTGATACGACTATCGCCACGTTCTAATGTTATTACAGCGCAGTGCTATGACTTTATTCCATTGTACTCTTTTTTTTTAAGGAAAAGAACTTACCTAGTATTCAAAGAAAAATTTTTTTCAATAATTTTATTTATATTGATTGATTATAAATAATTCTAAATTATAATCTGGAGATTGATGGCATCGGTATTCATCCATTTGTTATTTCGGTATATTATCATTTGTTGATGCTCAAAATTTTGAAAGAAAAAGTATATAAATTATATTTGATCAGGCTTGAAATATATGATTGATGATGCGTGAAACTTGGTCTTCAACTTTTTTGCGAGCTCTTTCGCAAAAACATTATTGGCTGTAATATTCGATTCGTAGAATCGATGATTAAGTCAATTCTAACTTTTGCAAATATATATAGATAGGATATATTTAATTTTTAACAGAAATAAAAATGCACGTTAAAAATCAGGATTTCATAAATAAAGAAATTGAAAGTTCTAGCGACAAATTAACTTATCTTTCTCAGATAACATATATCAAAGATATAAAAGCGTGAGAGCTAAATTCTTTCAAATTTTTAAACCAAACTCCTTTAGTTGTTCTTACGTATTTTTTAAGATCATAATTTCTTCGAGTTTCTATCGGAGAGGTTTATTTTCCAACGAAGGAGAGAGAATTATGCATTATATGTCAATACAGTAAATTTGGTATTTATAAAACTAATTGGCATATTTGTATATATACTTGCAGTGGTATGTCGAAGAAAAAATTAAAAGGATCCGTCAGATGCTAGTTTTGTGATTATGATTATCTAGGATATTTTTCTTGGGAATCGCTTTAAAAAAAAAAGAATACTTCTTGCAGCGATACTGCGAATATGACTCAGCCGTCATCCATGAAGATATCGATGGGGAAGCAAATGAACTTATGACCTTAGAATGCTCATTCATTGCAAATGCGCGTTTAAATAACAAGCCAATTGCCGAGATTAATCCTTGCTACTTCTAAAAAAAATTTAAAAGCTAAAGCTACAAATGAGAATGTGTTTCTTTTTATTGTCACTTGTTCAATGAAAAAAATTTCTAAAAGGACCAAAAAATGTTTGAAAAATTGAACATTTGTTACAGTTATTATTAGTACTTATTTTACTCGTGTAAAAATTCTTTCATATATAGACATAAACATAAATACATTTTATTAGTTTTATATAATTAATCGTTTAAAATATCTTATACTAGTATATCTTATATCAAATATTTTATACCAAGTTGCAAACTTCAAATTTCTCACTTCAATACGTTAGAATTTTTTTGTTTCAAATCAAAATTTCTTATTTCTGTAGTATCTTTAATAAGATAAGATAAGACTTCACCTAATCTTTTTGTCAATCCCTATGCTCTTACAAGATAAATTTTTTGCCAAAAATATTCTTCCTAAAAAAGAAGAAAAAAAAACTTGCAAACAATAAAATTGCAATGATCCCCCAAGGCTTTCGGTGTTGAAAGTTACCGATAGAATTCGTTGAATGAATGATTTCAAGGTTCTGCGAAAGGTAGAAGATATCCGACTGTGATAAATCTACGAAAGTATTTTCTGGTTGCCTAGCATCGTCATGAAAAATCGTCAATTAAATCGTCTTTTAAATAATTACAAAAATGTAATTGTTATGATATGTATAGTTACATGAAAATATTATATAGCTAAATAAATGTACGTGAATAATAAGTGAAATTTTTAAGAAGAGATTATTCTATAGGTCTATTTAAAAGTTATTCTAAATCAAATTCAGTCAATTGAAATGGAGTTATCATTTTTTAGAAAAACGAAAAGACACTTCGCTGAATAAATTTCCTATTCTACGAAATAAAATCTTCATCATTTTGCACAATTCTTCTATCATAACTATGTTATAGAGGAACTGTATAATTAAATTATGAAGTTGTAGAACTTTGATAAAGTTCTACAAGGGTCTTCACAGAACCATTTAATTTTCAATCGACAATAAATCGGAACGTATAATAGATATCATTATCTCGTTCACTTCTGATTACTGCTTATCTGTAAAAAGTAAAAAAAAAAAAAAGAAGTTAATGCAAAAAGCCCCGTTTTTGAATGAGCTCTTCAATAGCAATTAAAATCAGAGTTGAATGACTCGTGTAACAACAAACCTCTAACATTTTTTGTATCGATGCGTTGCAACGATAAACTAGTTTAGAGATGAACCATTCCTCTCTGAATGGTTCGATTTTCTCATGAAAAAAAAAAAAAAGACAAAAGGTTTCGCGATTAGAATTTTGCGCAATGCCTCTGTGCTCGTTAGTTTATGTAACACAGTGTGTTTACACGTTACGATCGCTTGTTGTGTACATCGATGCACTTTGTTTAGATAGATGATATTGTAGAATCATTTAACTCGTTTCCCACCCGTTTGCAAGGCGGTTGTTTGCGAGTGATCGGCGTGTCCTCGCTATCAAGCGTTAATGAAAAATCCGTTATATCGCATCATCACTTTTTCCTGCTTTTATCCCTTATCGGTCGACCTGTTTCGCAATTTACGCGTTACCCGTACTGATCCGTGTCTCTCTCAGCTATCGCATTTCCGTGTAGGAGAGGTATCAATATTAAGTTTATTATTATAATCATTCCTAAACCGCCTCATGCATTAGAAAAGAAAAGTTAGCTAGATAGTCTGAAAATAAAAGGATAGAATGTTTTAAAAAATAGTATAATATAGTAATAAATAATATAGTGTAGAAATTACCTTTCGTTTTTCTTTAATCTTTTTAATAAATGATATTATTTTGAGGATTAAATCTATTATTGTAATTATAAAAGAAATTACAAATATTCATGTAAAAGTGTGCTTTTATAATAAAATTGATTTCTAGCTGATCAGTTATTGATTTCAAAGCACGTACATAAAAAAAAAAAATGTGTAACAAGGAGTTGTACCTGACAATAATACAAAAAAATAAATAAATAAACGTCTTTGTTACGAGCAGTTATGCGTAAAAAGGAAAATCGTACTTACACGAAATGTCACTCATCGTAGACAAGAAGAAGCATATCTTCATACAGGTGTATCGCAGTACATAACACGATGTATTCTTTCAGTTATAATTAAGGTTATTCACTCTATGTATTATGATGCATAGTTTACAACGCATTATGTATGCCTCTTCAGTTTGAATTCATATGATGTAACTGTTTGATACAACTTCATATCGTATGACAATTAAAATATATCGTTCGATAACACTAATCGAGAAATCGATTCATGATTTATACATTGTGTATAATTATCAACGGAATTTAAATAAAATTAAAGTAATAAGATTTAACAAAGGAATTTCAAATGGATTGAAATGTTTAATATTAAATATATTGTGTATACCTTTATGACAAATATAAATCCTTGTTCTATTTACCAACTTCAAAATAAATATCAAAAATTAACATTATTCAAACTAAATTAAGTTCTAATTAAGTTTGAATAATGTATCAACATGTACAAACTCTTGAAAATTATATCGTGAAAGAGCAGAAACATAAAAGAAATTATCCAAAGGATTCAATGAAAGGTGATAAATCTTTTTATGATGTTTTACAAAATAATTTTGCACTTTCTTTATTTGAAATTTATATTGAATATTAATCAATTAAATTTATATATCATTGCTTTTCATTAATTTGTTATTTCAAATGTTTAGGTAAAGACGTAAGTTTGAAAGAGATCAATGCTACCAAAAATCATAAAATATTTTGTTGAAACACCATTCCCTGATTGTTCTTTCAAAGGAATAGACAATGAATATTTATGTGTTTATGAAAGACGCATTTATGAAAAATTTGCAGTTTTTCTGCTTAAGTTTGATTCTATAAGTTTGCATAAATATTCTATCAATGACACATGAAGAACACAAGTAGAGAAAGAAAAATTGAAACGAGAAAAGGTTACAGAGAAAAGTGCAAAGACCTCTCTTTGAATTCTAGTGTACGACGCGTCCGTGAAAATTCCATCGGGTGTAATCACGGGCAATTACCAACAATTAGGCAATTATGACGAGTGTCTGCAAGTGAAAAGCGGACACGGATTCACCGGGAAGGCCTGTAGTGCCACGGTGAATTTCGAAATCGCGAAGGACAACGGTAAACCACGCCAACCTGATATAGGTGATCTGCTTTTGAATGTAGCCATCGCTTCGGTGAGTAAACTCCAATCAAGCCAATAGCTTTCGATTAATTTTCATTTAAAAATATAATTAACGTTTTCTTTTTTAAGTTAAGTTGAACTACATGAAAAAAATTTCATATATTAGGTACATGAAAAAATTCGTGTGACTTTTCTTTTCATTAATAATAAGCTAGCATTTCTAGAATTTCAGTTAGTAATTTGTAATTGTAATTCATAATAAACTTGGTATCAACAGAAAATCTATGCAGTCGGGCTATATATTGTACAGTTTTCAATAATTAATACTAATACTTAATACATAATTAACAATGTTAAATGAAGTTAAGAAGTTAAAAATTTGTAAAATTTTATATTTGAGGAAATATAGCAGAAAATGTAATAATCGTATCTGTGATAGATACAAAAATGATTGAAACGAAACAATTAAAATGAAGACAATAAATCACTAACAAAAGTTGAATTAAATGTGAAGAACTAAGTGAATTTTGAATAAATAATGAAATTTTTATTTAACAGAAAAAAAAGAATCGAAGACTACATTAGCCTTTTGCGGTATCTAATATAATTAACAAAAAATGAAGCCACTGACCTTTTCATAATAATTAAAGGAATATTCTTAAACCGAAATTATAGGAGTAGTAATTTTTTTTCTGTCAAAGATTAACTGAAACAGTCGAAATTTATTGTACACTTGCTTAACCAGCTGACCAAGGTTTCGCAATTACGTCACATTTCTTAAATAACATCGAAAAATGTTATGCAATATTCCCAGTAACATGAAACATATTGAGATTTCTTTTAATGAACTTTGCCTCTAAAGGAAGAATATTGAATATATTTATTTATTGGTAAAAAATATTTTATATATAAAATAAGGTATTTATATAAATATATTACATAAATATTTGTCGAGAAAAAAATATGTATTTAAAATAGAATGTTTTTGTAATCAATTTTTTTCAAAATATACCAAATTTATGTCATTCATATTAATTATTTCAATAAGTTAAAAATATATTTAAAAAGAAAAGTATACCTTTGGTTATTAATATATGATTAATTAATATAATGATTAATTTCTATTGAAATACTTATATTAATAATTAATAAGCTAATAATTTATTAACATATAATTAATAATTAATATTGTAATGTTACGGTGCTAATTAATATACTACACATTAATATATGAAAAATTAATTTAATTTTTATTTATTAGAGTAAAATTAAATTGAAGATTTAACATTTTTTTTAAAGCTTTACATCATAGGTATATCACGTGTTCTGAAATACCGACCTCGAAAAAAAAAGTGTTTCTTACGCCCTCTACAATTTATTACAATAAATATAGGAATCAATCTTTGAGAACGATAAAGTCAATAACTACAGAAAAATTTTAGTTTCTTAAATTAACCAGAAAAGAAAGATTTGTTGTTCTATTTTCAAGCCATTAAAAATTGTGAATAAATTTTTCATATAAAAGTTGTTTGATTTGATTAGTAGAAAAAGTTATTATGCCTAGAGATTCTAAATAGATCCCATAGATCCCAATCCCTTCTATTATAGAGATCAGTAGCATCTCGTTGCTTGAAACCATGGAGATGCTGTAACTTTGGAAATATACATATACATTGCCAATACAGTGGATTTTTATTAATTTTTATACAAAATAAAAGAATTCTATGGCATCGTTGATGATAAAATTAGATGTTGCAAGCAAATATAAATAAATTAATAAATATATTTACATAAGAAGAAAAATTAAGGTTGTTGCACGAGCTGCCATTAATAGAGATATTATATTATAAAAGATAAGATATTATATTATAATATTATAAAAGTCTTTTTATTCAGGCAATTGAAATATTGACTTCTGTGCCTATTTATTTGACACTTAAGCTTCTAGAAAGAATAATACATGTAGTGGTCATCTAGTTAATTAAAGGTTTCAAATGAATTTCACAAATTCTAAACTAAGTAAGCTTTAAAAAATAATGCTAAATAGATTGTATTTTTTACCACGATAACACACTTAAACTTACATATATTTAGTAGCTTATCGGTCATTGCTCAAACGCATTATCATTATTCGATCTTATTAATCGTTATCAAACCATTTACCATCTATCGCATCGATCATATCGATTTTCAAGTTGAAAGTATTGATATCAATGTTTGTCAAACTGATCCAAATTTTCGTTTAATCACGAACTACAGGCTTTTGTATTTCATATCATTTATTAACTTAACTAATATACTTTTAATTTTGACGATTACGATTTCAAAATTGAAAATCTTTTAGAAAGAATCAGATCACTGTCACTTCTTATACAGCTTTATACAATTTTCTAAACTTCTCTTCTTGCCCCACGTTATACAATGTAGAAATAACTTAAATTATATACAAAAGTAACTAAACGTTTCTTTATCCAAATAATCGAATTAACCAGAATTAACTTGAATGATATATTCGTTTGATGTAGGGATACACGAAATGGAAATCAGGACGGTCAGTAAACTACGAGTGGATGTGGTGCGTTCCATCAAGTTGTAATATTACAGATATTCAGGAGGCGATCGAGCTTGGCCTCGACCCTCTGAAGGTGGAGGATCGCGTGGACATGGTGATAAACGTATCGTGTCGCACCGCAGAAACAGATCAGTCGGTTTTCGACGTAACTGATTGGATTTACATGTGAGTAGTTAGATCTGCGCATATTATTGTGTTCCAATACGCGGTGGTTTCTGCAGTAATGCAAGACCATGGTGGTGTCGTTGTTTGCTCATTGCTTCGAGGCTGAACACGTGCATTGCATGGCAAACTTCTCAATTAAAATTTAATCTCTGTTACGTTAAAGTGTCGTAACATTTAGATTGAGCTGGGATAATCAAGAGAATTCAATAATCTTTGCTGAAATATAAATCTGAATTAAAGTTTGACTTCTTAAAACTATAGAAATTCACAATTCCTTTTTTCTTTTTTGCATAGTTTCTCAAATACGAATTTCATTTCTTTTATTGTGATTCAAAGTTACATTTCTTTTTCATTTACCGAGGCATTTCGATTTTATTTTTATCATGATGAGGTTCTTTACCTTCGTCTCTATTTTTAGAGCGTTGTTATTTTACGTATTATTATTGTTGTTACAGTTGTTATACTATAACATATAGTAATGTTTTAATATAATAAAAATACAAAAATTATATGAAAGTTGTATTATTACTATACAATTACTAACTATTTGCCACAATTATTTGCATATTATTTTTATTGTAATTAGCATAATTGTAGCTAAAAATTGTACAAATAATTTTTAATCTATGTACATATATCCGTTCCGCGACTTACATGTTAATGGCATGTCATATCAAATTCCAGATCGACCCTGGCGATATTCGTGGTAATCATAATTGCCAGCACGAGTTACGATATCGCTAAACAAGGCCATCTGAGTACGTTGAACCGAAAAGGTGAGGTCTGTTCATTCTGTTACGTAAATGAAAATTCATTATGACTCCATCGTTCGATCGCTTTATCTCGTTCTCATTGCAAAGAAGAAGTAAGGAAAAGATCAGATTGTGAGATATTACATCTTGTATGACCGATAAATATTCTTGGTCGCACGATAAGCATCAGTGTTAAGGACACTTTGTTTGCCTTGCATAAGAGCTTTATCAGTATACTCTTATTGATTAATAACTGCCGATACGATTTCCGATATTCCTTAATCTTGTATTTTTTTTTTTTTTTTTTTATACAAAAATGGAAAATTTAATAAAATCAAATTTTATGTTATGTTATGTTATATTTATTATATACAAATAACGTTGTCATATCTGTTCAGATAAGAAATATATTCTTCTGACTTCGTTCTCCATCTACACGAATGGAAAAAATTTATTGAAAACGGACAGACACCGCGATACAATCAAGTGCCTTGATGGACTGCGCTATATTAGTATTTGTTGGATTATCTACGGTCATACTAATTACACCGAGGTGGTTGGCGTTAAAATGAATTTGAACGAAATTTCACAGGTAAAGATTGATACCTGAATTAAAAGACAGAACTCAGTTTATCCGTATTGTCAAGTTATCATAATACACAAATATGTGAACGTTAGTTATATAAACGTAATTCACAAAATAATTATACAGTCTTTTATAAATTAATCAAACTTTCTTATCTTTTAAGATGCATATAAATTGGGCCAACATGTTCGTACTCAATGGAAATATCATCACCGATACATTTTTCCTCATAAGCGGAGTTCTAATGGCATATACAATCTTAATAAAAAGTGAAAAGAATTCGCAAGATCAGTTTGATGTGATCAGCAAGCTTTATGTCCACCGTTATTTAAGATTAACTCCAGCATATGCTATGATGATCGGATTTTACGCTACCTTATTTTATAAAGTTAGCTCGGGCCCACATTGGGACCAATGGGTCGGTGCCAATAGAGATTATTGTCGAGAAAACTGGTGGCTCAACTTGCTCTACTTGAATAATTATATCCATTTACCTAGAATTGTAAGTAAAGTTTAATAACTGATGTAATTATTTTACGTGCATTGTTTAATGGACCAATTAAATAGTTACAAGAGGTTGTTCATGAAATATATACAGTACACATTGTATTTGACCAATTTACATTATAACTCAATAAATATTCGTATTTCGAATTATTTACAATAAAAGAAAACGTTATACACAAGGAATAAAATGTAACTTGCTCAATAATTATTTATTTTTTATTTCTACTTTTCAGTGCATGTCTCAGTCTTGGTATCTGGCGACTGATATGCAACTTGTCTGGCTGTCACCGATTTTCTTGTACCCTATGCTCAAGTTTACAAGAGAAATTTTCTTCTGGCTGGTTTTCGCGTTAGGATTAGTCATCTCCATTTTAATTCCATTTTTAATAACATTTTGTCTCGGGCTCAATGGGACTATGCTCTATTACAAAGAGTAAGTGTAGAAATTTATTTCTTTTTCCCTATGACCTTCTTTTTTCTTTTTTGAATATTCAGAAAAAAAATTCCAGTATAAATAATACTTGTTAAAATAATGACAAATAGTCATTAAATATCTGTATAGAAATCATTCAGTTTTTGTTTATTTTAACGAGTATTACGTGCTTTTAAGTTTTGGCGTGATCTTTACCCTATCTTTTCTTTTCATGATGCTATTATGAGTCGCGACGCGTCATACAGTACCGTCTGATTTATTTCATACGTAACTACTTTTTACTTTGAAATAGATATTCCACTTTGCTCTTTTTTTTACAATTTCGTATTTTGAATGTTTAATATTCATTACTATTTTAGTATTATAATCATTTCTTAACATAATGTGATTTAATGTATCGATTGATAATCTATGATTGATATCGATGAGGCGGTTAAAAAATATCGGAAACGTGTATAAAGCATGAGAGCTAAAGTAATTTTATTGAAATTAAAACTAAAGTTAAATAAATACATATAATTTAATTTATGATTTTTTATTTATTAGTAACACGGACCTGGCTAATGTTTACATAGAAATTTACACAAAGGTTTATAGCAGATACGGTTCTTATATTATTGGCCTGGCTCTTGGTTATCTTTTATATAAGAATCGATCAAGAGTTCTGAAAATTCGTTTAGTAAGTATAAGTACCTACATATAATATGTTATTTATTCAATATCGCTAAATATTATTCAAAATGAATGTTACAACATTCATTTAATTTGAAATCTATAAAATAATCTATTAAATAAGATATTATATATATATATTATTATTTAAATGACTATTTCCTCTATTATTCTTTAATTAATTTCTTAAATATTATTCTCGTTTATGATACTTTGTTAAAATTTTTTATAAATTCACGTAGTCCATTTTCTTCATTTAGAAATGAGAAAGAAGAATATTATGCTGAAATGAAGAGAAAGTGATCACTACATACGAAATAATAGTTCTTCAAGGATAAGAGGAAAATATATTTCGTTGTCTTTTCTTCCAAATCTTATCTTCCTTGACTAATTAAATCAATCATCTTTTTCAGATGTACGTAACGTTCGGTTGGTTGGTAGCTGCAGTTTCCGGTTTTTTCATATTCATATACCCTCGCTGGATGTATTTTGATGATCATCGTTACAACAAGCTAGAAGCAAGTTTTTACGCAGGATTCCACAGACAAATTTTTGCTTTTTCTATATCCTGGCTTATCTTTTGTTGCGTTCATGGCTATGGTGGTAAGCTTTATTTTTTTTTGTATTAATTTTAATCTATTTAAGAAGTTTATATTGTATAAATTTTTAGTAAATTTATTTTTAGTATCAAAATAAATTATATGATGGTCAAGATTTATACGGTGCTCAGAAATATGCACAAATTTCATTTGTTCCTATTTATTATCAAACATTGACTATTCTGATATAGAGTAACAAATATAACTGGATAACTGTACAATCTCAATTGTGCTTTTCCTTTATTTAAGGTTTCGTGAATCAGTTCCTGTCTTGGAAAGGCTGGGTTCCTTTCAGTAAGTTAACTTATAGCGCTTACCTGTGCCATTATGTATTTTTGTTACTAGAAGCTGGATCAGTTCGGACTGCTGGCACAATTTCAACTATGTCAATTGTAAGTTATCATAATTTTAAATGTATTAAAATAGATATGTTCCTAATTTTTTATTCATCAGATATTTATTAAATAACTTTAATGGAATTTAATTGAACATCAATTGATTTCAAATTCAATTTTCAAATACTGTAGAAGATATTTCGAAAACCGAAGAAATTAATCTCAAGTTCAAATAGAATCACATCAATTATTTTCTGTAATCTCATTTTCACGTAACCAGTGAATTATTGATTAAATTTACAGCTTCGTAGCTTCTTCAGCAACTTGTGTCTCACAATACTTCTCTCTGTACTCTGGACACTCTGCTTCGAGATGCCTTTTATGACACTAGATGGAATATTCTTTTCTCACCGCCGGAGTCAATCAAAATTGATTTCAAAACCAAACCAAGGAAAGATATTCGGTTCTATTGATTCTAGCAAAGAGATATATCGTTCTACAGAAGAATCTTCGGCTACGATTGCGCAAGACAGCGAGAATGCTTTTAATAAAAAATCCAACAAAGACAGCATGTATGATCAAGATTTAAAATCCGATGACAGGGATGACAAATGCCCATTTATCTTCGTAATTGAAGCAGAACGCGACAATTCTTGGGCACAGTTGAAAAATGTCCATCAAAACAATGGTTTTGATGAAGATTCGGATGAGACGTTCAATCGAACCGAAACAGAGAAAGGAATAGATTGTAATTACGGATCAACCGTAAACGAGAACTTAATAAGGAAAGCAGAGTCCAAGGAACTGAATCAGGCTAACGATAGTTGATCAACGATTCAGTACAATATCAAATCGGCTTGCTGGTCAAGCATTTATATGCGGACAGAAGTGAGATTAAGAAATAACAATAAGAGTTTGTTGTAGAAATATCTCTTTATTGATTCAGGGATTCCTATAAATAGTGAGTGATAGTTATACCATGTTTCTTTTTTCTTAATATGCGTTTGCTGTATTTTTTTTATTTTGTTGTCGATTCTGAGGGATATGGTCGAGGATATGTGATATAACAAACAGCGATTCTTTGCACGATGGCGAATTAAAAGCGTCTTGTGTCTACTAATACGTTTTTATTAGATCTTTTCATTATTTTTCATTATTTATGCAATATTTTAACATCACATTTTATCATTATATTGTAGTGTTACAAGGCATTAGGAAAGCAATTTATATTTGATTTAGTATATCAATTTGATCTTAACAGTTGAATAAAGTTTGTTCCTTTTTATATATGTGCTAAATTTTGTTAAATTATTAGTAGATTTGCAAAAAATAATTTGTTATTGTACGAAGAATCACAATTATATAATTATTTGACTACACTTTGTAGATACTTATAGATTCGCGTTTCACGATCCGATGTTGATCCATTGACGTGAAAGTAATTCAATCGAACGTTTAGAGCAATGATGAACAACCTGTCTAATCTTCCAACTACTTATTAGTGTTTCATCAAATAACTAAAGTATTCTATTAAAGACAATATTTTTTTCTATAATGTCTCTATGTCCCTCTATGTTAGAAATGCCAAATTCCACTCTGTATAAGATAAAATTTTTGTTATTAATATGTGTTTAAGTATTTAATAATGCGCAATATTCTATACGCATAAAATAAAACTCGCATAGAATATTAGATTTTTAATTTTGACCTGTTATAAAGCAAAGGTTGCTCATTACTGATCTAGAAGTTAGGAAATAAAGGTACAAATCAGCTGTGAGAAATCATCGACTATTATTAAGTGTAATTAAGAGATGTTTTCTCGATGATCAGTTTATAGAAACGAAAAAAAATGGAAAAATAAATTTACGAAAGTAAAAATTGCACAAGAAAAATATCGACGACGATCGATTAATAATTTTTTGGGATTTGGAATTTTTATTTTGAAATATTTTAATATTCCAAATTTAAGTTACATTCTAAATCCAATGTATTACATTTGCAATTTGAAAGTCTAACAAAATGCGTTAACTAATATTTACTAATACTATTGCAGTAAAATTAGTCAGTACGATACAAAATACAGTATTATAATTAATGTTAAATATTCTAATTATAAGGATTATGTTGCGGCCATGAATTGAGGTAAAAAACAAATTTGTTAAAATTTGTTTTCTTTCGCTATATTTAATTTTTTTATACATCAATACAATAATTCGAAATTTTTAATGCCAATATATTTAATTAATACTCTTCTTATATTGATACATTGTTTGTAACGTGCAAAATGAATTATCTAATGCATAATACAATACAATTATTCTTTATTTCTCCTTTGCAATATCCTCACGTTCTTTGCATGCCAATCCTGTATGAAATATATGTATGTGTACATGTAAAAATAATTTTTTTTGGCGTTAAAAGACATAAATTATGAAAATAATAATAAATAATACCAACTACGATCTGTAATGCTAACATGCTAAAATAAGAGGAAAATAGATCATATTAGCCTCAGCTTGTGTCACTGTTTACTTAAGATCTAATTCTTAGACTGGTGTCTTTACCTCGACCGATCTTTTCTATACGAATACATTCTTTTTTTTTTTCAAACGCAATCCACAAGAAGTAACAGGTAAGGCGAGAAGAGAATGGATTACTTGTTTTGTCCGTGGAAGAAATCGATACTTTACGCGGAGAAAACCCATCCTTTCGAACCATTGATTTTCTTCAAATTTTTCATTGTACTTAAAAAATTCTTATTCCAGTATAAATTAAATAATTAACATTGCAATAAAATTTTGCAATACTATACATATTCTATAGTATAGAATATTCTACTTAAAAGCGAAAGGAGCGAGTTTCTTTATCGAGTAATAGGATGAAAATTGAATCAAAGATAGATTACGTGAGTTACTATTATGAAACATTAGCAAAACGACAGTGAATATGTGGGAATTCGATGACATCATTAACAGAGAGAAGAGATTTCAAGGGTTGCAAGTGCAGTTGCAACACGTGCTTAAAACGCCCTTGGGACGTTCGCCCTTCCGTGGGAAAATCGACCCTATATTTTCGGTCAAGTATTTAAAAAGGGATCCGCGTGCTTTCCAAACGATTAACAACTTGGCCAGGCAATTGAAGATGTCTCATATAGAATAGAAGTCTCTTACAGAGAAGAAAAGAAGGCTCTTGACTTTAGAAAAGCTTCTCTTCCCTCTCAAGCTATGGTATTAGGTTACATTTAAATTGTTTAGATTACTAATAACTCGGTTTAAATTAAATATATATTAGGTAATATATATATTTAAATATATATATTACCTAAATATATTATTAACTAAATATATATTAGCTAAATATATATTAACTAAATATAAATTAAATATATATTAGGTAATATATATATTTAAATATATATATTACCTAAATATATTATTATAACTAAATATATATTAGGTTTAGATTACTAAATATATATTAATATTAATTGAATTATGCTAGCGGATCCATTGATCTATAGAAAATATAGCTGTGTTAGAATTCCCCATAAATAATCTAATAAACGATGAGAACTATATTCATCGACAATGTCATATCCAACTGTCAGCAGTCTCTATTTAGGGAGGAATGCATTTAGTTATTGCGGAGGAGTGAATGGCAGATTGCAATTGCGTGAATTGGGGTTACGTTATCGTAACCACTAGGAAATGATCGACACCCCATGGCGAGGAACACGGGGAACGAGTTTCAGTACTGAATCGTCGATGGACGTGTGTGTGGCCGATATCTGGGAAAGCCCACTGTTTTTCGGCAATGAGCAACGGAGCAGCATTTGTCCCCTTTTATTCTTTTCGCAAACGTTATTTATGTTCTAGCCAATAGAATTATTTCCATCCTCAGTATCCGGCCACTTTTAGTTACGCTTCATTAGCATGCACAATGAACTGGTAGAACGAAGAACAGAAAGAACTTGGAAATATACAGTTATGTTTATTGAGAATTTCTGGAAAGTGAAGAGTGGTGATTCGATGATTGAAAAATTTGGAAGAACTCTTTGTTACATATATATATATATACTTTGTTACATTACATATATATATATATATATATATTATTAATATATAAATAATATTATAGTATATTATCAATATAGATGTATATTAATAGATGTTAATTAATATAGATGTATATTAATAATAATGTATATTATTAATATAGTAATATATTATTAATATAAATAATATTATAGTATATTATTAATATATAAATAATAATATACATATATATTTGTTATATGTATCTTGGAATTGTTATGCATGTACATTAATTGTTTCAATAATTGTTACATACGTTCAGTCTTATTCCCTGTAATATTAATTCATTCTCAATTTCCAAATTAATAAAATTTTATAAGAAAATTATGTTCTTTATTGCACGATAAAGAATTCTACGTTTACCTTTCATGATATAAAAATAAAATGACAAATTATACCTTATGAATGATATAGAATAGAATTGTATCTTATGAAATGTTATTAATCGTGGTTTGTACTCTTATGAAATAGAATTAGATTGAAGAAAAACGAATGAAGAAAAGGAAAAGGAATATCTTCAAAGTTCAAACTTTTTCTAAGTTATACGTACAAACGAAGAAGAGATACAAATCTTTTTTCAGTTAAAACAATTGCATTGCACCACAGAGTTATATGTATATCCAGCTTCCGTTCGGTGTTTCTAGTTTCAAAGGCGCAAGGTCAGATGACATTTTTCACATTGTGCATTCTTCAATTTCCTGGACACCGACCCTGTATGTTTAAAGAAACTGTGTTTCTTTCTACGATATCGACAGGATACTGTGATGAGACTGGCGCCGACCTCCCTTGACGAACTAGAAAGAGACGAAAGCAAGAAAAAAAAAAAAAAAGAAATGAAAGAGAAGTGTCTTCTTCAAGGGACAACTTAACTTGTGTCACGCGCCACTAAGGAAAGACAACCGGCGCAATAAAATGTAACCCAACGCCCGGGGACGTACAATACTGACTGAACCCATCAGGCTGCATCTGCGAGCATACAAGTTAAAAGTTGGAACATAATAGACCTATCCTCTGCAATTGATCGTCGAACATCTTACATACATAAACAGGAGACCTGGATTCACGTTCTGGCACGCACGTGAATTCTTTTCTTAAGAAACTTCCAGAGAAATCTGGAAACAATGAATGGATGCACAGTACAGATACGAAGAAATTTAAAAAAAAAAGGACAAGATACGTGATTAAGCAAAAAAACAATTCATCGGTATATTCCTGAAAATCTATAAATGAATTAATCGATAGTTGAAGTAGAATGAAAGATTTAATAAAAAGAAAAAAAGTTAATGCTTGCAAAGAAGTGGAAAAAAATAATGTCTTTGAAAGTTAGGCTAATTAGGATAATTAGATAAACTCTTTCTACCAAGACTACTAAAACTACACGACTATTTAAAATTTTAAATAAAGGAATATTGCTTTTTTATATCTTAATTGACGTTGAAGAATGACTTGTTTATAGTCATTCTGTTACAAATTTTAATCTTTGCTCGATTCAAAAAACAATCATCTCTGTTACAGTTTTCATTTATCGCAAGTTACAATTTTTCTTGAAAATTTTATTTATGTAGGTACAATCCATATTTTGGTAATCGTTCCATAATCGTTATTAGTTTACGTATAACGATACAATAATTATTACTATATTCTATTAATTATTTTAAAAAAAAAGGAGCAATTTTGAAGAACAACAAAGATATGTTTCACAAATGTTCAAGGCATTACATCGCATCGTGTCGAAAGATTCGGTAAAAACAAAGAGAGCAAAAAAGGAAGGCTAATCCGAGGTTCGAATGTGAAATACAAAGAACCACATGTAAAAAAGTTCAAGTGGTTGTACAGTGAGAGACGAGACGGGACTTTTACCTACGTCAGGGATTATTCTTTCTTCCTTCTCTGCGGCAATGTATGAAACTTAAGAAAAACTCGTAAATTTTCTAGGACAAGATCCGCAATAAGAGGTTGGCGCCAGAGAAATTCTAAAGCTATGTCTTCTCCAAAATATTTGAGGACCATGTGAAAAACTTCTTCAATGACTTCCCAAACGTTTCTATTCCTTTTTATTCCCATGGTTAATGATTAACAGAAGCCAAGATCCGAATTTTCTCGCACAATAAAAAATTGACCAAGTTATAATATTAATTTGATAATTAAATTGATAAATCAATCAAGCTATAGGTTATAGGTTTCTCTTATCAGTTGGCAGATACATAGTATGCATATAAAAAATATTTGGTTCAAAATGTAATAAATATAAGGCTGATCAGGGCACAAGTTAAGAATTTCTCTTTTATAATCTTATAACTTTTCATCAAATAGAACAGTGAAATAATTCATAACTTGTAAAATTACTAAACTTGTTAATGTTATATTGATACTGATTTCACTAGAAATGATTAGTTGATTAGTTTCTGTACAAATTGTTAGAGTCATAGTATTGAATATTCTGTAATTTAAAAAAAGATTGCTGAGGCTAACATGATCTCTCTATTATGATGTTTCAAATTCGAGGACTTGATAATAGAAAAATGAGTTTTTGTACAAATTGTTAGAGTCATAGTATTGAATATTCTGTAATTTAAAAAAAGATTGCTGAGGCTAACATGATCTTTCTATTATGATGTTTCAAATTCGAGGACTTGATAATAGAAAAATGAGGGAATGGTAACAGATTTTGGATAAAAACAATTTTTCTAAAGCCAAGCATTAGAAAAAAAAAAAAAAAAACGATCCGTATTAAGTTTCGTGTAAGCGATCCTACCGATCGACGCCCACTGTCGCTGCCGATTTCATCGTAAAGTAATTTGAAACGAGGGCGTGACCAGTGACTTCTTTCCCTTCGTAACAAGCTTTTTCTTCATCTTCTTCAGCGAATCTCTTCGACTCCTTTTTTCACCCATTAGTACCAAATTGGCATGCTCAAATAATCGGGTTTCTTTATTATTTCGTACGAGATAATATAAATAAAATATCTGTTGTTTAAAATAGTTATTTATTAATCGGTATTTCTGGTTTATAGATAACGAATAAAGAAATATCGAAATACGATAAATAATTTAAAAGAATGAGTTTTTGTCAATGAAGCCATCTGGTTTAATAGAAAATGAAAATTAATTTTTTAACGCTGCATCTCTCGCTTCTATAGTTTTATAAAATTTTTAAACGCTGCGTTTTTAATTTTCAAATATTTCAATTTTCCAATAATTTTAGACAAATTT